CATATCTGTATTCCATAATTGAAAAACGTTCCCTTATATCTGTGAAGTTAGTCTAGGGCATAGCCAAATGTTGTTGCTGGAACCGTATTTTATTAGATAGTTATTAAATCAATCCCATTCTTTTTTCAACCTTGTCGCCTGAGTGGTTTCTTATTAATTCAGTCATTTTAGCGAGTTCAAACTTTTTAGCGAAGCCCAAACTTTGCAAAGTTTTGGAAAGATGGGTTGGAGAAAACAGGCACCAAGCAATGTCTACTCAGAAGTAAATTGCAATCAGGGTAGATTTGATTTAAATTGAATCGATACTAAATCACGATTTAAATCACTAGTCAGTAAGACTTGATTTAAATCTTCTTTTTTACAGAAAGACTCGTTCTTGCTGGTATCATCTTAATATTTACAAACCAGATGAAGGTTTCATTTTTGGATTGATAAATTTTTGGAGTAGTTTTTACAGTTATATCAAAAAATTACCGATTTGGTTCTACTATTAGAAATACATAGACAGGAAATTATGAAACTATTGTGAGGTTTAATAAGTTAACTGTTTATATTTTGGGCAACTTTTCTGCTGTTCTTTATTGGAAGGAGAAAACTAATCATTTCCTTAGTAACAATTTAAACAATTTATTTAACTAAAACAATAACATTATAGCATATGTATCCATGTTTGTTAACTGATGCGGCTAAACAATTTTTTTAAAAAACAACAACTTAGACTGAGTTTAAGCACACAGAAAAACTTAAAACAAATCCTTATTTCCTGATGAATAACCTTCGGACTATAATGTAACTTAAATAGAAAATCTTTAGAAAGATTTTTCCTCCAGAAGGATTTTATTTAAAAAAATCCAATTTACATTTTAAAATCTGATTATTATTTTTTAAACCATTGATTTTTATCCACCCTGAATTTGCACTGAATTCAAGCAAACGTCCAACTCCTTTGGGCCATATATTTTTGGAAGGTGTCAAATTAACATAGATTGCAGTTGGTTTAATTTTTGCTTGTTTGGCTTCTGTGGGGTAAACAAAATGATTGGATCTCTCCTGGAAAAAAGTTCCAGATCCAAAATTTTCTGGGGAAGCCAAGCTGAGTCGCTGGTAAAATTCCATTTCACAGTCACCTCCAGGCAACTCTGAATATGATACACACATAATTGTTGACTCAGATGGTTTGACTTTTAAGACGCCCATAAATGGGAAATTTTTTATGTTATTGCTCAAGCACGCAGATCGACACCTGGCCAAAGCATTTTGGCGAAAACACTCCCAGGTATATGCTGATGCAAAAAAAATTTAAATTACTGTACCGGTAAGGTGCAGCACAGCCCAACTCATCCAAAATCTGTTGTGATTCGGACATTTTGTGGGTCAGAGGTTAATCCTTTAAAGGCCGAAGAAGTGGGGAGCAAGATGTAATTCGCCTTCAAACAAGCAGCTTTTTGCTCTTGCCAGTGAGAAATGTATAGAAAATGCATGCTCAGAACCACTCTCTATGCCAGAAATAATCTGTATATGTTGCTATTACTGTAGCTTCAAGCAGTAATGGGGGGGGGGGGGGAAATGGGAAACAAATAGTTGGAAATTAACCTTTTTTTATTAAAAAAACTGTGAAATTTGATGTAATTTGGCCTCGATTCGTTAAAAGTTTGGGAAGCTTGATAAGCAGGTGCAAATCAGAAGTGGCCAAGGATGTTAACGAGCAAACCTGTGCAAATCAATGCCAGAGAATGCACAAATCTATGCAAATCATTGGCAGGCAACTTCACTGTATGTTTTTATTAATGTTGATTTTTCTTAAGGGTAATTTTATCGCTTTGTCTGCCTCTCTTTGGCAAACCCTTTAGAGTGGTGTTACTTTTTTGCAATCGAGCGATGTACAAATTTCACAAAACCAACAAATAAACGGTATTATTATTATTATTATTAAAAATCATTGGCATCATAATAAATTATATGCAAATACGCGGCGCCCCTGTAAACCGAAGCAAGTTAGCAAACGCATGCAAATCTATGCAAATCAGCAAGGGGTGTGTGCAAATAACACGAACGTCGCAGGCAGCCCAAACTGAACATGCAAATGTATGCAAATATATGCAAATCAGCAGCAGCCAAAATAAAATTATCAGCTCTGGCCCAACCCATAAGCCCAAATCCACCCCAAAATTCCCCCCATTGTCCCCCCCATCCCTGGGTAGCTCCCCTGCCCCCTCCCATCCCGTCTCCATGGCAACAGGGATGCAGGCGGCTGCCCACCCGCTTTGATGTCTATCCCACTCACCTAAGAGTCGCACGCGTTCCAAGGCAGCCTTCGGCGCCTGCGCGGTAACAGGTAAACCACTGCGCCTGCGCACAGGCGGGACGGAACGCCCGCTCGGCTATGAAGCGGCGGACGGAACCAAGTACAATGAGAAGCTTTTAATGGTGGAGGCGGTCCTTTTTCTCCGTATTTCTCTTCTTCTCCTTCTTCTTCAATTCAGAGGGGCGAAGCGGCAAAGTTTTTTCGCCAGAGGCTGCCTCAAATGGTACTTTTTCCCTTTCTCTCCCCCCAGCTTCAAATGGGTGAGTCCGAACGGGCGAAGGCCGCGAGAGGAAATGGCGGCCTCCGGCGCATGCGCGTTGGTGGGGAGACGCCGGCGTTGCTCCGCCTTCATTCCGTAAGGCGTGGCGTGGCGATAGACTTATGAATTATAGACTCGCGTGCAGCTCTGAGTTTCCGGGTTCAGTTTGGAACATTGCATCAGTCGCTGTTGCAATGGTGGATTTTGAAAGATTTTCTTCCTTTCTCTTGTTCTCTCTCTCTCTCTCTCTCTCTCTCTCTCTCTGCTTGCTTGCTTCTTTAATTTCTTATGCCTCTCCACATTTGCACATTATATTAATTTTGGGGTGGTCTTGGGTTCCAGGGTGGGCAATTTCAAATGTCTATTTAATAACAATGTGATAACATATAATAGTATACAAACAGCAGAATGTATCATCTGATGTAACAAACCAGAAATGGTAGTTGAGGGAAGTCAACAGAGAAGGGGGGAAATTGGCACCCACAACTTGAGCTCCTTTGGAAAGGAAAAAAATCACACTTGCTAGCCACTCCTCGGACGCAGAGAGGACAGGTTAGAAACACAAGCAGGAAACGGAGTGTTCATTTCCCTTTTCTTTTTAATGTCAGTTAATAAAATATTTGTATACAGCCCCAAAAGTTCAAAATAGTGCAAAACATCTCACTATCATGCATCGTTGGTTTTTGTTTGTTTGTTTCAACTCAATCCACTTCTGGTAAGTAGGAACAGAACAGATAATGACATATTCCAAGACGTGTGCATGTGGTCCACAACAGGATAATTATTAACTCGATTCCGAGCATCCGGGATTGGTATTTATTTATTTCACCCCTTTCCCCCGTCCTTTTTATTATTATTAAACCATCTGTTTGTTTAGTTTAGTTTCAAGTACATGCCGGACAGAAATTACTGAGAAGGGAATCGGTTCGGAAAGGGGGGACAGGTTGGGGGGAAAGAAACACGGATGAGGTCCGTGGGGAGGAATCCGTAATCTAAACCGCTTCGACGTCCCTGTCGATGTCTTCTCTTTATTTAAATTACTATTTTAAAAAAAGTTCGGCGGAATGCACACCTGCGCAGGTATACGACTTGGGGTGTTTTGTGTGTGTGTGTAAACATTCAACTCAAATTCCGACACTTTGGTCCCAGGGCAAAATGGTATGGAAAAGGTATCTTCGGAAAAGAGGGGGAGCTGGAATGAAACCGCTTTGGGATGATGTTCTCTCCTAACGGGTCCTGGGGGGGGGGAAGGAGAGGGTCTTGGAGGTGGCCGGCCCACAACATTTTGCTGCCTGCAGCGGGGAGGACAAAGGACAAGGCAGCACCCATTTCCCGCCCCCCAACTCTGGACAAGAAAGAAGATGAGCCTCAGCTTCAGCGCTGATGGCAGAGGACATCCCCGGGGAGGTTGACCCACTACAATGGACCTCAGTTAGACAGGACCGTTCTCTGAAATGGGTCCAGTGAGGATGCTAGCTGGAAGCAGGTAAGCGTAGGCTGCCTGGCTTGGTAAGGCCGGTTCAGAGCTCAGAATTGGGCTGCTGCAGTGCTTGGAAAGGGGCCCTCCAACGTTTCTCCCGTGAAAAGAGGGACGTCCTATTCCATCCCCTCCAACGTTTCTCCTGTGAAAATAGGGACGTCCTATTCCATCCCCTCCAACGTTTCTCCCCTGAAAATAGAGACGTCCTATTCCATCCCCTCCAACATTTCTCCAGTGAAAATAGGAATATCCTACCATACCCTCCAACCTTCCTTCCTTCCTTCCTTCCTTCCTTCCTTCCTTCCTTCCTTCCTTCCTTCCTCTTCTACCTCCTTGGCCTCAGTGCTCTCCTTGTGAGGCTAAGCTTAGGGTAGCCCTATTTCAATAAGTAAAAAACCCTGGACACAAAAAGTTGTGGGCCAGAGCTGTGGCCAGAGCTGGCAGCCCGGAGCCCGACGGACAAACGGTGCAAGGATGGCTCCTTGGGGAAAGAGCTGTGATCGGGACAGCGGTGGCCATGAGTAATAGCTGTCAACTTACAGATTTGAAAACAAGGGACCAGCAGCCTCAAAAATAAGGGATCAGCAGCCAAAATAAGGGATTTTCCGAGCCCTGGTATGTTCGACTTCTGAGCCCCTCCGAGCCAAAGGCAGAAAGCCCAGCCAGCAGCCCAACGAAGCCTCAAGCGGTGGTTCCCACAGCGCAGCAACCCGGCAAAGGGGATGCAGCAAGGAAAACCACCGTCACCTCTCCGCTGGGAAGCGCTGAGCAAAGGCGAGTCCCCAGGCAACGCGGCTGATTTGATTGGCACAAGGCATGCAAGCTCCACCCCCCAGTCGTTCTTAGACTCCTTATTGGGTGAGCAACGCAGCCAAGCAACACAGTTGGAGCCTCCCTCCTCCCTGGCCGGCAGGGAGGGAGGGAGAGGAGCTGCTTCCTTTGAAACCCGGGAAATTTAAGGGACATCATCAATAAGGGACAGCAGCGGGACACGGCGCTAGGATAAGGGACTTTCCCGCCAAATAAGGGACGGTTGACAGCTATGCCATGAGTGCGAAGGTGGCGGGTCTGTCTTGGGAAACATGCAGCAGGACCTTTGGCCCCCGTATCTAGAAATCTAGCATCTCACCAGCAGAGCCCTGTTTTCCCGCAGGAGATTCAACCGCGGGCATCTTCAGGTAGGGCAGAGAACGCCCCTTTCTGGACGGGCCAAGGGTCCTGACTTGGGGGGGGGGGAGGCTACCCTCTTTTCCCTCTGCCCCATAGCGGCTAATACTGAACGGATTTGGCAATGTGTGTGTGTGTGTTCGGAGGGTGTTCGATCCTTGGCAGCGGGAGCGAGGCTCCCAAATTCAGGAAGGAAGGGGAAGGCGGGGATCTCTTATGGCTTCGACATGGCTGCATAAACGAGGGTCGGGAGGTGATGCTAGGAGGCCATGGGGCTGACGGACCACAGGACTGGGAGGGCAGGGAGAGGGCAGGGCACAGTGGGGCTTAGCTGGCGCTGCCCTCCTCGGCCGAGCGCGTGTCTGACTTCAGCTTGACAAACTCCTTCGCCACCTCGTCATTGTTGCGCTGCGAGAGGATTCGCAAGACCGTCAGCCCCGTGTCGTCCATGTGGATGCGGCGGCCGAGGGGCAGCCAACAGGCGCAGCTGCCCCTCTGCAAGAGGTCCTTCAGCTGCAGAATGGCGATGCCCACCGTACGGTCCTCGCGGGCAAAGCAGTAGTCCTTCACGCAGACCTGCAGCTCGTAGCATTCGGGGCCCGTCTCAGTGCCCAGGGCGCTGCGGGAGGGGAAAGGTGGATTCAGCTAAAAAGGTAAAGGGACCCCTGACCGTTAGGTCCAGTCGCGGCCGACTCTGGGGTTGCGGTGCTCATCTCGCTTTACTGGCCGAGGGAGCCGGTGTCCAGCTTCCGGGTCATGTGGCCAGCAGGACTAAGCCACTTCTGGCGAACCAGAGCAGCGCACGGAAACGCCGTTTGCCTTTCCGTCGGAGCGGTACCTATTTATCTACTTGCACTGGTGTGCTTTCGAACTGCTAGGTTGGCAGGAGCAGGGACCGAGCAATGGGAGCTCACCCCGTCGCAGGGATTCGAACTGCCGACCTTCTGATCGGAAAGTCCTAGGCTCTGTGGTTTAACCCACAGTGCCACCCGCGTCCCTATAAAATGGTTCTTAAAGGTAAAGGTAAAGGGACCCCTAACTGTTAGGTCTAGTCATGGCCGACTCTGGGGTTGCGGCGCTCATCTCGCTTTACTGGCGGAGGTGTATTGCAAATCGAGACAGCTGGCCTGGCGAGGAGGCAGGACCGAGGTTTGCAATAATTGCCCTTCTTGAGTTACTCCCGAGATGAAGAAAAGGGGCGGGGGGAGGAGAATCACTTACAATTGGATGCTCTCGTTGTATTTCGGAGACCAGCTGTTGTTCTTGGACTTGGTGGCGAATTTCCTCTTCTTGTCGCTGAGGTGAGGACCGATGATGTTGACCTCAATAAAGGGGCGGAAAATCCCCGACGTTTGCCACTTCAGGTCATTGGCGGCTACCACTGAGCGAGAGAAAGGCGCAGTGTGGGATTTACGTATAAGCTCAACAAGCTGTAGCTTAGGACCCCGCTCTCTTGGGGGCCCCCAAAAAATTAACATGAAAAGAAAAACTGGATGTATATTTCCAAAATATAAGATAAAAAACAAATAAAATAAAAAAGTGAGGAAGGAGAATATTCAATCAATAGATCCTCTTCTACTATCCACAACATTCCCACAATATAACAGCAAGGTTGCAGGTTTGATCCCCATACGGAACCGCTGTATTTCTGCATTGCTGGAGTGGTGTTGGTCAGGAGCTTGCCCTACACTTGAGTAGGACCCTGGCAGAGACACATGCCCAACTGGCATTTTCTCTCCCTCCTGGTTGATAGTTCGGGAGCTTCAAAAGCTTTCTTCTGCCCGAACATCGCAGCGACCGATGCCAACAGATATCGGCACACTTAGGGATCCGCAGAGTCTTCGCAGTTTGCATGTGACAGACCTCAGCATTTTGGCTAATCTACTTTATTTACATATAAACAGATGCTGAGCACTGCAACATGGCTCCCTCTCTCTCTAGCATCAGACAGCAAAGAGAGAAAAAGAACAAAGGACAATAGTCCCACTTCACAGAACACAAACATCCTGTCTCCGTCACTTCCCACTCTGTGGAGTCAAAACATACACCGTCATGCGATAGACAACAATCCCATGACTGCAATCGCGGAGCAGGAATTCTAACACAGACTAGATGAGCCAAGTCTACGACCGCCAGTTCTGGCTCACCTTTTACAGTGACCTTATGCTCCCCGGTCCCAGGGTGGGTGATCAGTTCCACGTGGATGGAGACCTCTCCCACGGGGTCGTCCACTCCGGATCCTGCCCGGCAGAGGGAGGGAAGCATGGAGATGCAGAACGGAAAATTAGAGCACAAACTTTCAGCCCATCCCCTGTCTGGTGATTTCTCCTGTTCCTCCCCTCTCCAAGAAAACCCCCCAAAAACTTGTTGGTGGACTGAGGCCTGATGCTTGCTTCAGAGGCTCCCCACTTTTGAGAGGTCCTTCCTATGTTATCATATTTTTTTCGGATAAATCTTTCCCTGGAAGAACTGTGAGGGGAGAGACTTCACCAGGCAAGGCTTTCTTCCACCTTTCTTGCTCCACCCTCTACTCTCTGCTTCTCAATTTGTATTGCATTATTTTATGTGCTGTGGCTTCCCGTTGTTTTATTGATTATAGTTTAGAAGTGGTTTGCTGTAAGACTGAATTTCTGTTTAACTTTCATATGCTGATATTGTTATTTTATACTATTCTAATGATTGTCTTCCATATGTCTGTCTGGTCGTTTTAACTGTACAGTGGTGCCCCGCAAGACGAATGCCTCGCAAGACGAAAAACTCGCTAGACGAAAGGGTTTTCCGTTTTTTGAGTCGTTCCGCAAGACGAATTTCCCTATGGGCTTGCTTCGCAAGACGAAACGTCTTGCGAGTTCTTGCGAGTTTGTTTCCTTTTTCTTAAAGCCGCTAAGCCGTTAATAGCCGCTAAGCCATTAATAGCCGCTAAGCTGCTAAGCCGCTAATAGCCGTGCTTCGCAAGACGAAAAAACCGCAAGACGAAGAGACTCGCGGAACGGATTAATTTCGTCTTGCGAGGCACCACTGTATTTGGTTTTGAAATTGTTTTGTGGGTCTTTGGACCGCAATAAAGTATTGTTGTTGTAACTGATTGTTGAATGTTCCTTTTTTGATGTGTTTTATTATCACATTTTTGCATTGCGTTAGATTGTTATAAGATGTGCATTTTTTTGTTTCTTCAGCTTGTAAACCGCCTTGAGTATTGTAAGATAGAAATGGTGGTGGTGATGATGGCATCTGACTCACCAAAGCATGGAATAGGACTCATATCATTGTTCACCTTCGGAACTGCCTGCCTATTGATATTCACTGCAAAATATGGTCTGAAGCTCAACATCAAAAAAACGAAGGTCATGGCCACTGGTCCCCTCACCTCCTGGCAAATAGAAGGGGAAGAAATGGAGGCAGTGAGAGATTTTACTTTCTTGGGCTCCATGATCACTGCAGATGGTGACAGCAGTCACGAAATTCAAAGACACCTGCTTCTTGGGAGAAAAGCGATGACAAACCTAGACAGCATCTTAAAAAGCAGAGACATCCCCTTGCTAAGAAAGGTCCGTATAGTTAAAGCTATACGGACAACCATATGTCAGGAGTGCTCTGATGGTGTTTCCTGCTTGGCAGGGGGTTGGACTCGACGGCCCTTGTGGTCTATTCCAACTCTATGATTCTATGATTCTATAATTCTATGATAAAGCTCTGGTTTTCCCAGTTGTGATGTATGGAAGCGAGAGCTGGGCCATAAAGAAGGCTGATGGCCGAAGAATGGATGCTTTTGAGTTCTGGTGCTGGAGGAGACTCTGGAGAGTCCCATGGACTGCAAGAAGATCCAACCTCTCCATTCTGAAGGAAACCAGCCCTGAGTGCTCACTGGAAGGACAGATCCTGAAGCTGAGGCTCCAAGACTTTGGCCACCTCAGGAGAAGAGAGGACTCCTGGAAAAGACCCTGATGTTGGGAAAGATGGAGGGCGCAAGGAGAAGGGGACAACAGAGGACGAGATGGTGGGACAGTGTTCTCGAAGGTGCCAACATGAGATTGACCAAACTGCGGGAGGCAGTGGAAGACAGGAGTGCCTGGCGTGCTCTGGTCCAGGGGGTCACGAAGAGGCGGACACGACCAAACGACTCAACAACAACATATGGGTCGTCTCCAACGTCAGCCGTACTCGAGAGCAGACCCAAACGGAAATATGTGACGAACGAAGCGTCATTCGTTTCAACGAGTGTAAACCAAGAGTAGAATTTAGTTTGCTGTAACTGCTTTTTAAAAAGTGTTCTTTTGTAAAAGGCAAAAGATTTATACGATCTGAAGAGAAACCAGAGTATCATTTTGACATTTCAAAACTCGACTTCCTTCCGCCTCTTTCTGCGGTTCCTTAAATTTATTTTTTAATATCTTCTGCATATCCAAATTAACCTAATTTGGTCATTTATTCATCCTTAAATATATACTCTTTATGAAACTGCAGGTTATTGAAATAAGCCTGCCAATGTTTTTACCTGTTTACAATTTATCTGTAAATATTCAATAAACCATCTCCATTCTTTATAAAAAGTTTGTTATCTTGATTTCTTCATTCTCCCAGTAAGTTTCACCATTTCTGCATATTCCATAAATTTTTGTATCCGTTCTTCCTTTGCTGGGACTTCTGCTTCTGTCCATTTTGGGGCAAGTAACATTCTTGCCACTGTAGTAGCATACATGAACAAATTTCTATATAGTTTATGTAGTTCTGTCCCTATAATTCCCAAAAGAAAATCTTCTGGGTTTTTTGTGTTTTTTTAACAAACTTTATTTTAAACATCCTTTTCATTTCATCATACAGTGGTGCCTCGCAAGACGAAATTAATTCATTCCGCGAGTTTTGCTGTCTTGCGATTTTTTTCGTCTTGCGAAGCACGGTGTCGGGAAAGTTTTGGAAAAGCTTCAAAAATCACCAAAGTCTTTAAAAACCTCAAAAAAGGCTACCACACCGCGTTCTATGAGTTGCTCCTCGAAGTCAAGTCGCAACTGTATTAACGGTGTTAAGAAAAAGGAAACAAACTTGCAAGACGTTTCCGTCTTGCGAAGCAAGTCCATAGGGAAAATCGTCTTGCGAAGCAGCTCAAAAAACAAAAAACCCTTTCGTCTAGCAAGTTTTTTGTCTTGCGAGGCATTCATCTTGCGAGGTACCACTGTATATAATTTCCCAAATGATATTTGGTTCCCCCAATTTCAGCTGAAAACGCAACTTTGATTTGCAAACAGCTGAAAGTCTGCAAATTCTTGGTAACCATGGTGTGTTGAACAATTTTGATCTCAGCCGCAGATATAGACAGACCCTGGTTATTGATACGTCCATCTTATAATTTTGATGCGAGCCACTTATAATTTTGATGCGGTATATCTAAACCCTGTTAGTGACCGATAACCAGAATAACAGAGTCGTCAGAATAGACAGATAGCCTTAGCAAGCTTTGGTGACCTCAGCCAAACAACAAGGTGAAAACCATTCCTTCCCGGCTCCCAGTTCGGTAACAATACCCAAAACCCCCTGTGCCCTTTCATGGTCCAAGAAGCAGGATTAAAAACCAGTCCATCATTCAAACAGGCTTCCTCCGATGAGGAACTTATTCATGCAGCAAAGGCAGAGAAGGAAAAGGAATGGGTGAGGAGGAGGAAAGAGAGGCAGCTATTTGTCAGATGGCAACCAGGGAAAGGAGACCTCCGCCAAAGGTGGCCAAGCAAATGGGGAAAGGAATTTGGGGGGAGAAAAAGGATAGGCTGGAAACCAAAAGTGCGTCCGCAACCCACCCACATTCGGAGGCTCAGGTCTTGAGGATGGAGAGGGGGGAAGGAGGCCAAGGCTGCAGATCTCAGAAGAACGGGGGCCCTGAGCTAAGTGGGAATGTCCAGGGCGGCAGGAGAGGATATATAGTTTATTGATATCCTTCCTAACTTGCCCCAGCAAGTTCCTTTACTTAGCAGAGTTACATTCTCCCTTCTTACATGCACAGCAGAGAGCTGGTCGCAGGCTCGTGTGAGCCTCTCGCTATTAGGCAATTCAGTCTGCGTTCCTGGTAAGTTCCCTTTAAGACATGCGAGGGAATGTTTGGTCCAGCCAGTCAAAAACTTCCTGTTCCTCCTGGCTGGAGCATCCTTCCTTTTGCATGTGATAGAAGGTGGGCGTGACCTCACCTGTCCAGGTAACAAAAGGACGAGTCACGCAGCACACCTCTCTCTTCACCCCCCTCTTCCTTCTTAGGTTTGACCTGCTATTAGCTAGGACTGCTCTGCTAGCTCTCAGCTGGCAGAAGAACTGGGATTATTCCCCCATATGGAGTAGATCCACATGTACATATTTGTAACTACCGTATTTTTTGCTCTATAAGACTCACTTTTCCCCTCCTAAAAAGTAAGGGGAAATGTGTGTGCGTCTTATGGAGCGAATGCAGGCTGCGCAGCTATCCCAGAAGCCAGAACAGCAAGAGGGATTGCTGCTTTCGCTGCGCAGCGATCCCTCTTGCTGTTCTGGCTTCTGAGATTCAGAATATATTTTTTCTTGTTTTTCTCCTCCAAAAACTAGGTGCGTCTTGTGGTCTGGTGCGTCTTATAGAGCGAAAAATACGATAAGTCTGCCTTCAGGAATCCAACTGTGAACAGATGTTTTGCCAAGTTTTAAAAATCCGCCTGAGCAGAAAATTTAATGCTGGAAAAGAGGACATGTCTGGTGAATAGAGGACAGGCGGAAACCGTCGTACGAGGGAAAATGCGCAGGCTAGGAGGGAATGCAGCGATCCGGCTGAAAAACCTTTCCCTGCCCCTGCCTGGGGGATAGTCCTGGATCTTCAGCCACTGCCCATTTCATGCAGAAGGAAGGTTTGGGAAGGCTGGGCCAACGCACGCACACGCACGCACAATCGCCCACTCGCACGGGCATCGTGCCAACTCCAGAGCCGCATGCGGAGACTCGATCTCTCGATCCAGGAACCGAAGCTGGAAACAAACAGGTCATTTCCAAAAGGCAAGCGCGGGAGGATGGTGCAAAACCCCAAAAGCTGCCCCTTCTTCCCCCCTGCCCGGTTTCCTCCGTCTGAGTGCTTGCTTGTGCAAGGAGGGAAGGGTTTCATTCTGATGCATTTAGTGCATAACCTTGTGGAGAGGTGATGGAGGAGCGCCCTGAGCAGAGCTAGTCAAAAGCGAGGCAGGGAGGAAAATGGGGAGCAATTTTCGGCTTGCATGTCCCTTTCCGTGTCGGGTCTGCAGAAAGTTTGGGGGCTTTTGCTAGCCCTGGTCAGGGTGACAAGGAAAGGGGTGGGTGAGTGGAGGGGGGTCCAGGATGGGTGCAATCCAGGAAGGAGAGGAGGCGTTGGGAGGAGAGTTCGAGACGTACCCTTCTCTGGATATATTTCTTCGCTAAGAGTAAACCTAACACCTTTGCCACCATGGACTAAGGATGAGAAAAGGCAAAGTTGGGAGATAAAGAAATGTCAAGGAGGGAAGTAAAGGAAGAGAAGGTGGAAAGGAAGCGTAAGGAAAAAGGAAGAGGGGGAAAAGGGAAGGGAAGAAGGTAGAGATGACAAAGGGGGGGGGAGGTCAGTGCAGAAGAAAATGCAGAAATGGTAAGGAGAAGGACAAGGAAGGAGAAAAGTAAGGCAGATAGAGAGAAGGAGGAGGGGGAAAGGTAATCGGAGAAGAGAAGGTGGGAAGAAAATATAAGAAGGAAAGGAAGGAATAGAAAAGCAGATAGAAAGAAGGAAGGAAAACATAAGAAGGAAGGAAAGGAATAGAAAAGCAAAAGGAAGGAAGGAAGGAAGGAAGGAAGGAAAATATAAGAAGGAAGGAAAGAAATAGAAAAGCAGAAAGAAGGAAGGAAAATAAATATAAGAAGGAAAGAAAGGAATAGAAAAGCAGTAAGAAGGAAGGAAGGAAAATATAAGGAAGGAATAGAAAGAAGGAAGGAAAGAAGGAAGGAAGGAAAATATAAGAAAGAAGGAAAGGAATAGAAAAGCAGAAAGAAGGAAGGAAAATAAATATAAGAAGGAAAGAAAGGAATAGAAAAGCAGTAAGAAGGCAAATATAAGAAGGAAGGAAAGGAATAGAAAAGTAGAAGGAAGGAAGGAAAATATAAGGAAGGAATAGAAAAGCAGTAAGAAGGAAGGAAGAAAAGAAGGAAGGAAAATATAAGAAGGAAAGAAAGGAATAGAAAAGCAGAAAGAAGGAAGGAAGGAAAATATAAGAAGGATAGAAAATCAGATAGAAAGAAGGGAAGAAAAGTTCAGAAGAAGAGAAAGGAAGGTGGAGAGAAAGAATGAAAGAAAGAAGGGTAAAAAGGGACGGTGGTAGAAAGAATGGGTAAGAAGAAGACAAAGAAAAGAACAAAGGTAGAAATGAAGTTTGAGAAAAAGAAGGTGATGGGACAACAGGAGAAAAGGTTAGAAGAGAACAAAAAGTAGGAAGAAAGGACAAGAAAGAGAAGGAATAGAAAAGAAGACCGAGAGAAGGAAAGACAAACGGTTGGAAGAGGAGATAAAGAAGGACAAGGGTAGAAAAAAAGAAAGGAAAGGGTACGAAGAGGAAGAAGGGAAGAAAGAAGGGAAGAAAGAAAGAAGAAAAATAATTTAGAGGCAAAGAAACCAAGCGCAGGAAGAGAAGAAAGGAAGGTGAACAGAAAAGGTAACAAGAGAAATTGGAGAGAGAAAGAAAAACACACACAAGATGGTTTACGGTAGAAGCAAGAGAGGGAAAATGTGCGAAGGGAGGGATGGAAAAAGGCAAGATAAAAAAGAGAGAAGAGATAGATCAGTTCCTGTAGATTCACACACTGACTCGAGTCGTAGCTGGAGAATTCAGAATATAACGTTATAGCAATCACCAAGTTCAATAACTCTAGGGGGGAGAGGGGAATGGACAGGAGGGCTAGATCGCTGTACGGATATTTTGAACGTATTTTTCTGATGTATCCTGTTTTTATTTTAAAGAGCTCTGCCGGTAGAAACCTGAACAATACTCCCTTCGGGTGTCTGTTAGCCTGTTTGGTCTCTTTGTCAAACCAGCTAGAAGATCCCATTCGCCTTTTTAAGCCACTGTTTTTAATCTCAATTCTTAAGCGCTCTTGCAGCCTATCAGTCTTAAATGATTTCATGGCCTCAGCAGCGGAAGTATCTGAAAAAATAGCCTAGTTTAAATCATCTGTACAAAGAAAGCGAGTTAATGCTTAATTAAGTAATGGGGCCCATTTAATTCTGTTGGCTGCGGTTATGCCTAAGTTTGGGACGCGGGTGGCGCTGTGGGTTAAACCACAGAGCCTAGAACTTGCCGATCAGAAGGTCGGCGGTTCGAATCCCCGCAATGTCGGGGTGAGCTCCCGTTGCTCGGTCCCAGCTCCTGCCAACCTAGCAGTTTGAAAGCACGTCAAAGTGCAAGTAGATAAATAGGTACCGCTCCAGCGGGAAGGTAAACGGTGTTTCCGTGTGCTGCTCTGGTTCGCCAGAAGCGGATTAGTCATGCTGGCCACATGACCTGGAAGCTGAACGCCGGCTCCCTCGGCCAGTAAAAAACCCCAGAGTCGGCCACGACTGGACCTAATGGTCAGGGGTCCCTTTACCTTTACCTTTATGCCTAAATTTGTGTCTGGAGATAAATTGAGTTTCTAAGGAAGGGTTGTTAAGTCGTGGACCCGAGAGCACCATTCTTAAGGGCAGGTGATCGCTTGCAATACTATGGTCTGCTTCAAACTCCCTAACAAACTTATGTGCGGATCGTGAGATTGCAATATAATCTAGGATGCTTCCTCCTAGAACTCTGTAAAATGGGTACATTCCCCGGGCCACACTTGAACAATATTTGCACGGGTCCGGGCCACGATTTATCCCAAAAGGAGTTGGCTCGTATGCTTCGAAATGCGGAATATTAAATATTTTTAGCCTTCGGCACAGAGGCGGTCCCAGTTGACGGGAAAGAGGCCCGCTGCCCCTCTGGACAACTTCAAGAACCTGCAAGAACCTGGCCTCTCTTTTTGGTTTAAAGGTAAAGGTAAAGGGACCCCTGACCGTTAGGTCCAGTCGTGGCCGACTCTGGGGTTGCGGTGCTCATCTCGCTTTACTGGCCAAGGGAGCCGGCGTACAGCTTCCGGGTCATGTGGCCAGCAGGACTAAGCCGCTTCTGGCGAACCAGAGCAGCGCACGGAAATGCCGTTTATCTTCCCGCCAGAGCGGTACCTATTTATCTACTTGCACTGGTGTGCTTTTGAACTGCTAGGTGGGCAGGAGCAGGGACCGAGCAACGGGAGCTCACCCCGTCATTGCGGGGATTCGAACCGCCGACCTTCCGATTGGCAAGCCCTAGGCTCTGTGGTTTAACCCACAGTGTTTACACCAAAGCAGAAACCCGGCGCCGTTTTCTAAAAACGGCAGCTTGCCGGATGTCTCCCTTCAAAGCAGTGCCTGATGGGAAATGGCCTCTTCCTGGGCAAGGTTGGTGCCATAAAGATAGACTGCACCTGGCTATGGAGTTTCTGCACAGCCTGCTAAACCAGAGAGCTCCACGAGAGCAGCGATTCCGGGGATTCAGCCGCAAACATTAAGGTTTTAAGCGCACTATACAAACGGGGCACTAGGTGGCGGTGGTGAGCTGATGGCAAATTCGATATATTTTTCTAAACTTTTTTTTTAAAGTGTTTTCGCAGCTGGTTTTTTTCTTAAAATATGTCTAGATTCCAAATGGGTCTCCTCGGGGAACCGGGATCCGAGGAACTGCAGAAGCTGCTGTGATAGGAATTTTATGGTCTTAAAAGGTAAAGGTACCCCTGCCCGTACGGGCCAGTCTTGCCAGACTCTAGGGTTGTGCGCCCCTCTCACTCAAGAGGCCGGGGGCCAGCGCTGTCCGGAGACACTTCTGGGTCACGTGGCCAGCGTGACATCGCTGCTCTGGCGAGCCAGAGCCGCACACGGAAATGCCGTTTACCTTCCCGCTAGTAAGCGGTTCCTATTTATCTACTTGCACCCGGGGGTGCTTTCGAACTGCTAGGTTGGCAGGCGCTGGGACCGAACGACGGGAGCGCACCCCGCCGTGGGGATTCGAACCGCCGACCTTTCGATCGGCAAGCCCTAGGCGCTGAGGCTTTTACCCACAGCGCCACCTGCGTCCCTTTATGGTCTTAGATATATGGTAATGTTCATAAGTGTACCAACCAAGCACATACATAGATCAGCACAGGAAGACCAACCTGGAACCATTTTGATTCCTAAACTGAGCAAATCTTTTCTCTGCAAGGTCAAAGTGGGAAACCTCCCCATTGTCTTTTCCTTCACAAATCCTGTCTTAAGGGTATGTCTGTCTTTGAATAGGGTGTGAGCCTGTGACCTGGCCCAGGAACTAAGTATTTATCACTACAAAAGACTGGCCAGGCTCCCCAGGCAATCCAATCAAGTGACCTGCCAGACAGGAGATAAACAACAACAGGAGAAAAACAATATTCAAATTTCTGTTTTAGACCGCCTTTTCTGTGATGTAGGTGTGATGTATCTGAGGGGTGGTCTTAGGTTACACCCCTTCTGTGATGTATGTATGATGTTTCTGGGGGTGGTCTTGATCTACAGGGTGGCAATTTCAAAAGTCTTTATAAGGTCTTGCACACCATTTTTCTGGGTCCCTCCTCTCTCCTGCAAGTGAGGGGAGACCCTGTTGCAACAGATCAATAAGGGCCAAGCCTACAGGCTGCTGTTTTGCTCCAAGTAATCCTGGTTGGTGTCTTTGTTTTTGTCCAAGGGAGCCCTCGGATTTTCCCGTTAACACTGCTTCGCCAGCGACGCTTACCTTGAGAGGACTGCGTCTGCACGAAGGTTTTGATGAGCAGGTCCGTGGCTTGCGTGTAAAGAGAAAGGGCGTAACGCAGAGACTGAAGATCCGGGCTTTTCTCCAAAAAGGTTTTCTTCAGGCCGACGCCTCCTGCGTGGAAGTATTGCTAAATCGAGGCGGAGAGAGGGGAGAGGGTTGGGATGGGAGAGGATATCAGCGGCGGTCCGGTCAACGCCGCAAACCCACAGAGCTGCGGACACACCGTCACATTTGCAACGTGCCGGCTGAGACGATAATAGCGGCAACGACAACCGCAAGCTGCCATGAGGACTAATCACATACCGTATTTTTTGCTCTATAAGACTCACTTTTCCCCTCCTAAAAAGTAAGGGGAAATGTGTGGGCGTCTTATGGAGCGAATGCAGGCTGTGCAGCTATCCCAGAAGCCAGAACAGCAAGAGGGATTGTTGCTTTCGCTGCGCAGCGATTCCTCTTGCTGTTCTGGCTTCTGGGATTCAGAATTTTTTTTTCTTGTTTTCCTCCTCCAAAAACTAGGCGCGTCTTGTGGTCTGGTGCTTCTTATAGAGCGAAAAATAGGGTTGTCAGTTTTGTTACACATAGCCAAAGGCTGCCGCAATGTACACAGAATCATTCAACAAATAATAATAATAATAATAATAATAATAATAATAATAATAATAATAACAACAACAACAATTTATTTATTTATACCCTGCCCTCCCCAGCCAAGACTGGGTTCAGGGCGGCGAACGCCAGATATAAAACAATTGATTGAAATACAACTTACAAACCAAGATTAAAATACAACATTAAAATGCAGCCTCATTTCAGCCCAATTCAACTCAACGAGGTTTTCCCCGCGGGCGAGTGTGTCTAGCCTGGCGAACTAAGTTCCTAGTCCTCTTTACCATACGCACAACATGGGTTTTTTTTAAAGTTTAAAGCCACTGAGAATAAATAAAACGACGCAACCAAACCGGACACCTCCCACATAAATCGCAATAGGATCTAAAAGATAAAGCTACAATTATCAAATCATCCGTTCTAGCATGCAGAACAAAATAATGTAATCTGAGCAATTAATTGTAGTAAAATTTGGTATTGACAATGAGGCTTTCATTGGGCCACTGTAACTGAAAACTAATAATAATCATTATACAAAAATAAAATAAAATAAAGATATGAAACAAGAACAGCAACCCAATAACAGCAGGATTTCGCCCATGCTGAACCGGACAACCTGCCCTCAAGACATAGAGGGGCGAGGCAGTCTGGAACACTCCCCCGCTTTGCAGAGGGTTAGGCTAGATGACCGCTGGAGGCCCCCCCAGTTCGACAATTCTAGGATTCTATGCTCTCACCTTGATAGTGTCCAGGGCCAGCTCCACCACGGCGCACTGCTTGGGCGTCAAACTCTTGGCTTCTTCACGCACCATGTGGTCCTAGATGGGACGAAGAACAAGTCATGTCCGCCCTCTTCGAACGATGAACAGGCTTCCTTTTTCAGGTGGGAACAACGTACCCCCTGGCAACCCTCGTTTTGAAGCCCCTTTTGCCATCTCATAACCCGTGTTACGTTTGCCCTACGCCTGGATTTCCCCGTTTGGGATTCCGACGACGGAATTGGCACCCAGGGAGAGTTTGGGGGGAGAATCGGCGAATCGCCCGGATTTTTTACTTCTTGAAATATGGCAGCCCTTGCGTTGGCGCCCAGGGAGAGTTTTGGGGGTCAATCAGTGAAACGCCCGGATTTTTTACTTCTTGAAATATGGCAGCCCTTGCGTTGGCACCCAGGGAGAGTTTTGGGGGTGAATTGGCAAATCGCCCAGATTTTTTACTTCTTGAAATATGGGAGCCCTTGCGTTGGCACCCAGGGAGAGTTTTGGGGGTCAATCCGCTGCCTCCCTCCTCCTCGTTTTCCGTTGTCGGACTCAGAAGGGAAGAAGATGGAGGCCAGTCTAGAACTAGCTAATTCTCTGCCTGTCGTTGGCTCTGGCGCCACCTAATGTCCGGCTCCCCGCTTTGCGCCCAACCGGGCCCAAGAAGCACAAACGACCGCCGTCCTCTGCAAAGCAGCTCCTTGAATTCTGCGGACCCCAAAATCCCGCGTTTCTCACCTTCAGTTTCGAAAGCTGACCCAGTTCCTTGGCTGCGTTGAAGATCATCTGCGTGCCCTGGGGCGCGGGGAGGGCAAAAGGAGGGATGGAAAGAAGAAAGGGAAGAAAAAAATAACAGAAAGATAAAAGGTAGCTATGTTTCTGCTAAAACCTCAGCTATCCTTTCCCATTCGATGCTAAGAAATTCAGGCGAGGTTTCACCCACAAAGCTTTGCTCCCCAAGAGCGTCGCGCCCGAAATTTTTCCACCTACCCATCTCAAAGGGAAGGCACAACAAAGCAATTCTGGCCCTACACACCTAAACAAGATCCGCCCTTTAATTTGCAAAGCCTTGACCCTGGCGTTTGGGGGCCGGTCGCTCCCCAGCGTGACAAAATACCGAGGGCAGAATACCAGGGTATCGAATGGCGTCTGATACCCCGAATAAAGGGTCAAGATCCAGACAGGTTTGTTTATAGATTGCATAAGCCAGAGGTTTTCAACCTTTTTGGGTTGTGATAGGAATTTTGAGGTCTTAGATATACGGTAATGTTCATAAGTGTACCAACCAAGCACGTACATAGATCAGCACAGGAAGACCGACCTGGAACCATTTTTGATTCCCAAACTGAGCAAATGTTTTCTCTGCAAGGTCAAAGGAAAATGGAAAAGCCTCCCCATTGTCTTTTCCTTCACAAATCCTGTCTTAAGGGTATGTCTGTGTTTGAATAGGGTGTGAGCCTGTGACCTGGCCCAGGAACTAAGTATTTATCACTACAAAAGAATGGCCAGGCTCCCCAGGCAATCCAATCAAGTAACCTGCCAGACAGGAGATAAACAAGGACAAGAGATAAACAACATTCAAATTTCTGTTGTAGACCGCCTTTTCTGTGATGTATGTATGATGTTTCTGGGGTAGTCTTGATCTAAAGGTAAAGGGACCCCTGACCATTAGGTCCAGTCGTGGCCGACTCTGGGGTTGCGGCGCTCATCTCACTTTACTGGCCGAGGGAGCCGGTGTACAGCTTCCGGGTCATGTGGCCAGCAGGACTAAGCCGCTTCTGGCGAACCAGAGCAGCGCACGGAAACGCCGTTTACCTTCCTGCCGGAGCGGTACCTATTTATCTACTTGCACTTTGATGTGCTTTTGAACTGCTAGGTTGGCAGGAGCAGGGACCGAGCAACGAGAGCTCACCCCGTCATTGTGGGGATTCGAACCGCCGACCTTCTGATCGGCAAGTCCTAGGCTCTGTGGTTTAACCCACAGCGCCACCCGCGTCCCTGGTCTTGATCTAGAGGGTGGCAATTTCAAAAGTCCATTATAACACCTTGCCCGCCATTGTTCTGGGTTCCTCCTCCTCTCCTGCGAGTGAGGGGAGTACCCTGTTGCAACAGATCAATAAAGATCAGGCTTACTAGCTTCTTTGCTTCTCAATATTCTCTGGTTGGCCTCTGTTATTTTCTCCTACCAATAGGGAACCTACATAAGGACTCTATATGGGCTCTTGGATACCCCATAAGGGAAAAGGGCAATTTTCTGTTTACAACAGAGTCCACAGCTCCCCTGAAATACATTTTTCTGTGGCACACCTTTGGGCTCAGGACCCCCGTTATATCCCCCCCTTCCCCACAGAGCTGGCAGCCCCTCACACTTTTCCGAACCCCCTCCCTTGTGGAGCGTTCCCTCGGCCTCCTTTCCCCTCTCCTTGGGGGTCTTCCGGGCAGCTGCTGCCCCAAAGAGAGGTGCCTCCTCACGCTGCCCCACTTGTCTGTCCATTCCCAACATCAGCGATGTCTAGGCGACACGATGACCATGTACATACGCAACGGACAATCTTTTATAGAATTCCTTCAAACCATAACAAGTCCAAAACGAAATCTTTTGTCCCAAAGCCTCTGAAAACCTTTAAATGAAGTGAGGTACCAGACTTTGTACAGTGGAAGATAAGCTGTGAAGCTTTGTGTGTTCAGCAAATATGATGTCCAACACTGAACAGCGATTCCGGATACTGACTACAGTGGTGCCTCGCAAGACGAAATTAATTCGTTCCGCGAGTTTTGTCGTCTTGCAATTTTTTTCGTCTTGCGAAGCACGGTGTTGGGAAAGTTTTGGAAAAGCTTCAAAAATCACCAGAGTCTTTAAAAACCTCAAAAAAGGCTACCACACCGCGTTCTATGAGTTGCTCCTCGAAGTCAAGTCGCAACTGTATTAACGGTGTTAAGAAAAAGGAAACAAACTTGCAAGACGTTTCCGTCTTGCGAAGCAAGCCCATAGGGGAAATCGTCTTGCGAAGCAGCTCAAAAAACCAAAAACCCTTTCGTCTTGCGAGTTTTCCATCTTGCGAGGCATTCGTCTTGCGAGGTACCACTGTACTGTTTCATAGAATTCTTTGGGTGGATATAGAATTGCTTCATAAACCCATCTTATTTGAATGAATGTGTGTAAATGAAAATATCAAATGCGGTGGAACAGTGCTCATGTAATAATGTAGTCACCACCTCGCTTCATTTAAGGTACCGGTAAATGACACCCCACCACAGCCTCAAACTAAGGCCAGGAAAACGACCATTGACACGGGCGCCATATATACCCAACGGCAAAGAGGCTCAGAAAAGCAGTCTATAAAATTGCAGCGATAAGAGGATACCATGCATCGCACTCTATCCAATACATAATCAAATAATTGCCGAAATTCAACGGTTTGACGGATTTCCTTGGTTGGCTCCTCTGGAAGGGGGGGGGGGTCCAGGTTTCCCCTGCCTCCATAATCCCTTAAGCATAAGGTCACGTACTCCTCGCACCTCCAGAAGGTGTGCGATGGCCTGGGATTCAGACTTGGAGGCTGAACCTGAGGGGTCCCAGCCTGCACAGGAGTCCCTGCCTCCAGAACCAGCTGGGGCTTGAGCCTGAAGGGTCCTCACCTGTGCTGGGTCCTCAGGTGAGTCTGCTCTGGCCCCTGAGGTGATGGAGGACCCATTGCCTGCAGGTGCTCCACTCTCAGCCCCGTCAGAGGAAGGTGAGGTTGCCTCTGGGTCCGGTCACCCTCCAGCCTCTTCTGAGCTGCAGAGGCTCAGGGCAGAGAGGCAGAGGGAACTAAGTTCCCGCAGGAGGAGGGCTCGCCTCCAGGCCAGGAGAGGCGAGTCACCAGAGGATCGGGGCCGCCCTATGCCTCGGGGCAGATAAAAGCCAGCCAGCCCCAGTCCCAGGTTGCGGGAGCAACATTGTTTGTAGCCTGTTCCTGCCTTCATCCTGTCCTGCTCTCCTGACCTCACCCGACTCCCTGCCTTGGACCCAGCTTCAGCTTTGACGGACAGCCTCCATACCGCTCCCTCGACCTCGGACTGGACTCGGACCTCGTCGCATGGTTAACCCTTGGGACCAGCACAAGGTGTGAATTTAGCCACACAATAAGAAATAGGAGGCAATCAAAGGCAGCGTATATCCAGGGTCATCTTAACCATAGGCGTTAGGGGCGCGGGGCGCCCGGTCGCCGGGCTCTCAGGGATGCCAGACTGAGAGTCCAGGGCCCCAGAGTTGGAGTCCGGGGAACTGCCCGCCCGTCGAAGCGCTGTGGCGGGGTCTTCTGCTGCGGGTGGCTCTCTGCCGCGAGTTCGGGGGCAAGCGAGCCAGCGAGGCGCTGAGGCTGCTGGCTGGCTCTGTCCTCCTGCGCGCCTGGGATTGGCGTAGGGCCATGGAGAGGCGCGCCCAGAGGCCACCTCACGCTCCTCTGTGCCCTGCCTGCGTGCCTTGAAAGCCGGCCCAAAGTACGCTGCCCCCCCCCCCAAAAGGTTGACAACTCTGGGCAACCTGGGGGTGGCGGCGCAGGGTTGGTTTTTGCACCTCTCATCGATATTTCCATATCTCGATTTTTATCTCTCCAAGCTTATTTGTCTCTGGCTCTGCGGTCCTCAGTCATGTCAGAAAACAGATAACCTTTCGTTCGCTGAGTGCAGATTTTTGTGTAATGTACCCTTTCAACTGTTTGTTTTTTTTAACTCGCTCTTTTGCTTCTTTAGCTTTGGCCAGAGAGACCTGAGGGGATTGGCACCCCGACCAGCTGGGCAGCAGAGTAAATCCGCACCCCGGGATTTTTCCTTATCAGGCAGAACACCCCCCCGGAGTCTTAGGACTGTGTTGCAGGGATTTATGTATAGGTTGGGGAGGGGGTGCCCCTCCAGCAGATATCATGCAGATGCAGCCCACTACCAAAACCAGCACAATCGCTTTTGTGACTTTTGCGATTTGTGCCCACAAAACACTTCATCGCAGTTTCTTCCTATCTATTCAAACGGCTGCACGATACCAAATGTAAGAATTCACTGATCAATGTATCTCTGTACTGACTCACTGGGAAAACTTCAGAAATTCATCTAGACATGTGAGCTCAGCTCCTCAGCAGCCCCTCTGCCTGAGTGATGATCCCTGGCATCCTGATACCTGAGTGCCAGACAGGTAGCCATTCCAGAAATAACAAACCCAGATGAAGTCAAAAGGGTGTGATGAACTTGGCTGGGAAACAGGGAAATGTAAAGATCTCTTTTGTTCCACTTGACGGGTGTTTGGTGGAGGGCAAGGGAAACCATGGGGCAGGGTCCAGGATGCTCAGATTCCGGCCACCAGACCTCCCCTTTCATGATGTAACCATGATGTAGTTTGGGGGGGTGTGTAACATGGGGATTAAAGGTAAAGGTACCACTGCCCATACAGGCCAGTCTTGACAGACTCTAGGGTTGTGCGCCCATCTCACTCAAGAGGCCGGGGGCCAGCGCTGTCCGGAGACACTTCCGGGTCACATGGCCAGCGTGACAAGCTGCATCTGGCGAGCCAGAGCCGCACACAGAAACGCCGTTTACCTTCCCACCGGTAAGCGGTCCCTATTTATCTACTTGCACCCGGGGGTGCTTTCAAACTGCTAGGTTGGCAGGCGCTGGGACCGAACGACAGGAGCGCACCCCACCGCGGGAATTCGAACCGCCGGCCTTTCAATCGGCAAGCCCTAGGCGCTGAGGCTTTTACCCACAGCGCCACCCGCGTCCCATGTGTAACATGGGGATTAGCAGCTAATAAAAGTTTGGGTTCTCTTTTGTTCGGGGCTTCCATCTTGTTCCACCTGGTGGCAGGTGGGAGTCCTGTTGCGACCGTCTTCAATAAAGACCAAGTCTACTGGCTGCTGTTTTGCTCTGGTATTCCTGGCTGGGGTCCTTGTTTTTTGCCCAAGGGAGCCCCCAGATTCCTCCGTTAACAGCTGCCAACCTTGATTTCCCACAACATTTTGCCCATACATACATGCAGGCAAAGCAAGCTGACAAACAGACCGAGAAGGAAAATAAGGGGTTATTTCCCCTTAATCCCCACCCCATCACCGCCACCAGGGAGGGTCACTTAAAAAACAGGGATCAGCAGGCACAACTTTAGCACAGGATATATATTTTGAAACACAACAGCAGCCAGGTAAATTCAGTTAGCAACACCCAGGAAAAGAGAGGAGGACAGATGGATACGACAACCACAGAGTCAAAAAACCACAGGCGGGGGGGGGGGCAGACATGGGACTCTGCGGACAGAGGGCAGGAGGAAGACGGAAGCAGGGTTAAGAATTAAACGGAGTATCCTTACTTCGGTGTGACTGGGCGCCTTCGCCCTGCTCTGCAGGAAAGAACAGCAGGGTTTTTATATACTTTCAGCAAACACATTTCCATAACATTTATACGCTTTCAGCAAAGTGGAACGCTGGCCCACACAGACATTGCCTTCCCTCCCTCCCGGCCGTCACTCAGATTCCATTTCGACAGGCCTTCAATTGTGCTGATTGGTCGGCGATTGATTGATTGATGGGCCAGGTTCTGTCCCCGGCACAAGGCGAGTTTTGCGGGCCAAGGACACAATCGCACAGACTCCCTTCTCTACCCCGGAGGTCTGTCTTTGGATCCCTGGCTGGCCACCCCTTGCTAGTGATATGAGAATTATAAGGTCTAAGATGTGAAATAAATGTTCATAGATGTACCAGGCAAACACACACATAAATAAAGCTGTTGAATGGTTTCTTCAAATTTTAGGTTCCTTATTGTTTCACAAGATGTGTATGTCTTTAAGGGCCAGAGCAAATAACATGACCTAGTTTTACAGCTGTGAAGCCATATAGCAGGTGATGTTAGTAAAGGTAAAGGGACCCCTGACCGTTAGGTCCACTCGCGGCCGACTCTGGGGAGGCGCTCATCTCGCTTTACTGGCCGAGGGAGCCAGCGTAAAGCTTCCGGGTCATGTGGCCAGCAGGACTAAGCCGCTTCTGGCAAACCAGAGCAGCGCACGGAAATGCCGTTTGCCTTCCCGCCGGAGAGGTACCTATTTATCTACTTGCACTTTGACGTGCTTTCGAACTGCTAGGTTGGCAGGAGCAGGAACCGAGCAACGGGAGCTCACCCCATTGCGGGGGATTCGAACTGCCGACCTTCTGATCGGCAAGTCCTAGGCTCTGTGGTTTAACCCACAGCGCCACCAGCGTCTCTGCAGGTGCTGTTAAGTTGTGGTAATTAAGCTGTTGGGTATGGTATATAAAGAGCAGCATGAATCTCTCTCAGTACCCTGGTCATGATATATTGTATATATTTAATGTCTAGGTGGCGCCTAAGCAATTCCCGTTAATTCTTTCAGAGGATATTGCTTCATTTTTGCCCTGCGGACCGTTAGAATAAGGCCCCAGGAAGGCTTGAATCCAGCCCCCGGTTCCACCATATCAATTCCTTGGAAATGGGAGTGCCCTCAGTCTCTGCCCTCTCTCCTCTGTCAAAAGTAGAGATTGTAGATGTCTCGGGGCAGGGGTCTAGCTGTAATGGGGGACCCCGCAAGTCGACGCCGGTCTTGGGCCGCCCTGTTACGGAGCGGGGAGCTACCTGCGTCGAGAGACGCACCTCTAGCTCACCAGACCCGCATGCCATGCACACACAACCGAAATCCATGCCACACAAATCTTCGGACACCTCCGGCCACCAGACGGGGACGACACACGACGACAGACACACACCTCCACGACACAAGCACCACAACCCAGCCTCTCCCGATCTCCTGCTGTTTCCTCTGTCCCTCTAGGACAGGGATAGGGAAATATGTGGTGCTGAATGCCCACCAGCCCTGGTAAAGGTAAAGGTAAAGGTAAAGGGACCCCTGACCATTAGGTCCAGTTGTGGCCGACTCTGGGGTTGCGGCGCTCATCTCGCTTTATTGGCTGAGGGAGCCGGCGTACAGCTTCCGGTCATGTGGCCAGCAGGACTAAGCTGCTTCTGGCGAACCAGAGCAGCGCACGGAAATGCCATTTACCTTCCCGCCGGAGCGGGACCTATTTATCTACTTGCACTTTGAGGTGCTTTCGAACTGCTAGGTTGGCAGGAGCAGGGACCGAGCAACGGGAGCTCACCCCGTCATTGCGGGGATTCGAACTGCCGACCTTCTGATCGGCAAGTCCTAGGCTCTGTGGTTTAACCCACAGCGCCACCCGTGTCCCTTGTACCAACCCTGGTAGCCTGGGAATCTGGCAACCCAATTCGAACAATTCCACCCCTTGACCCAAAGGAAGAGGACCCCTTTCCAAAAAGAGGAATCGTCTCCATCTCTCCAGGAGAGCAGGGAATGCCTCTTCTTAAGAGCAGGGATAGGGGAACCTGTCTAGATGTTGCTGGACTCCGTCTTTAAAAGTTAAGGAGTCTGGCAAGATCTGGAGGGACGCAGTGGGTTGTGCACCCCAGCTCTTTGGCCCAGGAAAGGATTTCTCGCTTGAACCTCCTGCCACGGACAAGACACTCAAGGAACAGGAAAGGTCGATAATTACCTTCTCGTTCCCTTTGCCATGTTTTCTCAAGAGAGTGCCCTGCAGAGACAATCAATATCACAAATTGATCAATGCGGAAGGGGAAAGGGCGAGCGAGGAAGTCTAGCGAAGGGAGGGCAGGAGGGTGGAAGGAAGGACAGACGGATGGACAGACGAACGGACGACCTGTCATCTCCAGGCATGACATTGCCCTCCCTCCCCCAATACTCCCAGTTGGTGCTGACCTTGAAAGCCCTAAACAGCCCAGTATACCCGATGGAGCATCTCCACCCCCATCGTTCAGCCTGGACACTGAGGTCCAGCTCCGAGGGCCTTCTGGCGGTTCCCTCCCTGCAAGAAGTGAGGTTACAGGGAACCAGGCACAGGGCCTTCTCGGTGGTGGCGCCCGCCCTGTGTCACGCCCTCCCGTTAGATGTCAAGGAGATAAACAGCTATCTAACTTTTAGAAGACATCTGAAGGCAGCCCTGTTTAGGGAAGTTTTTTAATGTTTGAAGTTTTATAGGGAGGGAAAGTACCATTCAAAGTGTTGGTGCTCCCCTTAAAAGCCCTAAACAGCCCAGTATACCTGAAGGAGTGTCTCCACCCCCATCGTCCAGCCCGGACACTGAAGTCCAGCTCCGAGGGCCTTCTGGCAGTTCCCTCTCTGCGAGAAGTGAGGTTACAGGGAACCAGGCAGAGGGCCTTCTCGGTGGTGGTGCCCGCCCTGTGGAACACCCTCCCGTCAGATGTCAAGGAGATAAACAACTATCTGACTTTTAGAAGACATCTGAAGGCAATCCTGTATCAGGAAAATTTTAATGTCTAATGTTTAATCTTCTTCCTTCCATATAGACAGTTACATTTGTTACTCAACAATTCTATTCCAGTTCAACAGAACTAGGGGCTGGTTCCACTCACCCAGCTTTGATGTCTTTAACCCAAATTACATAAGGTTCTGTTTTATCTGATTTCATCCTCTCTAATACATTATGCTGTTTAGTCAACCTCTTGCTTGCATTAGGAGAACGCTGCCTCTTAAGACATGGGTAGGCAAACTAAGGCCTGGAGGCCGGATTCGGACCAATCGCCTTCTCAATCCGGCCCGCGGACGGTCTGGGAATCAGCGTGGTTTTACATGAGTAGAATGAGTGCTTTTGTTTAAAATGCATCTCTGGGTTATTTGTGGGGCATTTATTTCCCCCCTTCAAAATATAATCCGGCCCCCCACAAGGTCTGAGGGACAGTGGATTAGCCCTCTGCTGAAAAAGTTTGCTGACCCCTGTTCTAAACAAATCCATCAACTACCTTCCTGCTAAATACAAGGGAATATGCTCTGCTAGCGTGAGTGAGGAAGGGTAATATTTAATCAATATATCCGCTCCTACTATCCTCAACATTCCCACAGTTAAGGGAATAAGACTTACCAACCCCACCTCTGAAACGGATCGCAGGTTATGCAAATGGATACCTGAAGGAGCATCTCCACCTCCATCGTTCTGCCCGGACACTGAGGTCCAGCTCTGAGGGCCTTCTGGCGGTTCCCTCATTGCGAGAAGCCAAGTTACAGGGGACCAGGCAGAGGGCCTTCTCGGTGGTGGCACCCACCCTGTGGAACGCCCTCCCTCCAGATGTCAAAGAGAAAAATAACTACCAAACTTTTAGAAGACACCTGAAGGCACCCCTGTTCAGGGAAGCTTTTAATGTTTAATAGGTTATTGTATTTTAGTGTTCTGTTGGAAGCCGCCCAGAGTGGCTGGGGAAACCCAGCCAGATGGGCAGGGTATAAATATATTATTATTATTATTATTATTATTATTATTATTATTATTATTATTATTATTTCCCCTTTCTCAGGAGGAAAACCAGGTACAGTGGTACCTCTGGTTAAGTACTTAATTCGTTCTGGAGGTCCGTTCTTAACCTGAAACTGTTCTTAACCTGAAGCACCACTTTGGCTAATGGGGCCTCCGGCTGCCGCCGCGCGATCTGTGTTCTCACCCTGAAGCAAAGTTCTTAACCCGAGGTACTATTTCTGGGTCATCGGAGTCTGTAACCTGAAGCGCCTGTAACCCGAGGTACCACTGTATCTGGTGGGACAGGGAGAAAGTTTCCACCGAGACGCGACAGCTGGCGCAAAGCAGCTCGGCGACAAGAGGGAAGGGTTTGGGGGGTTCACAGAACAAAAGGCGTTTTGGGGAAGGGTGGGGGGCAGGGAGAAGATAGAGGCACATTGAAGAAAGTAGCCAGCCACCACAGAACGACAGAAAAACCAGCTCAAATTACTCGGGAGGGGTTGGGGTTTGGGGTGGGGGCACTAAACGCAAGGCACAAGGACAAAGAGAAAGAGACAAACGAAAGACAGACAGGGCTTTCACCTGCCGTACTTACAATCATCTGCCCAGGTGAGGGGAGCAATCAGAAAGAACAGCCGTCACGTGAGAATGAGCCTCAGGTCCGCCGCAAACCCACCCCGCAACCCCGAAACAACACACAACGCCGCGGCAACCCCACACAAAAGAGATAGCGCAGCGCAAAGCCTCCAGGGCGCACGGCCACGGGGCGCCCTCGGGACGCGGGGTTTGTTTGGGCGCAGAATGGAGACTGCGCCCCTAATATTTTTAGGCGTACCCCCAAGCCCCGAACCCCTGCCCCTTTGAGACACACCCCTCCCCCAGACCGTGAAGGCTGCAGTTTTTCCACCCGCAGTTAGACAAAAGGCGAATCAGTTTGAACAAAACCGCACACCCCAAAATCATTGCAGGTTCTATTTCCAAATGCATCATAACTTAAAAAGGGGAAAAAAGTCAAACGGCATCAGATCTGTTAGCTATGCCCGTTTCACTCTGACTTTTTAATTAATTTATTTCCTTGCTGTTGCGAAAATGAAGAGATCTGGTGGATCCTATTGAAGGGTTTTTTAGGGGGGGGTAGTCTGATCCTGTACCCCAATAAGGGTGAGACTCTTTTTTTAAATTTTATTTTTTACCAACAACCAAAACACAAACGGTGAAAGCCCCCCAGGCGGCTGATACGTTGGGTATACATATTCAATACTATACTTATTCAATAATATACATATTCAATAATATCATGTTCAAATCAACCTTAACACTCCTCCCTCCACAAAGTTTATTTAACTTTTAACACTTTAATTGCCCAAATTGTTCAAACCTGCCCAAATAATTCAATATCTTCTCAAACCAACCCTCCTCCTTCTCACTGACCTTAAACCCTTTCATTCTATGTCTCTTCACAGTTAAAGGTAAAGGGACCCCTGACCATTAGGTCCAGTCATGACCGACTTTGGAGTTGCAGCGCTCATCTCGCTTTACTGGCCGAGGGAGCCGGCGTACAGCTTCCGGGTCATGTGGCCAGCAGGGCTAAGCCGCTTCTGGCGAACCAGAGCAGTGCATGGAAACGCTGTTTACCTTCCTGCCAGAGCAGTACCTATTTATCTACTTGCACTTTGGCGTGCTTTTGAACTGCTAGGTTGGCAGGAGCAGGGACTGAGCAACGGGAGCTCGCCCCATCATTGCGGGGATTCGAACCGCCGACCTTCTGATCAGCAAGTCCTAGGCTCTGTGGTTTAACCCCCAGCGCCACCCTTTGTGGTTAAGTAGCCATTAATAGCAGTTTCCTCAATTATTTTCCCCACCCCATAACCTTTTAAAAAGCCATCTGGATTGGTGGTTGCCACTGCTTCCTGTGGCAGAGAGTTCCGCAGGCTATCTTTATCTGTCCTGAATCTCCCAGTGTCCAGCCTCCTTGGATTGATGACTTCCAGTGCTCGTGGAAACTCAGAATGGCAGAGCTCGAAGAGACCCCAGGGGTCATCTAGTCCAACCCTTTGCAATGCCGGAATCTTTTGCCTGACGTGGAACTCGAACCCACAACCCTGAAATCAGGAGCCTCATTCACTGCTGACTGAACTATCTCCCGTTTCTGCACCGGTTTGCGACTTAAAAACAACAACGCATGAATGTCCATGCTGCAAATTTATCCTAGCGTACATTTCTGTATGCAATTCCCTCCCCCCCCAATAAAAAAATCACTTTTTGTTTTTGCAAATCAGTTTCCCCTAATACAGTACTCCGTCCCACTAATATATGCATTTTCCACACACATTTCTCCCCACAATTTGCATTCTTGTCCAGATTTCCTGACTGGGGAACAGCCTTACAAAATTAATGTATGTCCAGATTTTGAGCTGCGGTTGCATTTCTGCCAGAGTACCATTTTGGAAAATTGCAGAAGCGGTCAGTTTGCATTTAAAAAGTGAACCGAACCAAATTTCTCCTTCCCCTCTGCTCCTCGAGAGATGGCCACCCTCCTTATAACAGCGTCGGCTAAACAAACAGTTGCATGATGTTAACTAACCCCTGTTTCTTAAACCACGAAACTCAAGGCGGTCTTAGGTCTGCCTCTCAGTTCCCGATATCCCCAAGCATAAATACTATCCCTGCACCAACTTGCAATTTAATTTTTTTAAAAAAATCCAAAACAAAATCTCATATTGTGCACATCCTGTCTCGTGTACGCATTTTTTTTGCAAGCGATTTCCCCTAATATAGCCCCCCCCAATTGTTAGCTAATTTCCCCAAATATGTATATTTCCCCTTTAAAGGGTAAAGGAACCCCTGACCGTTAGGTCCAGTCGTGACCGACTCTGGGGTTGCGGCGCTCATCTCACTTTATTGGCCGAGGGAGCCGGCGTACAGCTTCCGGGTCATGTGGCCAGCAGGACTAAGCCGCTTCTGGTGAACCAGAGCAGCGCACGGAAATGCCGTTTACTTTCCCGCCGAAGCGGTACCTATTTATCTACTTGCACTGGCGTGCTTTCGAACTGCTAGGTGGGCAGGAGCTGGGACTGAGCAACAGGAGCTCACCGCAACATTGCGGGGATTCGAACCGCCGACCTTCTGATCAGCAAGTCCTAGGCTCTGTGGTTTAACCCACAGCGCCACCCCTTTACATAAAGCTTTTCTGTTTTGTTTTACTGCATCACAACATTTGGGTAAGAGTGAGTTTTGTAGGAGCTAGACATGGCTCAGACACGGCCGCATGTCCCCCAGTGACACTCGGATCCACCCCCCAAATAACACTGGAAAACAGGATTCCTCCCCAGCCAGCAAATTATTGGGGGGTCGGACGGGCAAACCCCTCATCTGAACACCTTCACTTTTAATCAAAGCGTACTCTACAAATACGGTGGCTAAACAGACTGTCCCCAAAAGATACAGGGGTTAGTCCACATCCCACCTGCAATTTATCGTATTTTTTGCTCTATAAGACTCACTTTTCCCCTCCTAAGAAGTAAGGGGAAATGTGTGTGCGTCTTATGGAGCGAATGCAGGCTGCGCAGCTATCCCAGAAGCCAGAACAGCAAGAGGGATTGCTGCTTTTGCTGCGCAGCGATCCCTCTTGCTGTTCTGGCTTCTGAGATTCAGAATATTTTTTTTCTTGTTTTCGAGACTGCAATTCCCATCATCCCTGACCGCTGGTCCTGATAGCAAGGGATCGTGGGAGTTGTAGGCCAAAAACATCTGGCTGAGGAAGCCTGCTGTAAGCTGAGCTGAAGGCAGCCTTTCTCAACCTGTGGGTCCCCAGATGTTGTCGAATTACAACTCCCATCACCCCTAGCTAGCAAAGCCAGAGCTCAGGGATGATGGGAGTTGTAGTCCAACAACATCTGGGGAGCCACAGGTTGAGAACCGCTGCCTTAGACTGAGACAGCCAAGGGGCAAGAAAGCTGTGAGTTCGAGTCCAGCAACATCTGAAGGGATACAGGTCAACTTTCTGTCCCGAGGGAAGCTAAATCCTACGTCCTGTATCCAGATTTGGATGAAGTCCTCTTTCTTCATACAGTTCCATTTATCTTCTGGGGGTGGGAGAAGGCTCTACAGTGAACTGGACCCCCCCAGCCTCACCAGACTGGGTTTTTTAAGCACATCTTAGCAGCTGTGTGAGCTGGGAACCGACTTTCATTAAAAGAAAACAAGGAGCGAACCTGCTTATTTCAAGATAAAAGCCAAGCGTGCAACCGGTCTACATTTTTATGAAGGCCCAGCTGAGAGACTTCCATGTTGGGTTCCTACACCCCCAGGTTGCCCACACTCCCAGAGTTTTTTTTTGGGGGGGTGTTGGTGCTGTGGGGCCGTGGGGGAAGAGTGGGTTGGCCCATCTTGTCGCCCACGTGGTTTGGCACTCACCGTCTGGTCCGTGAGGGGCGGAAGCACGATGGTCTTCTCCATAGTGTTCATGACGAGTTTCCAAAGCTCCTTCAGCACCCGCTTGAGGACGGTCTTCTCGCAGATCTTCGCAAAGAGGGTCAGGCTGCGAGAGAAGAAGACCCCCAGGGGGAAGCAGGTGAGCGTCACTCAGGGCCAGAGCGGGGAAGGAGGGGGGGATCTGAGGGAGCGAGCATGCTTGTGTTTGTTTCTTTGTGTGTGTGTGTGTGTGTGTGTGTGTGTATTTGTGTGTGTTTGAGTGTGTGTTTGTATGTGTGTATGTGTATTTCAGTGTGTGTTTGTATGTGTGTGTGTGTGTGTATTTGAGTGTGTTTGAATGTGTGTGTTTGTGTGTGTGTGTGTGTGTGTGTGTATTTGAGTGTGTGTTTGTGTATGTGTGTGTATTTGAGTGTGTTTGAATGTGTGTGTTTGTTTGTGTGTGTGTTTGTATTTGTATGTGTTTGTGTGTGTGTGTTTGAGAGAGTGTGTGTGTGTGTGTGTGTGTGTGTGTGTATTTGAGTGTGTGTTGTGTGTGTATTTGAGTGTGTGTTTTGAGTGTGTGTGTGTTTGAGTGTGTGTGTGTGTTTGTGTGTGTAATTGAGTGTGTGTGTTTGAGTGTGTGTTGTGTGTGTATTTGAGTGTGTGTGTGTGTTTGAGTGTGTGTGTGTGTGTGTGAGAGAGAGAGAGAGAGAGAGAGAGAGAGAGAGAGAACCAGCACAACCAGGCGTTCCAGAAAGACTGGAAGAAATTTATGTTACATTCGGAAGACAACCTAGTAGGGTTGCAAGAAGTTTCGAAAGGATGAAATCATCATTTATTACTAAACGCAGTTCCATCAAGTAATTTTATGAGGATATAATTTAACAGCGATAAGAAATATCGGAAAATGCAGTATACTGAGATTAAATTTGAAAACCATTTGTCGGGGAGGAGGGGAGTCACAGCCTTATTTAAGCCAAATGTTTTATCTGTGCAAAGTACCGTATTTTTTGCTCTATAAGACTCCCTTTTCCCCTCCTAAAAAGTAAGGGGAAACATGTGTGCGTCTTACGGAGCGAATGCAGGCTGCGCAGCTATCCCAGAAGCCAGAAGAGCAAGAGGGATCGCTGCTTTCGCTGCGCAGTGATCCCTCTTGCTCTTCTGGCTTCTGAGATTCAGAATATTTTTTTTCTTGTTTTCCTCCTCCAAAAACTAGGTGCGCCTTGTGGTCTGGTGCATCTTACAGAGCGAAAAATACGGTATGTTGTCGTGCAAGAAAACATCTGTAAAAACCAATAAAAATGATTATTATTAAAAAAGAAAACAAAAGCCACACGCATGCCTCCATAGGCTGAACCTGTGGTCCTAGACCTCTATGGCATCTATGGCATTGCCACTCACTTGCTATCGAGAAGGTCCATGATGGGTTGCAATACGTTGTCGGCGTCTTGGGCTACGCTGCTGCAAGCGCTGGCCGGCACATTGCCAGTGCCCTTCACCTGACTCAGAATGTCCCCCATCTGCTTCACGCAGTCCTCGATGTGCGGCTGGAAACTTGGGGGTGAGGAGATAATAATAATAAGAATTTAGAGAAGCGAGGTTACAGGGAACCAGGCAGAGGGCCTTCTCGGTGGTGGCGCCCTCCGGCCAGATGTCAAGGAAATAAACAACTATCTGACTTTTAGAAGACATCTGAAGGCAGCCCTGTTTAGGGAAGCTTTTAATGTCTTGGTGTTTTATGGTGTTTTTAATATCCATCTGGTAAGCAGGATGGGACCCTCCCTGCCTGCGCACTGTCTCGCCAGAGTGGTGCATGCTCTGGTTATCTCCCGCTTGGACTACTGCCATGGGCTCTCTGTGGGGCTGCCTTTGAAGGTGACCCAGAAACTGCAACTAATCCAGAATGCTGCAGCTAGGAGTAAAGACCACATAACACCGGACCTGAAAGACCTACATTGGCTCCCGGGATGTTTCTGAGCACAATTCAAAGTGTTGGTGCTGACCTTGAAAGCCCTAAATGGCCCAGTAGACCTGAAGGAGCGTCTCCACCCCCATCGTTCTGCCCGGACACTGAGGTCCAGCTCCGAGGGCCTTCTGGAGGTTCCCTCCCTGCGAGAAGTGAGGTTGTAGGGAACCAGGCAGAGGGCCTTCTCGGTGGTGGCGCCCACCCTGTGGAACGCCCTCCCATCAGATGTCAAGGAGATAAAGAACTACACAACTTTTAGAAGATATCCGAAGGCAGCCCTGTTCAGGGAAGCTTTTTAATACTTGATGTCATGTTATGTTTTTAAATCAGCCCAAGATAAAGGCAAAGGGACCCCTGACCATTAGGTCCAGTTGTGGCCGACTCTGGGGTTGCGGCGCTCATCTCGCTTTATTGGCTGAGGGAGCCGGCGTACAGCTTCCGGGTCATGTGGCCAGCAGGACTAAGCCGCTTCTGGCGAACCAGAGCAGCACATGGGTACACCGTTTACCTTCCCACCGGAGCGGTACCTATTGATCTACTTGCACTTTGACGTGCTTTCGAATCAACCCTACCTGGTTGCAAACACTCGACTCAGCTCGTCCAAGACGTTGTTGAGCTTCACCTGCAGTTCCTTGAGGATGTCGCTGGCTTCTGTGTCCAGCTGGAACGGCAGGAGGCAAAAGAGCAATGTTCATCCTTGGAAAATTAATAGGAAGCCCCCCCCCAGGGCAAATTCTCCAGCAAGAGGATTCTTATAAATTTGCATCTCTATCCTATTGAGGCCAAGCCAAGCTTAGATGAATGCAGAGTTGCTCGGGGGACTAAGCAGTTTGTAGTCAACCTTCTGTGAGGGAAAGGGAAGTTGTGAGTTTGGCTGGAGCCGAAGACTCTAATGTTCGGCTGGTGCCCCCCTTCCCATTCCACGAAGAAAAGCAGAACAGCCAAGCTATTGGGACTTAAGTCTTCACTGGAGGCAAGACCTTTTCCTCTTCTACTGTCAGGAGTGCGTGCAGGAGCCAGGCCCTGTGACCAGTAGGGCTTTGCAGTACTGGGGCCTTCCTAAGTTTGTTCTGGAGAGGCAAGGCACAGCCACACAGGTGAGGCCATTTGGTAACTCACAGTAACTGGTGGCAAGAGCCGGGAAGGGATATAAGGTCAGCATTTTCCCTTCGGCTCTTTGCCACAGCAACACGTTCCCTGCTTTGCTGTGTTTGACTCCTTGACCCCTGACTTCGTGACTCCTTGCTTCTTGATCTTCAGACCCCTGACTTCGTGACTCCTTGCTTCCCAACCCTCAGACCCCTGACTTCGTGACTCCTTGCTTTTTGATCCTTGGACCCTTGACTTCGTGACTCCTTGCTTCTTGATCCTCGGACCTCTGACTTCATGACTCCTTGCTTCTTGATCCTCGGACCCTCGGCTTCTTGAATCCCAGCTCTCTGACCCTCGGACCCTTGGCTTCCTGACTCCTGGCTTCTGGACTCCCATTCCTGCTCCCACCCCGCCATCTTGCCCCCGGTCCCGACGTCCCCAGCCGGGACTTCTATCGCCCGTGACACCTACCACCCCTGACAGCAGGTGGCAAGTTGAGGGGGCAAAGCTACACAGGACACAGAAAGAGCTCTGCCTTTCCATCTTTTCTCAGCTGCTCTGCGGCCCCAGCCGCTCTGTCCTGTGACAGGTCCGGCTCCCGAAGACCTTTTAAGAAATGCAAACCTCTTTCCCCCCCATGGCTTCAAACATTTTCTCCAGTTGGACCCGCAGCTGCTGGATGTTGTTCATCAAGATGCAGGGCTGCAAAGGGAGAAAGAAAACAAAACGGACACGTCGTTACGAAGACGCTGGGATTCCTAGGAAAGGCGGAAACCTCCTTTTCTTTCTCTAATTATTCCGGGAAGTCGCTCTCTACAACGTGGAGGGAGCACAGAATAGAATTCCCCCCTTTATACAGGAGGCTACTTTGTGTACACACACACACAACCCACTCTCTGTTGTGCGTCCAGGCCAGCAAACAGCATGATTCGAGTTCAGCGACACCAATGGTTCCTTGCTGAGACAACATCTTCCAAAGCTCAGCCTTCAGCACCCATTGGGAGCTGTCCAAAGTGCTGATTTGGCTGGCCCAGGTTTCATATATTGCCACCACCAATATTGCCCTAAACTCTCCACTCGCCAGCAGGTCACGACCATTTAAAATGCATAAATTAAAAATAGTTTAAACAAATTGCTGCCCCGGGAATAGGGAGGGCCTGAAAAGGCATTCGAGGCCCGCAAAATAAGGCGGGTATGAACGCCGACCCGTCAAATTCACCCAGATGGCAATGTAATAAAATTCACACATTTGGGGCTGCCGCAGAGAAGGCCCCGTCCCAGACCACAACCGCCCCCAAACATCAGAGGGCAGTGGAACTAGTGAAAAGCCCCCCCCCTCTGCTCATCTTAACTATTAGGAGGATGTGTAGAGAAGGAGCCGGTCTCTCAAACTTTGCGGCCCCGAGTCATTTAGGGTCGACATCATGTGTCCCCAGCCCAGCCCCGGCCCCTTTGGTGCCTCGCTGCTGTTCTTTGGGAAACCCAAATCCATGGGTAGGCAATACAACAATTTATTTATTACAGCCATGGGCCCATACAGGAAAAAACATAAATAACAGCAAACTAAGGCCAGGGGGCCGGATCCGGCCCAATCCCCCTCTCAATCCGGCCCGTGGACGGTCCAGGAATCAGTTTTTTTTTACATGAGTAGAATATGTCCTTTTATTTAAAATGCATCTCTGGGTTATTTGTGGGGCATGGGAATTCGTTCATTTCCCCCACCTTCAAAATATAGTCCGGCCCCCCACAAGGTCTGAGGGACAGTGGACCGCCCTCCCTGCTGAAAAAGTTTGCTGGCCCCTGAAATCTGGACACTTGGAGATGGAAGGGGAAAGAGCTACGAAACAGATACATCACCACTTTCTCTTTCTCCTTGGAGCAATGGGTAGCAAAGTCCTTGGAGATGATTTCGGCGTATTGCAGCAAGACGTTGCTAATGGTCTGGAAGGGAAAAGAGGAGGGGAGGCTGACGAGATGAAGAAAGCGGGGTGCTATTGTGATAGGAATTTTGAGGTCTTAGATATATGGCAATGTTCATAAGCGTACCAACCAAGCACATACATAGATCAGCACAGGAAGGCCGACCTGGAACCATTTTGATTCCTAAACTGAGCAAATCTTTTCTCTGCAAGGTCAAAGTGGAAAAGCCTCCCCACTGTCTTTTCTTTCAAAAATCCTGTCTTAAGGGCATGTCTGTGTTTGAACAGGGTGTGAGCCTGTGACCTGGCCCAGGAACTAAGTATTTATCATTACAAAAGACTGGCCAGGCTCCCCAGGAAATCCAATCAAGTAACCTGCCAGACAGGAGATAAACAACGACAGGAGAAAAACAACACTCAAATTTCTGTTGTAGACCGCCTTTTCTGTGATGTAGGTGTGATGTATCTGGGGGGTGGTCTTAGCTTACACCCCTTCTGTGATGTATGTATGATGTTTCTGGGGGTGGTCTGGATCTACAGGGTGGCAATCTCAAAAGTCTTTATAAGGCCTTGCGCGCCATTTTTCTGGGTCCCTCCTCTCTCCTGCAAGTGAGGGGAGCACCCTGTTGCAACAGATCAATAAAGATCAGGCTTACTAGCTGCTTTGCTTCTCAATATTCTCTGGTTGGCCTCTGTTATTCTCTCCTACCAATAGGGAACCTACGTAAGGACTCTATATGGGCTCTTGGATACCCCATAAGGGAAAAGGGCAATTTTTGTTTACAACACTATTGCCTCCTATATATACACACACACACATACACACACACGTATATATATATGTGTGTGTGTGTGTGTGTGTGTGTGTGTGTGTGTGTGTGTATATATAAAGGTAAAGGTACCCCTGCCCCTACGGGCCAGTCTTGACAGACTCTAGGGTTGTGCGCCCATCTCACTCAAGAGGCCGGGGGCCAGCGCTGTCTGGAGACACTTCCGGGTCACGTGGCCAGCGTGACATCGCTGCTCTGGCGAGCCAGAGCCACAAACGGAAACGCCATTTACCTTCCCGCTAGTAAGTGGTCCCTATTTATCTACTTGCACCCGGGGGTGCTTTCGAACTGCTAGGTTGGCAGGCGCTAGGACCAAGCAACGGGAATGCACCCTGCCGCGGGGATTCGAACCGCCGACCTTTCGATCGGCAAGCCCTAGGCGCTAAGGCTTTTACCCACAGCGCCACCCGCGATATATATATACATATAAAATTAAGCAACGCTCCTAAGTCGCTGCCGTCGCACGGAACACGTTCTTACCTTGGCAAACCTGCGCATGTAGTGGCCCACAATCTGTGGGTCGGGGCATTCCAGCTTCTTGATGATTTCGAAGCTCTGGTTCAGCTGGGAGAAGACGTCGACCACCGAGCAGGAGAAAAGGGCGTGCTCCGACGTTTGCTGGAACTAAAGGGGAGGCAGACAAGAGGGTCGGGTGAGCAGATGGATCCCGTTTGGAGGAGAGGAACCTGGCTCCCTTACAAAACATTTCATTCCGGTGCGGTTTCTGCATTTCAGTAATAATAATGTTGGAGGGGATGGAATAGTTGCCCAGATTGGCTGGGACAACCCAGCCAGATGGGTAGGGTACAACAGCAACAGCAACAGCAACAGCAACAGCAACAGCAACAGCAACAGCAACAATATTTATACATCGCCCACCTGGCTGGGTTGCTCCAGCCACTCTGGGCGGCTTCCAAAATATATACAAACACAACAAAACATTAAACCTCCCAATATAGGGCTGCCTTCAGATGTCTTCTAAAAGTTGCGCAGCTCTTTGTCCCCATTGACATCTGACTGGAGGTTGTTCCACAGGGAGGGTGCCACCACCAAAAAGGCCTTGGTCCAGTATATCTGAAGGTGCGTCTCCACCCCCATCGTTCTGCCCGGACACTGAGGTCCATCTCCCGAGAGCCTTCTGGCGGTTCCCTCCCTGCGAGCAGCCAAGTTACAGGGAACCAGGCAGAGGGCCTTCTCGGTGGTGGCGCCCGCCCTGTGGAACACCCTCCCACCAGATGTCAAAGAGAAAAAGAACTACCTGACTTTTAGAAGACATCTGAAGGCAGCCCTGTTCAGGGAAGCTTTTAATGTTTAATAGGTTTTTGTATTTTAATATTCTGTTGGAAGCCGCCCAGAGTGGCTGGGGAAACCCAGCCAGATGGGCAGGGTATGAATAATAAATTATTATTATTATTATTATTATTATTATTAGGCCCTCTGCCTGGTTCCCCGCCACTTTGTTTCTCGCAGCGAGGGAACCGCCAGAAGGCCCTCGGAGTCGGCTAGCTGTTCTGCCCACCTCCTCATCCTGCAAGGAGCTTGTGTATGTGGCTCTCCAATCCTCACAGCAACCTCACAATAAATTGTAATGGATTGCTTTGAAGCTAATTCAGCACCAGGTATTGGGGGTCAAATGGGCTATTTGGCTGGGCTCTCCTGATTGAAGCGTGCAATGCTGTGCAGTGTCTGCAATGTTCAGTGAGGCCAGGGGAATTGTGAAATGTCTCTCCAACTTTAAACAGGTTTCAGGCAATGTATCGATACATCGCTCAGGCTTAATGACAACAACAACAATAATAATTTATTATTTATACCCCGCCCATCTGGCTGGGTTTCCCCAGCTGCCCTGGGGCGGCTCCCAACAGAATATTAAAAACACAATACAGCATCAAACATTAAACACTTCCCTAAACAGGGCTGCCTTCAGATGTCTTCTAAAAGTCAGATAGCTGCTTATTTCCTTCACATCTGGTGGGAGGGCGTTCCACAGGGCGGGCGCCACCACCGAGAAGGCCCTCTGCCTGGTTCCCTGGAACTTCGCTTCTCGCAGTGAGGGAATCGCCAGAAGGCCCTCGGAGCTGGACCTCAGTGTCCAGGCTGGACGATGGGGGTGGAGACGCTCCTTCAGGGATACTGGGCCGTTTAGGGCTTTCAAGGTCAGCACCAGCACTTTGAATGGTGCTCGGAATCGTACTGTCACCACCCAATCCTTATATGACAGGCTTCTTGGATTGCCAAGTAGCCAAGTAGCACACCTGCGAAGAAGATCTAGGGGGGTCTTAGGAGACCACAAACTAGACGCTAGTCAGCAGTGCGGTTGATACCCTACCCCATCCTTCTTGTCTCGTTCTAGGGCTCCGTGCAGGAAATCTCGCGAGACTTCCTCGTTTTCGTCCAGCCACTGAATGACAAAAGGTTCAAACCACCTAGAAAATAGGAGAGAGAGAGAGAGAGAGAGAGGTAGGTAGGAAAATAATCTCAGTTTGGGGGAGGAAAAAAAAAGAGAAATGGAGACTTACGCCGGATACTCTGGAACGCGACTCTTGAAAGAAGGGAGGTCTGTGACGTATTCATTGTAGAGCCATTTTACCTTAAAGTGCAGGTTCATGTAATCAGCACTTTTGCACAACCGGTGCTTGTCATGCTCTGCAGAGGAGGAGAAAAGGAGAGAGGAGGCTGTATACACCTTGAAGCAGCTCCCCTGCTTCTCTTAAAGGTAAAGGGTCTCCTGACAGTTAAGTCCATTCGCGGACGACTCTGGGGTTGCGGCGCTCATCTCGCTTTACTGGCCGAGGGAGCCGGCGTACAGCTTCCAGGTCATGTGGCCAGCAGGACTAAGCCGCTTCTGGCGAACCAGAGCAGCGCACGGAAACGCCGTTTACCTTCCCGCCGGAGTGGTACCTACTTATCTACTTCTACTGGCGTGTTCTCAAAGCCACTAATAAGAGTGACCAAACTGTGGAAGGCAATGGAAGACAGGAGTGCCTGGCGTGCTCTGGTCCATGGGGTCACGAAGAGGCGGACATGACTAAACGACCAAACAGCAACAACAATAACTGTAATTTTATTGGTGTTAGCCACCCTGAGCCCAGCTCTGGCCGGGGAGGGTGGGGTATAAATAAAAATTGTTGTTGTTGTTGTTATTATTATTATTATTATTATTATTATTATTATATCACTCCTACGTCAGGTAGTCTGAGCTTGTCGCTGCTGTGCTCTCTGTTCTATAGCTCTCTAAACCTGTCTAGTCTTAGGCAAAGTAGGGGGGTCAGGAATGCTGTCCCAAGACACTGAATCTGCCAGCGGTCTCTCTCTCTCTTCTGGTGTTTCCTAGCTGTTCATCACCCAATGTCTCCCAGCTTTCCCCCTCTGGACTATGCCCCTCTGCAAACCGCTGTTCTTAATCAATACTGTCCTCCTTCCCTTAGGAAGCTTCAGGAGAGGACAGCTCCCACCATTCCTCCTCAGTCCAGCCCCTGACAGGTGGATGGAGAAGGTCCTCCGCTGAGCGAGGGATTTCCGAAAGGGAAGCAGCCCACTCCCTCCCCAACTCTCAAAGGAAGAAGAAGAGTTTGGATTTGATATCCCGCTTTATCACTACCCGAAGGAGTCTCAAAGCAGCTAACATTCTCCTTTCCCTTCCTCCCCCACCCACAACAAACACTCTGTGAGGTGAGTGGGGCTGAGAGACTTCAGAGAAGTGTGACTAGCCCAAGGTCACCCAGCAGCTGCATGTGGAGGAGCGGGGAAGCGAACCCGGTTCACCAGATTACGAGTCTACTGCTCTTAACCACTACACCACACTGACTCACCTTCCATTGCATATTTCATATCCTGAGCAAAAAGGTTCCACATCACTTCGGCGCTGATCTTCCCGACGTTCAGCTCTTGGGGGAACCTGGAGAGGGGGTCAGAGGAACATGGGATGAGACTTCCTCGAGATAAACCTGCCGCAAACATCAGCGGGGTGGCCGAACCCTCTGAGACTAGTCTGGACCAGACATTTGTGTACCTGGCTTAAGGGGGTGAGCCCTGCTGGACCAGACGGAAGGTCCACCTGGTCCAGCAGATGTCCACAAGCAGGAAGTGTGCCTGACAGTGCTCTTAAGACCCTGAGAAATTGGGTTCCAATTTTCAGCTGGGGTCTGCAGCCATTAAGACTAGTAGCTGTCAATGGACTCGTCCCCCCTGTAAGCATTTCTTTGATCTGTTTCCCCCAACATTGTAAACATTCATCATAAGGGAGTTACGGCCGTTTTCCACCCCGACCTTTTCCCTGCTATAGAACGTTATTTTTAACGTGCGTCAGGCGGAACTGCACCGCAAAGGATCTTAAGGTCTTACTGGTTGAGGCAGGGCGTGTATGAGTTCTTATCTTCCTCGATGATGGAGACGATCAAGGTGATAAGCTTGGACCAAAAATCCAGGTTCTTGATGCTGGGGCCTTGTTCTTCCGGCGGGAGTTCTCCTTTCTTATTCTGGAAGGACCCGAAACAAAAGACGTATCAGATTAAGCAAAGCTATCATCACAATAGCTCCTTTCCTCAATCAAGAGGAGACTCTTGAGAGTCCCATGGACTGCAAGAAGATCCAACCTCTCCATTCGGAAGGAAATCAGCCCTGAGTGCTCACTGGAAGGACAGATCCTGAAGCTCAAGACTCCAATACTTTGGCCACCTCATGAGAAGAGAAGACTCCCTGGAAAAGACCCTGATGTTGGGAAAGATGGAGGGCGCAAGGAGAAGGGGGCGACAGAGGACGAGATGGTGGGACAGTGTTCTCGAAGCTACCAGCATGAGATTGACCAAACTGCGATAGAGAGTGGAAGACAGAAGTGCCTGGCGTGCTCTGGTCTAGGGGGTCACGAAGAGTCGGACACGACTAAACAACAACAAATCATCACAATTTCCATTTTCAAGGCCCACCCCCCAGAAGTTATTTTCTTATTTTTTTTGGGGGGGGGAACAAGAGGAACTGGCAGTGCAGCCGGAATCCTATTAGGGGACCAAAGATTAGCTCAAGGAGGTTGTTAGGTTTCAACTCCCCACCTTCCCTGAATATTCGGGTGAGAATTGGGATCCTACAACATTTGCAGACGCACAGGTTTTCCTGTTCTATATCTAAGAGGCGGCATTCTTCCTCTCTCAGGAGAAAATGCCTCTCTGATATAGAGGTATTCTCTCCCATGTCTTGCATGCGGTAAGAAAATGCTACTCCTAAGACCAAGGCTATAATATATAACAAATATAAATGTACATAAAGGTAAAGGGACCCCCGACCATTAGGTCTAGTCGCGGACGACTCTGGGGTTGCGGCGCTCATCTCGTTTTATTGGCCGAGGAAGCCGGCGTGCAGCTTCCGGGTCATGTGGCCAGCAGGACTAAGCTGCTTCTGGCGAACCAGAGCAGCGCACGGAAACGCCGTTTACCTTCCCACCAGAGTGGTACCTATTTATCTACTTGCACTTTGTGCTTTCGAACTGCTAGGTTGGCAGGAGCAGGGACCGAGCAACGGGAGCTCACCCTGTCGTGGGGATTCGAACCACCAACCTTCTGATCGGCAAGTCCTAGGCTCTGTGGTTTAACCCCCAGCGCCACCCACGTCCCATAAATTTACATAAATGCAATAAAAAAATGACTCAAGGCTGGAGAGCAGATCCAGTTTTGGGGGACAAAGGGGAATCCCACCGACTGCTTGGTATCGCTTGACAAACTGCCTTTCTGCTAGGATGGGGTGGTAGTGCAGTAGGGGGAAACCCCACTATAAATAAGTCAGAAATTAAATCGTTATAACAAAAGAGGGGGAAAAACCGCTATAGAAAACACCTTAGAATTTTTTTTTGCTGTCTGGCGCCACCTGGTGTTTCATGTTTATAATGCATTCAAAACACTGTTTCTTGACTAATGTAGCTGAGTCCAGGGTCAAAATGCCAGCAGCTCTGTCTTGGGACAGACAAAGCCTGGGAAATACCGAGCTGTGGCTGCCGGGGCCGTGTCCCCCTGTAGCCTTATTAGACTTTACCGACTGGTGGGGTCTGCGTTGCTCCCGGAGGAAGGAAGTCAAATGACACCGAGGTTGATTCAGAGAAAGAGTTTATTCTGCTCTCCGGATAGCAGAAGGCACTTGCGTGGTCAGTTCACAGCAAGTCCAAAGAAATGAGAAATTTCATGCAGTATATATATCCTCCAGGCACCCTCTCCCCCCTTCCCCAGGAATCCAACCACGTCAGCTTATACACGTAAGTTGACATCCATGCCCATAAACAGATATTCCTGTTCCGGTACTCTTGGCCATAAAAGGTTGTTCCTGTTCCTATACTCTTATCTTGGGGCAGGAGGTCACCAACTCTAAGAGCACTCCTGGCGCCGTTCCCGGGTCTCTTGTCAGACCTGACAAGGTCTGTGCGTCTTTTGTGATCAGGAAGTAAGATAAGACCCAGACGTGCCATCCCTGCTCCACTCGGAACTGGCAAGGCCATCCATTGCCGTCACGGACTGATAAAGGAGAGGGCTTTGAGCACTTGTTTATACAGCTGGGTTTCTGACTCAAGTGCTCAAGTGAATGCATTTTAGAAATGCTCCCTTGGAGAAGGGAAAATGAGGATTTTGGGTCCCGTTTCAGACTGACTGCACAGAAACCCATTCCTTCACCCCCAGCTCAGATACCCCCACCCCATCTCTCCATGCCCTGCATAATAGAAACCCCCCCCTAAAGCTCACCGGATCGGTTTGGTACTCCCGACTGTAGAGCTCGTGGCAGTTGTTGAAGATGTACTCGTACGTGGAGTTGAGGCAGGCCTTCACGCAGTCCTTCACCACCTGGCTGGCTCGCGGGGGACTCTGAAGCTCCTGGACCTGCACAAGACTCGCACTCGTTACCCCTGCCCCGCGGTGGTCGCAAAAACCCAAAACAGGGGAAGCTCAGGTCTCTGGGCAAAGCGCAGGCCTCTTCCCCTGCCCTATTACAGTGGAAGCTCGGGTTGTAGCCTTATTGGACTTCACCGATTGGGTCTGCGTTGCTCCCGGGAGGGAGAAAGGAAGTCAAATGACACCGAGGTTGATTCCAAGAAAGAGTTTATTCTGCTCTCCGGAAAGCAGAAGGCACTTGCGTGGTGAGTCCACAGCAAGTCCACAAAAATTAGAAGTTTCACGCAGTATATATATCCTCCAGGCACCCTCTCCCTCCTTCCCATATAAATCCAACCACGCCAGCCTATGTACACAGGTTGACATCACATACAGTGGTGCCCTGCAAGACGAATGCCTCGCAAGACGAAAAACTCGCTAGACGAAAGGGTTTTCCGTTTTTTGAGTTGTTCCGCAAGACGAATTTCCCTATGGGCTTGCTTCGCAAGACGAAACGTCTTGCGAGTTTGTTTCCTTTTTCTTAAAGCCGCTAAGCCGCTAATAGCCGCTAAGCCGTTAATAGTCACTAAGACGCTAAGACGCTAAGCCGTTAATAGTCACTAAGACGCTAAGACGCTAAGCCGTTAATAGTCACTAAGACGCTAAGACGCTAAGCCGTTAATAGTCGCTAAGCCGCTTAGCCACTAATAGCCGCTAATAGCCGCTAAACCATTAATAGCCGTGCTTCACAAGACGAAAAAACCGCAAGACGAAGAGACTCGCGGAACGGATTAATTTCGTCTTGCGAGGCACCGCTGTATGTTCTTGCTTTGGTATTCTTAACCATAAAAGGGAATTCCTTCCCGTACTTCTGACCATAAAAGGATCTTCTTCTTCCTACTCTTATCTTGGAGGAAGAGGTGTCATCTCCGAGAACAGGCTTTTGGCGTTGTTCCCGGACTTAGGTCTGCGTGTCTTTTGTGGTCAGCACATAAGGCACAGACGTGTCTTCTCTGTTCTGCTGGTGCAGTCAGGGTCATCCCTGCCGTCACAACCGATAAAGGAGAGGGCTCTGAGCACAGCCGGGTTTTTGTTTATACATTGACTCAGAGCTCAAGTTAATGGATTTTAGCTAAGGAAAAATAGGGATTTTGGTGCAGTTTCAAACTGCCTGCACAGTCAGTTTTTGGGTTTGGGGAACCCATTCCTTCAGGGTTGCGAACGTGATCCGAGCGGGATGCACGTTCGCAACCCGCAGCAGCGCATCTGCGCACGCGTGGGTTGCGATTCGGTGCTTCTGCGCATGCGCAAAGTGCAATCTAGCGTTCCGGTACTTTCGGGTTTCGGTTGGCCCATAACCCGAATAAAACACAACCTGAAGCATCTGTAACCCGAGGTATGACTCTACTTGGAAATGCCGTTGGGGACCGAAATTGGGTCCACCTGCATCCGAGGCAGATCACGGGATTGTAGAGTCAGAAGGGACCCCAGTGGTCATCTAGTCAAACCCGCTGCCATGCCACTGAGCCGCACAGCTCTCTCCCCCCCCCAAACTCAGCAGCGGCGCTGGGAAACGCAGACAAGTGCTCAGCTGCTTTCGGTTGTTACCTTCATCCGGAAAAAAGTGATGCTGGTCAGGAGATCCACCGTCGATTTGAGGTCCTGCAGCCGCTCTGGGCTGCTGGCAGGGAAGTTATTCTGCCGGGGAGGAAAGCAGAGAGGGCATAAGTCATTCCCCACCTTTTTGCACTTCTAAACATAAGTGAGCAACCCCCCACCCAGAGCCCCTTTTGTCAGTTTGCATTTCTTAGTTCAGAAAGTATTGCTCCGACGTGGAGAGATCTCTCCTATTCTACTCAATTCAAGAGGGTTCTGGGAGCTTCTCTGCGTGAAACAAGCAGAAGGTTCGTGGTGTTTGGGTTATTCCTTCCGAGAAGCCGAGTACAGCTGGCTTAAACTGGTCCCGGTATCTCTTTCTGTCAAGGTCACGCTGGCTATAAAAAATAAAATCAAACCTCGGATCCTGAACGCCTCTGTTTTGGAACGTTTCGGCTCCCGAACGTCGAAAACCCAGAGGAAAATGCTCCGGTTTTTGAACGTCTTTCGGAAGCCGAACGCGCTTCCGGAATGGATTACGTTCGACAACCAAGGTTTGACTGTAGCGCCAGAAAGAGCCTGGGTTTCATTTTCTCTATCGATCTCTTTTCCTTTTGTTGCAGTGTTCTGTTCATTGTATGCTTAGTGTTATGTTTTAGACGTATTTTTTTATATATATAAATATTTTTATTGGTTTTACATATAATCACATTACGTAACCTCACATCCTTTTCTTTTATCTCTTTGGTTCAACTAAGCCTAACCACTTCCCTCCTTCCCGTCTAATGGTTTACAAAATAAAACTTTGCATCATTACATTACCTTTCTTATCCTGTCCCTTTCCTAAAATATTAAATTACTCAGTCTGAATAGGTAGCAATTTCATCTTACAAATCTTCAGATAACCTTGCTAGTGATGTTTCACATTCTCTTTCTATCTCTCTTCCTTCTGGTGTGATGTTCTGTATATAGTTTTCTTAGTGTTAAGGCTTAGACTTATTATAAGTTATTGTAAGTTTAAGTTAAGTCTGCTGCAAATGAATTTCTTATGGACAGTGCCAACCCTGAATGTATTGGATTTAATAATAATAATAATAATAATAATAATAATAATAATAATAATAAAAACAACTTTATTTATACCCTGCCCTCCCCAGCCAAGACCGGGCTCAGGGCGGCTAACAACCGATATAAATTTTTTTTTGATTGAAATGCAACTTTAAAACAAGGTCAAAATACAACATTAAAACATTAGGGAACCTGCTTAAGGACTATAGACGGGCTCTTGCGTACCCCATAAGGAAGTGTTTTAAGTTTTTACTCTGTCGGAGTTCTGCTGCGGATCAACACTGAGCAGAATTCCACGCCACCTTTCTCAGCCGCAAGCAGTACACACATGCAGACGTTGTTGGAATATGAGTACAACGCAGCTGCAGACTGGCAGCTCGGTGTTTACATCACATGATGTGGCTAGTCCTGGGAAGGAACGTTCCCGTAAGTTCACAGGATTCACAAGGCTTTGTTCTGTGTGTAATATGAGACCTTCCTGTTGCGTATGTGAAGGAAGTCTGTGTCACTTGCTCGGAGGAGACTGAACTGATCGGGCATGTTTTTTGTAGAGTTGTAAAGTCAGAAACGCGGGTGGAATAGGGACGCGGGTGGCGCTGTGGGTAAAAGCCTTAGCGCCTAGGGCTTGCCGATCGAAAGGTCGGCGGTTCGAATCCCCGCGGCGGGGTGCACTCCCATTGCTCGGTCCCAGCGCCTGCCAACCTAGCAGTTCGAAAGCACCCCCGGGTGCAAGTAGATAAATAGGGACCGCTTACTAGCGGGAAGGTAAACGGCGTTTCCGTGTGCGGCTCTGGCTTGCCAGAGCAGCTTCGTCATGCTGGCCACGTGACCCGGAAGTGTCTGCGGACAGCACTGGCCCCCGGCCTCTTGAGTGAGATGGGCGCACAACCCTAGAGTCTGGCAAGACTGGCCCGTACGGGGAGGGGTACCTTTACCTTTTAAAGTCAGAAATAAACAAGATGCAAAAGACTTTCTGACTTTCTTCTTTCTCCTGCTGGTTTGCAAGGGGGTGCGTATCTTCCACGCTGGGAGATGTCGCCTATCAAGATCTTCCTGGACTGCGGGGATGCCAGCCAGGGTAGCTCACCGGGAGACAAGCCCCGGGAGCCTGGGAGAGGGGCCAGTCTCTCCCGTGGGGGCAAGTTTTCCAACAGACGTACCCGGTACATGGAGAGGTCGATCCGTAGGGAGTTGTGCAGCTGATCCAGAAGTTTGACAAACCGTTCTTTCTGCAAAAAGAGACAGGCCCCAAAAGCAGGTAAATGAAGTCACAGAAGGTGCAGCGCTACCACCCCCCTGGCCCCACAGAAATAAACCTCCCACCCTATCCTTTCGGACAATCCCTCCTCCCTAACCACCCACCCCCAACCCTCTCCATTAGGGGAATCCTGGCTTTTATTACTTATTTTTTGGAGAGAGAGAGAGAGAAAATATGCAAGCGCCTTGGGGCAGGGACCTTTCACTGGGACGGAGAGCTAAGCACCTTCCTTATTGGAGCAATCTATGCTGAGCGAAAACCTTGCTCCCTGGAGGGTAGAATTCAGAGCACCCATTGATTCTCCCCTGGGTGCCAGTCTGCAAACGGTTTAAACCCCCTCCTGATCTATTTCACCTCTGTTTTCTTGCTTTCCTCAAAGGGGGGCAGGCAGTACCCTAGACTTGGCGTGGGGGGGGTAATTCTCGTGGCTGAGGAACAGCTTCCAGAAATTCTGTCCATGAAAATAGCACCCCCAGCCCTCTTCTTCTGTTTTCAAAGGGGTCCCCTTTGAAACAGCTGCAATAGGGGGTCTTTTCCTCCTCCTGCTGAGAGTTCACGCTTGGAGCCAGCAGTTGCTGAACTCCTGGGCTTAACACCTTCGGGGCAAGCGCCTGATTTGGAGAAACCGCCATTCCTTCACCCAGGGAAACCCGAACGCTGTCCCTGCTTGCTGTTGTGCGTGCGAGCGAGAGTGGGCCATGCCTTCCCACTTATCCCAGCCTTCCTCAATCTGTGGGTCCCCAGATGTTGTTGGACTACAAGTCCCATCCCCCCTAGCTAGCAAGGCCAGAGCTTAAGGATGATGGGAGTTGTAGTCCAACAACATCAGGTGGAGAACCACTGAGCTAAGAGGAGAGAGGGGAAGCTCTTCCATAGAGTCTGCATAAGCCAGGCTTCCTCAACTTGGGCCCTCCAGATGTTTCGAGACTACAACTCCCATCATCCCTGACCACTGGTCCTGCTAGCAAGGGATTGTGGGAGTTGTAGGCCAAAAACATCTGGTTGAGGAAGCCTGCTGTAAGCTGAGCTTAAGGCAGCCTTTCTCAACCTGTGGGGCCCCAGATGTTGTCAAACTACAACTCCCATCACCCCTAGCTAGCAAGGCCAGAGCTCAGGGATGATGGGAGTTGTAGTCCAACAACATCTGGGGACCCACAGGTTGAGAACCGCTGACTTAGCTGGTCCCAGAGATGCAATCGTGACAGGGCTCTAGGGCCACTTTGTGTCGTCACCTTTACTCCAGAAGAGGGTATTTTTTGAGGGTGGGGGAGCCCATGTTTTTGACCCACGCAGGAAACAGAGATTGACCTGAGCTACGTGCCCATGACATTTCCACCAAGATATCCCCCCCTCCCCACCACCAAAGACTCTTAGCAAAGCGGGAGGGGACGAAGGACTCAGCGTTTTTGCGACATGGCATGCAGACAGCGAGAACAGTCCTTTGGGAGGAGGTCAGCCCCCCTCACCCCACCGAGTGACCCCCCCCCAAACCTCCACCCAATCAAGCTAAGTCCCTGTACCCCACTATCTGCCTGACACCTGCTCTCCATGCCACCCCCAGCCCCATATCTATGACTCCCCACTCGGTTGCTTCCCTGTTTCTTAATAACACCGTGCGTGCGCTCTTATGCGCAGCGCAAAGGGCAGGGGCGCCACTGGAAAAAAAGGAAGCGTTGTGGGGCCCAGTGGAGAGGGCATCTCTCCCAACCCCCCCAAACGCTGCACGGCGATATTAAGAAACGGATGTCAGTCCTGTCGTCACGACAAGCGGTTGTGCGCAGTTGCAGGGAATGTGTATTAGGTGCCTACAAGTGTATGGGCAATCTATCTGGAAGATAAATGGCATTTCAGGGAGTTGGTGATCTGACAGGGTTCTTGATCCTTGTTAAATTCTTTGACGGCATGAAGAACAGCCGAATCACTTGGGAGGGAGTGCTAGCGTTGGGGACCTTCTTTGATGTTGGACATTGCTTTTTAATAATAATAATAATAATGGGACATGGGTGGTGCTGTGGTTTAAACCACAGAGCCTAGGGCTTGCCAATCAGAAGGTCGGCGGTTCGAATCCCCGCGATGACGGGGTGAGCTCCCGTTGCTCAGTCCCTGCTCCTGCCAACCTAGCAGTTCTAATTTCACCGCAGTGGACAGTGAGCTGTGGAAGACAAACTGGAGGGAATAGGAACAGTTCTGCAATGTGACAAATGGGACTTCTCCTAACATCCGTAGTCCAGAACAGGAGACAGACCTTTGCAAGTCAAGCTGTCATTGTAACCCTTGTTGATTCATTGGGATAATGCTCATTGAGATCAATGGGCATAAAGGAATCATGCCCTTGATTTTGGTGGGTCGTAGTCCTCACTTGGGACGCGGGTGGCGCTGTGGGTTAAACCACAGAGCCCAGGGCTTGCCGATCAGAAGGTCGGCAGTTCGAATCCCCGTGACAGAGTGAGCTCCCGTTGCTTGGTCCCTGCTCCTGCCAACCTAGCAGTTCGAAAGCACGTCAAAGTGCAAGTAGATAAATAGGCACCACTCCGGCGGGAAGGGAAACGGCGTTTCCATGCGCTGCTCTGGTTTGCCAGAAGCGACATGACCTGGCCACATGACCCGGAAGCTGTACGCCGGCTCCCTCGGCTAGCAAAGCGAGATGAGCGTCGCAACCCTAGAGTCGGTCACGACTGGACCTAATGGTCAGGGGTTCCTTTACCTTTAGACCACATTCTGGTCCACTGAGTGGGGTTAAACTCATAGCCTATGTCGTCCTCCCATTGTTTTTTGATTACACCTGGGCGGACGGACAAACATGGTCAACAAGGCCACGCCTTCCTCGAATGATGTGGAAGGAGCTGTCCAGTCCTCTGGTGCTGAAGTGAGAAGCAATTGCCTGCCATGTTGGTACTGTGCGCTGTCCGAATGACCGGTGCTGAAGTGAAGTTCAGCCTGTGCACTGTGTGTCTCCCCAGGGCTAAAGGGACACCTAGTTGTGTATGTGTAAAAAGGGAAGCAACACACTAACCTTGCCTATCGCCCCAGTTAGCAAAATGTCTTTGGCTGGCCTCCAAGATCTGCCGTCCACCCCCAAACACAGACCAACCAAACACCCCTCCGCTACCCACTATCTCTGCCTCCCCCCCTCCACCTCTAGCTAAGCCCTCCTTTTCCCTCAACCCGCCCACCCCCTACCCCACTCCACCCCCCACCCCCCGGTTCCTACATCTCCCTTGACCGCTAAGGTTGCGAGAGACAACGAAAAAGCAATCCTTGCAACAAAAAGAACACGGTTGCGCATCCGCCACAACACAGCCTCCGTAGCACCCCTTAGCACCGGCACACAGAGGGTTAAAGCGACACAGTCTGGTTTTTTGGGGGGAGAGGGGAAACGCCCAAATTTTAGGCTCTCTCTGAGAGGGAAAAAGAAGAAAGAAAGAAACACGGTTTGTACAAAGCCTAACATTTGATTTTTTTTATCAAAATGATTTTTTTTTCTTTTCGAAGCCGCGATGGAGAGAAAACGAGAGACCAAGAAAACAAAGACAGTCCTGTCGAGGGCTAAACACATCCCTAACCGCAAAACAGAATTGGTTTTATACAGAAGCAGAGCCGGAGGCTTGTTCACACACACGTCGCGGTCGCAGTCGGTAAATCAGACATTCCCCAGAAATAAACTTCTCCTGTGTTTGTGTGATGTTTTGCCGTTTCGTTTTTGCAATCGGTCGCCTTTGACAAATTTGGCAGGGCTGTTGTTGTTGGCCTTCAAAATTGGGTTGGGTGCAAACCTCCCTCTTCTCCACAGCCCTGATTTCTGTTAATGTGTTGAGGCCCCATGGCCTCAACCACAGACCCCCGATTTTGCGGCGTGAACAAGCCTCCGGTGTTCGACTTTTGGAAAATGCACAGAGAAGAGAAAAAACCTGTTTTCAAAAACTCCCGTTAAGTTAAAACGGCGTGGCAGAGTCGTCGGGAAAGGGGCTCAATGTACAAGGTCACTTCCCTCAGTGCAACTGATATGCGCCTCATCGAGATTCCCACACTCTTCCTGTGCATCAGAACTGAAATCCATGTTGCCACTGGTCTATGTGTCCCTGTTGCCATGTGGACCATAGCTTTTCCCTTTTTTTAAAGGGAAATTCCCTTATTCTGGTTCGCCAGAAGCGGCTTAGTCCTGCTGGCCACATGACCCGGAAGCGCTACACCGGCTCCCTTGGCCAATAAGTGAGATGAGCGCCGCAACCCCAGAGTCGGCCATGACTGGACCTAACGGTCAGGGGTCCCTTTACCTTTAAGAATAGAGGGCATCACAGCCACCTGTGTATGGGATGTGATACATGGATAGCAGTCAAGTACAACATTCCTAGAGTGGACATGAAAGGGGATGTTTGCTCCAGCCCGTCGGAACTTCCTGTTTCCTCCTGGGCTGGGGCAAACTTCCTCTGCATGTGAAACGACAGAAATGAGACACAGTCATCCTTCAAAAAATTCACATTCATCTGAATTTTCCAATTCAGTTCTCCAAATAAATGGTGTTTACCAAAATGCATTTATTGAGTGCAGAAGTGTGCCATAATAATAATAATAATAATAATAATAATAATAATAATAATAATAATTTATTATTTATACCCCCCCCCATCTGGCTGGGCTTCCCCAGCCACTCTGGGCGGCTTCCCAAAAAATATTAAAATACAGCAATACATCAAACACTAAAAGCTTCCCTAAACAGGGCTGCCTTCAGATGTCTTCTAAAAGTCTGGTAGTTGTTGTTCTCTTTGACATCTGGTAGGAGGGCGTTCCACAGGGAGGGCGCCACCACCGAGAAGGCCCTCTGCCTGGTTCCCTGTAACTTGGCTTCTTGCACCGAGGGAACCGCCAGAAGACCCTCAGCGCTGGACCTCAGTGTCCAGGCTGGACAATGGGGGTGGAGACACTCCTTCAGGTATACTGGACCGAGGCCATTTAGGGCTTCAAAGGTCAGCACCAACACTTTGAATTGTGCTCGAAAATGGTGTACAAATATGCATTACACTAGGGGAAATTGCTTGCACGTTTGTGTTGGCTGACTAACGTGTACGCTAGCAAAAGGTTGTTCAGTGAGGGGGGCGGGAAATATATTTAAGTGAGAGCGGGCACGTCAGCGTGAGCGGTAACTGAGGCGCCGAGCTCGCCGCAAATTTCCAGCATCCCAGTAGATTCCCCCTCCCCTTCGACTTCAACTTTCTGCCCTCCAAACATTTCCCCTGCTCTCAATCCAGTTGCAACCCGGAATGTGGTTCGCCAACCTGACCCCCGGACTGGATTCCCTTCTGACTGCTGGACAGCTCCCCTCCTACCGTATTTTTCGCTCTATAGGACGCACCTTTCCCCCTCCAAAAATTAAGGGGAAATGTGTGTGCATCCTATGGAGTGAACGCAGGCTCCTTGGCTTCAGCGATAGTAACGTGAAGCCTCCGAAGCGCAGAGAGAGCGCTCCCTCCGCGCTCCGGAGGCTACATGTTGCTTTCGCTGAAGCCTGGAGAGCGAGAGGGGTCGGTGCGCACAGAGATAGCCGCCTGAAGCCTTTGGAGCACAGAGGGAACTCGCGCTGCGCTCCAAAGGCTTTGGGTTCCTTTTGCTGAAGCCGGGAGAGCAAGACTCTCCTGGCTTCAGCAGAGAGGGAGAGCTGCGCAGTGCCCCTTCAGCCAAGCGGGAGGAGAAATGGAAGGGGCTTTGTTTTTCCTGCCTCTTCACCGAAGGGGCACTGAGCAGAGTGGGAGAGATTTTTTTCCTCTTGTTCTCCCCCTCTAAAACAAGGTGCGTCCTATGGTCGGGTGCATCCTATAGAGCGAAAAATACAGTATCTGATGTGAAAGCTCAATTTCTCCATCATGCTTTCTGAGATAAGGCTCAAAAGGTCTCCCTAGCACAGCGCTTCACTAAGTATCCCTTCTCAGTCTTAGCAGGCGACAGTAGTTGCACTGGGGGAAATGATCTCCGGATCGGCACCTTTCCAGACTTTGCCACGCCTTTCCCGCAAGGCACAAACCATCGCCTTCCTGTAGCATTCCTGACTTAGTCGTCGTCTTCGTAAATCTATATATCAACATTTTGAGGCTGGGGGTGAATTGCCTCGCTCATAACAAAAGCCAGGAATTCTCCGAAGATGAAAATCGGAGTTGCTTCAGCCACGGAGGGAAGCAAGGAGATATTTCAGATGTCACTCCTTGATCGGTGGAAATTATTATTTCACATTTATCTTATGAGCTTTCTTCCATCGTGGAATGCAAGACTGTGTACATTAAGCCCTCAGTCTCTCATCTGGGGTCTCTCATGTGCGGTGTGGCTTGTATTTGTGGGATTATGGTATGGTTGCCATATTTTGAAGAGCGAAAAAGAGGACACATTTGCCAACTTCTATTTTAAACTAGAGGCGCGGGTGGTGCTGTGGGTTAAACCACAGAGCCTAGGACTTGCCGATCAGAAGGTCGGCGGTTCAAATCCCCGCAACAGGGTGAGCTCCCGTTGCTCGGTCCCTGCTCCTGCCAACCTAGCAGTTTGAAAGTATGTCAAAGTGCAAGTAGATAAATAGGTACCACTCTGGCAGGAAGGTAAACGGTGTTTCCGCGCGCTGCGCTGGTTCACCAGAAGCGGCTTAGTCCTGCTGGCCACATGACCACATGGTCTAAACCACAGAGCCTCTTGGGCTTGCCGATCAGAAGGTCGGCAGTTGGATTGTCATTTGTGGACCTTAAGGTCCTCCGCGGGGCATACCAGGAGAGGCGGTCCCGAAGGTACGTGGGTCCTAGGCCGCATATGTCAACAAGACCTGAAGAGGGCATGTCCTGGAAAAGGAGGACATATGGCAACCCTAGATTGTGGCCACCTCCACCTTTGTCCATGCCAAACATTGGTGTTAGGCCTCTGAATGGTGTCATCTCTCGGTTGAGGCTACCTCGCTGGGTTAATCGTGCAGTTCACGAGGGGAGAGGAAAAATGTACACAAACCTGACCTCCTTCGAGGAAGGCACAGCAATATATTTAGAAATGAACAGAACTCCTAATAACTTGAGCGCCTTAGGTCGACTAAGCCAGGAAGCCTCAGTCCGGTTGCAGGCTGTGACCATTTCTACAGAGGACTCCAACAAAAAAATTCGCCGCAGAACAGGCCAGGTGGAAATCCCACAATTTGCCTCTTATTAAATTATATTAATTTAGCAGAGCTGAAATTAGACCATGTTTAGCCGGCTCCCAGTCGCACTGCATCATGGTTTTGGTAGCCCCTCGCTTTGCGTGCCCTTTCTCCTCCAGTTCTTCCCCATTGGGTTTCCGGCCACTTTGGGACTACAGTCCCCATCATCCCTGACCACAGGTCCCGCTAGCTAGGGATGATGGGAGTTGTAGTCCGACAGCGACTGCTGGAGAAACCCTGTGATTACCGTATTTTTTGCTCTAGAAGACTCACTTTTCCCCTCCTAAAAAGTAAGGGGAAATGTGTGTGCATCTTATGGAGCGAATGCAGGCTGCGCAGCTATCCCAGAAGCCAGAACAGCAAGAGGGATTGCTGCTTTCGCTGCGCAGCGATCCCTCTTGCTGTTCTGGCTTCTGAGATTCAGAATATTTTTTTTCTTGTTTTCCTCCTCTGAAAACTAGGTGCGTCTCGTGGTCTGGTGCGTCTTATAGAGCGAAAAATATGGTATAAGGTCGCAAAGCAAAGCCAGTGCTAAAACGCCGACGCCAATTCCTGCTCTGCAAAAACGGCCGCGGCGTTTCGTGGGGAAGAGGAACAGCCAGTGCTTCTTCTTTTGCCAATTTCGGACTCTGCAGCGATGGTTTTTTTTTGGTAGGGTCCTCTCTACCGCCATGCACCCCCCTCCCCCCGGGGGAAAAAGGAGAGAGTAAAAGTAAGAAATGAGTGTTCTACGCACCATCGGACTTACCCCGAAATTGGACGCGGCAAAACGGTCAGAGGCAGAGACGTTGGTAGAGGCAGTTGTATGAGCGTAATAAGCGTTGATGTTGGCCAACAGAGTGCTCATGACTGCTGGCACCCCGGGGCACATATATTTCGAAGACAGGCAGGCAAAATGCCTGGAAGGAAAAGAAAACAAGGAAGGGAAAACACAGTCAACGCAACTCAGGATTTAGGAAAGCACCCTGAAACTTTGCTGTCAGGGAACTGCCATCGGAGCCTGAGGGAGAGGAAGGGCTCCAGAGGGGTTCTGGAAAGCGTCCCGGGAGGGAGAGAAGCAGCACATCTTCTGGGGAAGGAAATCAGTGTAGCACCAGTGGAGAAGGGGGGCAGATGGGGGAATTGGCGAGGAGGCTCCACGACTCCTCACCGGGGACCAGCGGGGAGAGCACAGGTCCTCCGCTGCCCACATCCTCCCTGCGCAGAAGGCTTCTGCGCAGGGAGACTAGGAGTCAAAGAGCTTCTTTGCTGGAAGAAGTTCAAGAAACGCCCACTGATGGATTCTGCCAGCGATTGAGACAGCCACGGCGAGTGGCTCTCCGGACAGAAAGGGTTCACCCAGGCAACCCAGCCAGGTGTGGTGACGATTTACGCACGAGCAACCCCTAGAACCATTACATTTGCGTTTGGCACCATTGAAAGACAGCTGCGACAGAGAAAATGGGACATAACCTGAGATTTCGACAGGGACTATTATTATTATAGAAGGAGCGTCTCCACCCCCATCGACCAGCCCGGACACCGGGGTCCAGCTCTGAGGGCCTTCTGGCAGTTCCCTCCCTGCGAGAAGCGAGGTTGCAGGGAACCAGGCAGAGGGCCTTCTCGGTGGTGGCACCCACCCATGGAAAGCCCTCCCTTCAGATGTCAAGGAGATATACAACTACCTGACTTTTAGAAGACATCTGAAGGCAGCCCTGTTTAGGGAAGCTTTTAATGTTTAACAGACCACTGTATTTTAATACTTTGCCGGAAGCCGCCCAGAGTGGCTGGGGAGACCCAGCCAGATGGGCGGGGTGTGAATAACAAATTATTATTATTATTATTATTATTATTATTATTATTATTATTATTATTATTATTTTGTGTACCGCAGGTCTCAGGACAGTCAACAACATAAGATCACAATATTAAAACACAAAATACAGGAGGAGGAGGAGGAGGAAGAAGAGGCCCTCTGCCCGGCTAACTATAATTTCACTGGTACCCTGTAAACTCACTTCTCGCAGGGAGGCAACCGCCAGAAGGACCTCAGAGACCTAGAAGACCTTCACAGGTATCCCCGAAGGAGCGTCTCCACCCCCATCGTTCAGCCCGGACACTGAGGTCCATCTCTGAGGGCCCTTAGGCGGTTTCCTCACTGCGAGTAGCGAGGTTACAGGGAACCAGACAGAGGGCCTTCTTGGTGGTGGCGCCCGCCCTGTGGAACACCCTCCCGTCAGATGTCAGGGAGATAAACAACGGTCTGACTTTTAGAAGACATCTGAAAGCAGCAATGTTTAGGGAAGATTTTAATGTTTGGTGTTTTATCATATTTTTCACTACTCTGTTGGGAGCCACCCAGAGTGGCTGGGGAAACCCAGCCAGATGGGTGGAGTATGTATGAATGAATGAATGAATGAATGGATAAATCCATCCATCCATCCATCCATCCATCCATCCCACAGAGACTCACGTCATGGCCTGATAGATGGACTCCACTCCATATCTCATAGCAAACTCGTCCACGATCTCCTGGGCAGTTTCGTCGAAGTACACTTTCCACGCGTCGTCGCCCTTCGCCTCGGGTATCTTGACCACGCCGTTGTTTTGGATGTCCGTCACGAAATGGAAGAGGTTCTAATGAGACATTGAGAGAGGCAGGAGTTTGGAGGGGGGGTTAAAATTAAAACAGAAAAGTCATGTACCTATGGAGGAAGCTATACTACAAACAGTCCCACTTATAAACGCCATCTCCCCAGAAAATTCCATCAACGGTGTCTCTGAAAATTTTTACACATCACTTGGGAAGACAGGCGAACTAATGTACTGGAAGAAGCAAAGATCACCAGTGTTGAAGCAACATCAACTTCGTTGGACGGGTCATGTTGTGCGGATGCCTGATGATCGTCTTCCAAAGCAACTGCTCTATTCCGAACTTAAAAATGGAAAGCGTAATGCTGGTGGTCAACAAAAGAGGTTCAAAGACTCTCTCAAGGCAAACTTAAAATTGTAGCATAGACACCAACAACTGGAAAACACTGGCCTGCGAGCGCTCCAGTTGGAGAACAGCCTTGACCAAAGGTGTTGTGGGCTTTGAAGACACTCGAACTCAGGACGCAAGGGAGAAACATGCTAAGAGGAAGGCAGGCTTGGCAAACCTTCACCATGATCAACTCCCGCCCGGAAACCTATGTCCCCACTGTGGAAGGACATGCGGATCCAGAATTGGCCTCCACAGTCACTTACGGACTCATTGTTAAAACTGTGTTTATGGAAGACAGTCTTACTCGGCTACGAGGGATCGCCAAAGAAGACGACGACCAGAAACAGTATACAGTGGTACCTCGGGTTAAGTACTTAATTCGTTCTGGAGGTCCATTCTTAACCTGAAACTGTGCTTAACCTGAAGCACCACTTTAGCTAATGGGGCCTCCTGCAGCTGCCGCGCCACCAGAGCACGATTTCTGTTCTCATCCTGAAGCAAAGTTCTTAACCTGAGGTACTATTTCTGGGTTAGCGGAGTCTGTAACCTGAAGCGTCTGTAACCTGAAGCGTATGTAAGCCAAGGTACCACCGTATAGGGATGACAACTGAAGCTTGCAATATTACCCACTTTAATGGGTTGTCATACGTCCAGATTTTCCCAGACATTTCAGCAATTTTCCAGCCGGACACTGTTTCCGACGGCCAAACAAAAACATCAGCCCTGTCTTCTGAACTAATTCAGGACCCACTTTCAGGGACGGGAAGGTTTTTTGCACTTTGGGCCCAGGGAAGGACAACACACACACACACACACACACACACACACACACACACCCAGCAGATCAGAGAGGGCCTGTGCAAAGTCCTGGTTCCTAGCTGCGTGGGTGTGGATCTGTCCCAGAACAGCAAGGGAACTAAGGCCTCATGCGCCCCACTCACCTCATGTAGGCAGGTGTATTGCACATGATACGGTGCCACTTTCTCCTCCCCTTTGATCTCAACGCTGATGTGCAGGCGAATCGCCCCAGAGACGGCCGATTTGTCCGTCCGCTTATCTGAAACAGTCCAGGGGAGAATTTGGTAGGCAAGCATCGCGTTTGGAGAAAGGTCAGTTATGTCGCACAGGTGTGCAGAGAACGAGTTGCCTGATAATGATGGCTTTCAGGCAAAATTTCTACGATCTCTGCTGCAGGTACCCAACTGTGTCCCCAACTCCATACTTCTGTTAGAAGCTGGTGAATGCCCAATTTCAACTAAAGCGTGGTGGGCTGCCCTAAAACATGGGCTCAGGATTTCAGTGTTTGATCTAGGGAAGGGTTTGTACCAACACCTGACCGATGAGGAATTTGTCAGCAAATGGCAGAAAAGGTAAAGGTAAAGGTACCCCTGCCCGTACAGGCCAGTCTTGCCAGACTCTAGGGTTGTGCGCTCATCTCACTCTATAGCCGGGAGCCAGCGCTGTCCGCAGACACTTCCGGGTCACGTGGCCAGCGTGACAAGCTGCATCTGGCGAGCCAGCACAGCACACGGAAACGCCGTTTACCTTCCCACCAGTAAGCGGTCCCTATTTATCTACTTGCACCCGGGGGTGCTTTCGAACTGCTAGGTTGGCAGGCGCTGGGACTGAATGACGGGAGCGCACCCCGCCGCGGGGATTCGAACCGCCGACCATGCGATCGGCAAGTCCTAGGCGCTGAGGTTTTACCCACAGCGCCACCCACGTCCCTAAAATGGCAGAAAAATGGCAGAAAACCATGGCTAAAAAAGCCACCTCTATTGGTCTGTCACCCCCCCCCCAACTCTATTACCTGGGTTATGAAGGCGCCCTAAAGACGTTAAAGCAAAGATTATGGGATAATGGACACAGTGACTTGCGATCTCGATCACACGCAGTCTGTAGTCCGCTGGCAGTAGGAGTACAACACCCCCAGAGTCTTGGGACTCAACATTTCAGGGAACTGCCCCTGCCGCCTTCGCAGTCGCTTACCCAAATTGTACCAGACGTCCATCTCCCCGCTCAACGTCCGCACCTCGATGATCGTCTGGCCCAGGAAGTCGTCGGATTCCCTCTTAAAGCGCTGCTTTACCCTAGACTTGATGTCGTCGTCTTCGTCCCAGACACGCACCTTGATTCGATCAGAGGAGTTATGGCATTCACTGTTGTTGTGGGAGAAGAAGGCAATGTCACGAACGAGAGCTGTTTCTTTCAGCTCGCAAGGCTATGGTTCCCAGATGTCCCCCCGCAAAAACTTATACTCTGAGGAGATCACGGCGGGGTGTGTGGTTCTTCCCCACACCTCCATGGCTTTACCCCCCACAATAACCCTGCGAGGTAAGTCAGGCTAAAGGACAGTGCCTGCCCCAAGACTGCACAGTGAGCTTTGTGGCCAAGTCTGTGGGTTAAACCACAGAGCCTAGGACTTGCCGATCAGAAGGTCGGCGGTTCGAATCCCCGCAATGACGGGGTGAGCTCCCGTTGCTCGGTCCCCGCTCCTGCCCACCTAGCAGTTCGAAAGCACATCAAAGTGCAAGTAGATAAATAGGTACCGCTACGGCGGGAAGGTAAACAGCGTTTCCGTGCGCTGCTCTGGTTCGACAGAAGCAGCTTAGTCATGCTTGCCACATGACCCAGAAGCTGTACGCCGGATCCCTCGGCCAATAAACGAGATGAGCGCCGCAACCCCACAGTCGGCCACGACTGGACCTAATGGTCAGGGGTCCCTTTACCATTTACCTCCAGGTCCTAGTCTGACACTCTAACCACTTTGCCACACTGGGTGACAGGTCTCTTGCTGCATCTAACTGAGCGGTCCCCAAACTTTCCCTGGCCGCCAGACCTCTTGAAAATTGCTGAGAGTCTCAGTGGACCAGCTAGATGCTGTCTGGAACTTCATTGCATTTTCTGTTGCTTCTTTTGTTTCTTATATTGCATCACATCCTGCATGCCGTAGAAGCTCAACCAATTTGAACTGTGAGCACGGGCTCCTTGAATGAAGCCCGTGGACGTTCCGGCAGTCTACGGACCGCAGTTTGGGAACCCCAGATTTGATATATGCTAGAGACGAAGACCATAAAGAAGGCTGATCCCCGAAGAATGGATGCTTTTGAATTCTGGTGCTGGAGGAGACTCTTGAGAGTCCCATGGACTGCAAGAAGATCCAACCTCTCCATTCGGAAGGAAATCAGCCCTGAGTGCTCCCTGGAAGGACAGATCCTGAAGCTGAGGCTCCAAGACTTTGGCCACCTCATGAGAAGAGAAGACTCCCTGGAAAAGACCCTGATGTTGGGAAAGATGGAGGGCGCAAGGAGAAGGGGACGACAGAGGACGAGATGGTGGGACAGTGTTCTCAAAGCTACCAGCATGACTTTGACCAAACTGCGGGAGGCAGTGGAAGACAGGAGGGCCTGGCGTGCTCTGGTCCAGGGGGTCACGAAGAGGCGGACATGACTAAACAACTAAACAACAATAACAAAGAAACAAGGACCCCAGGATATCAACTCACAAGTGGAAGTTCTCCTCCCAGATCGGGTTCAGATTGCCGTAGATGGTTTTGGTCCTCTTTTTCGTCTTCCCGACCTGGACGGTGACGTACGGGTCGCTGGACCCGGTCTTGTCCTTCGCCTGCAGCCCTTGCGCGCAAACCACTGGTTGAGCAATCCCATGCGCAGCCGAGTGCCGTTTCAATGGGTTTCATGAGCACCCACAGCCGGGGGCGACCCCCCCAAAAAACAGCCACAAAACACAAAGAGAGAAAAATGAGGGTGGAAGCAACAATAATAATTTATTATTTATACCCCGCCCAACTGGCTGAGTTTCCCCAGCCACTCTGGGCGGCTCCCAATCAAGTGTTAAAAACAGTATAGCATTAAATATTAAAAACTGCCCTGAACAGGGCTGCCTTCAGATGTCTTTTAAAGATAAGATAGCTGCTTATTTCCTTCACATCTGAAGGGAGAGTGTTCCACAGTGTGGGCGCCACCACCGAGAAGGCCCTCTGTCTGGTTCCCTGTAACCTCACTTCTCGCAATGAGGGAACCGCCAGAAGGCCCTCGGGAGATGGACCTCAGTGTCCGGGCTGAACGATGGGGGTGGAGACGCTCCTTCAGGTATACAGGACCGAGGCCATTTAGGGCTTTCAAGGTCAGCTCCAACACTTTGAATTGTGCTTGGAAACGTACTGGGAGCCAATGTAGGTCTTTCAGGCCGGTGTTATGTGGTCTCCACTCCCAGTCCCCAGTCTAGCTGCCGCATTCTGGATTAATTGCAGTTTCCGGGTCACCTTCAAAGGTAGCCCCACGTAGAGCGCATTGCAGTGGTCCAAGCGGGAGATAACCAGAGCATGCACCACTCTGGCCAGACAGTCTGCGGGCAGGGAGGGTCTCAGCCTGCATACCAGATGGAGCTGGGAGACAGCCGCCCTGGACACAGAATTAACCTGTGCCTCCATGGACAGCTGTGAGTCCAAAATGACTCCCAGGCTGTGCACCTGGTGAAGGGCAGGCCAAGGACCCACCATCACCAGCTCGCTCAGTTAGAGGGCAGAGAAAAACGAGCCTCTCCACAGCTTGCATCCCTATTTGTAGGTGATGGGACTGGGAAGGACATTGCTGGGTTTACGTATAAGCTAAACAATCTATAGCTTAGGGCCCCACTTTCTGGTCCCCACTGTGGAAGGACATGTGGATCCAGAATTGGCCTCCACAGCTGCTTACGGGCTCACTGTTAAGACTGTGTTCATGGAAGACAATCTTACTCGTATCTACAGAACCGCCTGTCCTGGTCTGCCCCGCAGAGGACCTTAAGGTCCATGAATAACCATAGTTTATAGTTCCTGGGCCCTAAGGAAGTCAGACTATCCTCCACCAGGGCCAGGGCCTTTTCAGTGATGGCTCCGACCTGGTGGAATGCTCTGTCCCAGGAGACCAGGGCCCTGCAGGATTTAACCTCCTTTCATCAGGCCTGTAAGACAGAGCTATTCCGCCTGGCCTTTAATTTGAATTCAGCCTGATATTTTATTTCCCTTCTCTTCCCTCCCCTTTTATAAAGATTACCCACCCTGTGGACCCCACAGCTAATTCTCCCCTGGTCTCCTCGCTGGCCCAAGTAGGACCAATTCAGGCAGCTAGCCCTGGGGATTATCTAAGTGGTATTTGAATGTTATTGTTATTTAAGTTTTTATACTGTATTTTATGCTGCTTTTATAATTACCATATTTTTCGCTCTATAAGACTCACTTTTTCCCTCCTAAAAAGTAAGGGGAAATGTGTGTGCGTCTTATGGAGCGAATGCAGGCTGCGCAGCTATCCCAGAAGCCAGAACAGCAAGAGGGATTGCTGCTTTCACTGCGCAGCGATCCCTCTTGCTGTTCTGGCTTCTGGGATTCAGAATATTTTTTTTTCTTGTTTTCCTCCTCCAAAAGCTAGGTGCGCCTTATAGTCTGGTGTGTCTTATGGAGCGAAAAATACAGCAAGTGTTTTGAAGTGTTTAAAATTTGTTGTTAGCTGCCCTGAGCCCGGTTTTTGAACCAGGAAGGGCGGGGTATAAATAAAAATTTATTATTACAGTGGTACCTCGCAAGACGAATGCCTCGCAAGACGGAAAACTCACAAGACGAAAGGGTTTTTTGTTTTTTGAGCTGCTTCGCAAGACGATTTTCCCTATGGGCTTGCTTCGCAAGACGGAAACGTCTTGCAAGTTTGTTTCCTTTTTCTTAACACCGTTAATACAGTTGCGACTTGACTTTGAGGAGCAACTCATAGAACGCGGTGTGGTAGCCTTTTTTGAGGTTTTTGAAGTCTTTGGTGATTTTTGAAGCTTTTCCGAAGCTTTTCCGACACCGTGCTTCGCAAGACGAAAGAAATCGCAAGACGACAAAACTCGCGGAACGAATTAATTTCGTCTTGCGAGGCACCACTGTATTATTATTATATTACTGGGCTACAAGGGAGCACCAAAGAAGAAGATTTCTCTATGCTCATCTGACTCTCTGTGTTTGCGCATATCTACATGCCTGGCTGTATAAACGGCCACTGGCTTGACGTACCTGTAATGCTGATCTTTGCAGACCACTTTGAGGTCCCATCCAGAACGCTCTGCTTCACAGCTTTCATCTGCTGGGTGTGAATGGTCTTGGAGACGGCAAAGATCTCCTGGATCAGCTCAAAGATCTCGGGCTTATTGCGCTCCCGGATCTTCATACGATCTTTCAGCACCATGATAATATTCTGTGTGCGGTCCTCAGCCCCGTGCTTGGAACTTTTCTCAGCCGCCCCTGGACAGAGAGAGAGATTTGCCATGGATGGGTTACCACCGCTGTCACTGCAATGTTGTTGTTGTTTAGTCGTTTAGTCGTGACCAACTCTTCGTGACCCCCTGGACCAGAGCACGCCAGGCACTCCTGTCTTCCACTGCCTCCTGCAGTTTGGTCAAACTCATGCTGGTAGCTTCGAGAACACTGTCCCACCACCTTGTCCTCTGTCGTCCCCTTCTCCTTGCGCCCTCCATCTTTCCCAGCATCAGGGTCTTCTCCAGGGAGTCTTCTCTTCTCATCACTTCTTCGTCACTGCAATGCATTCTGATTATTCCACGCATTAGGAAACCTGTTTTACATTTCGTAGAAGCGCGAAGAGCCGTTACACAGCAGAACAATAGGTTGCGCCTAAGAAGATCAAACCTCTCCATTCTTAAGGAAATCAGCCCTGAGTGCTCACTGGAAGGACAGATCATGAAGCTGAGGCTCCAAGACTTTGGCCACCTCAGGAGAAGAGAAGACTCCCTGGAAAAGACCCTGATGCTGGGAAAGATGGAGGGCGCAAGGAGAAGGGGACGACAGAGGATGAGATGGTGGGACAGTGTTCTCAAAGCTACCAGCATGAGTTTGACCAAACTGCGGGAGGCAGTGGAAGACAGGAGGCCCTGGCGTGCTCTGGTCCAAGGGGTCACGAAGAGGCGGACACGACTAAACAACAACAACAACAAAGAGCAGATTCATTGAAACAAGTGTGCATGTTTTGGTCTTGTCTGTTGGTTTCAATGGGGGGGGGGTCTACTCTAAGTTAGGACTAAAGGTAAAGGGTAAAGGGACCCCTGACCATTAGGTCCAGTCGTGACCAACTCTGGGGTTGCAGTGCTCATCTCTCTTTATAGGCCAAGGGAGCCGGTGTATAGCTTCCGGGTCATGTGGCCAGCAGGACTAAGCCGCTTCTGGCGAACCAGAGCAGCGCACGGAAACGCTGTTTACCTTCCCGCCAGAGCGGTACCTATTTATCTACTTGCGCTTTGAGGTGCTTTCGAACTGCTAGGTGGGCAGGAGCAGGGACCGAGCAATGGGAGCTCACTTCGTCGCGGGGATTCGAACTGCCAACCTTTCTGACTGACAAGCCCAAGAGGCTCCGTGGTTTAGACCACAGCGCCACCCATCTAGATACACCATTGGCCTAATCTAGGAGACTCTCATTATGATCTTTTAATAATAATAATAATAATAATAATAATAATACAATGATGGTAATAAAAAAAGACATTGTACTATTTTTATTGGCAGATTGCCTTTGTTAACTGTGGCGCAAAATGCTTTGCTAATATCAGTGGTGAGAAGCCCGCAGATTTTGGAAACATAAGCTGTGTATTTTGTTGCTCTCAGTTCAGACAGAATTCTACAGCCTCCGACCCCAAGACAAACCCAAGAGAACAAGGTACCCCCTCCTCACTTTGCAAGCAGTCGGCGTTGAGCAGGTCTTGACACTTCTCGTGGCACTTGACTCCGCATTCTGTACACCGCATGCCTTGGCGCGCAATGCCCCAGAGCAGACCCTCGCACTCGTAACAGTAGGTGGGCGTTGTGGCGGTCCACACCTCGAAGTTGTGGGGGGTTGTGCAAGAGATGGGGTAGATTAAGGCTTGGAGGGTCTTCTTGTAAACATGGTTTTTCTGGAGGGAGACAACGAAAAATACACGATTGGGATCTGAACATGTGTGACACTCTCTCTCAACTTTTTATAAAAGAACGGAAATGGTTTAGTGAATACAGTCGTACCTCGGATCTCAAACGCCTTGGCTCCCGAACAAATTGGCTCCTGGACAATCAAAACCCATAAGTGAGTATTCCGGTTTTTGAACGGTTTTTGGAAACCGAACGTCCGGCGTAGCTTCCGATTGGCTGCTCCTGCAGCCAATCGGAAGCCGCGCCTTGGTTTTCAAATGGTTCCAAGAATCGAACGGACTCCCGGAACGCATTCTGTTCGAGAACCAAGATATGAATGTCTTTACAAACAAACATTATATGGATATGAACATTGGCAGGTTCATTGTAATAACCTTCAGTTTCATAAGATTATATATTTAAAGTAGATGAATAAATGAATAAATTAAGTTACTTTGGAATATGCAGAAAATATTGAAAATAAATCTAAGGAACTGCAGAAACAGGGGGAAGGAAGTCAAGTTTTGAAATGTTAAAATGACTGTAAATTATTGAAATGTATAAACCTGAAAATCTCTCTCTCTCTCTCTCTCTCTCTCTCTCCATATACATAGTGTACCCCATCACAAGTTACCTGATCAGACAAGATATGACAGAGGCAATACTAGAGAAATCTCTGCTAGCCCTTTCTAAGCCTTCAGGGGACTCCAGTCCTTTGCTGAGACAACATCTGTTGTAGCTCAGCCAGCAGAATTCACTGGGAGCTGTCCAGAGTGCTGATTTGGCCTTCAGGAGACTCTGCTAAACAGATCAGCCAGCAGTGTGCTTTTAGGGTTCAGTCCTAAGCAAACTGAGGAGATCGAGGTCTCCGCAGAGGGGGAGAAAGACACCCCTCCCAAGCAGATCTCCAAACTGCTGGTGACCCTGAAGAGCTGTTGGATCTGGGCATCTCTGCTCCCGGACTGGAGGTCTCTGTGCTGGCCACCTGAGATGCCAGCTGGCTCTCAGACACCCCTTTCCCTACTGAGATCAGAGCTGATGGTACACCAGGAAAGACCTTCAGGGCTGATGCTGTTGTCCCTGGCTAGCAATGCATGAAGCTACATGCCGGAAGCATATTTGACCACATCAGGGCAGCCAGGAAAGGGGTAGAGCCTGTCATGACTAAAGTCTTTGAGGGCAGAAACTGGAAAGTGCTGGAAGATTCTAGAAGGTTCACTTCGGCTGTAAATATTGTTTTGGCTATCTCAAGGTCACGCTGAACCAGGAGAGAGAAATCCCTGTGCTCAGCAAGGCTGCTCTCTCTCTCTCTCTCTCTCTCTCTCTCTCTCTCCTTTCGTTTGTATCTCGTGCATCTGAGGTTTTTGTAAGAAGCCTTTGCTTTTTAGTAAAAAAATAAATAAAATAAATTTTGGAACTTCTGACTCTGCGTGGTCTTTTTTCATTTACTGCAAGACGCTGTCCGTCAGAGCCTCCGTTTCCCATACAAGCTCCCTGTCTGAACTGCTTCACTGCTGAAGCAACAGCTCCCTTATAACTCCCAGCACCAGGGATATGGAGCTGTCCATGGTCCTGAACTTTCATGCCTTGCTCGGATTGGAAGAGGCACTGCTTATTGCTTCCACATCCCCTGTGGGCTCCCAGTGTAGCCTTATTAGACTATACCGATTGGTGGGCTCTGCGTTGCTCCCGGGAGGGAGAAAGGAAGTCAAATGACACCGAGGTTGATTCAGAGAAAGAGTTTATTCTGCTCTGCGGATAGCAGAAGGCACTTGCGTGGTCAGTTCACAGCAAGTCCAAAGAAATGAGAAATTTCATGCAGTATATATATCCTCCAGGCACCCTCTCCCCCCTTCCCCAGGAATCCAACCAGGTCAGCTTATACACGTAAATTGACATCCATGACCATAAAGAGATATTCCTGTTCCGGTACTCTTGACCAAAAAAGGTTGTTCCTGTTCCTATACTCTTATCTTGGGGCAGGAGGTCACCAATTCTAAGAGCACTCCTGGCGCCGTTCCCGGGTCTCTTGTCAGACCTGACAAGGTCTGTGCGTCAGAGTGTGGTCAGGATGTAAGATAAGACCCAGACGTGCCATCCCTGCTCCACTTGGAACTGGCAAGGCCATCCATTGCCGTCACGGACTGATAAAGGAGAGGGCTTTGAGCACTTGTTTATACAGCTGGCTTTCTGTTTATACATTAATGCATTTTAGAAATGCTCCCTTGGAGAAGGAAAAATGTGGGTTTTGGGTCCCGTTTCAGACTGACTGCACAGAAACCCATTCCTTCACCAGGACAAGTTCTCTTAACACAAAAGAACCACCCAAGAGCATGCATATATATATATAAAAGGAGGAACTGGGACACTTACTAGCTCTTCATTGTTTAAAGTGCTTGATGCGAGTGCTGATGTGATACCAGCTTTCCTGGACTGGACCAAAGACTGTTGGAAGGAAGCAAAAAAGGAGAAGCATGTCAAGAATGCAGTGCAGAAAAACGACAACAACAGAAGTTAAGACCCTGCTTTCATGGGGTCTTCACCTAGGCATGGGATGGGGGGCGCGATTAGGAAGCGTGTGCGGCCCTCCAGCATGGCTGAAACCACATTCCCCACGTGGCCGTGAAATCATGTCTGCTGGCACCAATGTAACAAGCTGGGAAGGAACTATTGGAGTTTCCCCCTGCCTCCAGAAGTGATTCATAAACTCATCAACGTCAAAACAATTTACAATCGAGTGGTGTTGGGGAGTTTGCCCATCACTGTTTTTGATTTGCGAGCCCTGAGCAAGAAAGAGAAATAAATAATCAGGCAAATACTCACCATAGCCTGCAAAGGCGTGTTGGTTGAGCAACAAAGGAAGAAATAAGATGTTTAGGAGGACTGAGACAACCAGGTATATCTATATTTATACATAAAAGGCCAAGCTTCCAAGCTTGTCCCCGTGACAATTTCATTCTGCATTCGTAAGCGGCAGAATTCCCTGTCACCCACTGTGATGGCCTGGGATTTGGACTCAGATGCTGAACCTGAGGGATCCTAGCCTGCACAGGAGTCCCCGCCTCCAGAATCAGCTGAGCCGGGGCTGGGGCCTGAGCCTGAAGGGTCCTCACCTGTGCTGGGTCCTCAGGTGAGTCTGCTCTGGCCCCTGAGGTGATGGAGGACCCATTGCCTGCAGGTGCTCCACTCTCAACCCCGTCAGGGGAAGCTGAGGTTGCCTCTGGGTCCGGGAACCCTCCAGCCTCTCCTGAGCTGCTGTGGCTCAGGGCAGAGAGGCGGAGGGAACTAAGTTCCCGCAGGAGGAGGGCTCGCCTCCAGGCCAGGAGAGGCGAGTCACCTGAGGATCGGGGTGGTCTGGCAAAAGGGGATGCTGCCTGGGGGCCAGATCTATAGGTCTGGGTGTCTGGGTTCAGTCTATGACCTGCAAGGTTCTCCACCCCTCTTGTAAATCAGGGTGGCAGTCAACTGCTCACATGGAATTGGACCCTATTCCTTTTCAACGAGGCTAGAAAAACTAAATAAGGTAAAGGTAAAGGGACCCCTGACCATTAGGTCCAGTCGTGGCCGACTCTGGGGTTGCGGCGCTCATCTCGCTTTATTGGCCGAGGGAGCCGGCGTACAGCTTCCAGGTCATGTGGCCAGCAGGACGAAGCCGCTTCTGGCGAACCAGAGCAGCACACGGAAACGCCGTTTACCTTCCCGCCAGAGCGGTACCTATTTATCTACTTGTACTTTGACGTGCTTTTGAACTGCTAGGTGGGCAGGAGCAGGGAGCGAGCAATGGGAGCTCACCCCGTCATTGTGGGGATTTGAACCGCCGACCTTCTGATTGGCAAGTCCTAGGCTCTGTGGTTAAACCCACAGCGCCACCCACGTCCCTAGAAAAACTAAATACGAACGTGATATTTTGGGTCTCTTTGTTAACCACCCACAAGCCACCTCTTGCTCAATCTCTTCCCCCCTCAACTGCACAGGCAATGTCTTCACACGTACCAGATTTTTTAGGCGATGGTTTGGAAAAATGGGCACAAAGCGCAGTCCCTACCCGCCTCGAAAAACCCCCTCACATGCAAGACAGAGGTCATCAGCTTTCCCAACTTCAGCAGTCGGGTTTACACAGGAGGAAAGACACAAAATAAACAGTGGCAACCAGTAGGAAAACTCGCGGAGGGGAAAGGCAGGCAGAGATAGGGAGGATAGTCAAAGCTAGATGTTGCGAGAAGGGAGCGAGAAAGCGAAGAGAGGATAAGCATAGGAGCTCAGCAAGAGAGCACGAAATGTTGGAATTTTTGGCCATGGCAAAGCTGCACCCAGCGAGGATTCATTTTGTGATGCCCACCAAGGGGACTGCGGTTTATTTAAAATAAAATGAATGAAGGTACCGAGATATAATAATAATAAAAGGTAAAGGTAAAGGTACCCCTGCCCGTATGGGCCAGTCTTGACAGACTCTGGGGTTGTGCGCCCATCTCACTCTAGAGGCCGGGGGCCAGCGCTGTCCGGAGACACTTCCGGGTCACGTGGCCAGCGTGACAAAGCTGCATCTGGCGAGCCAGCGCAGCACACGGAACGCCGTTTACCTTCCCGCCGGTAAGCGGTCCCTATTTATCTACTTGCACCCGGGGGTGCTTTCGAACTGGTAGGTGGGCAGGCGCTGGGACCGAGCAGCGGGAGCGCACCCCGCCGCGGGGATTCAAACCGCCGACTTTTCGATCGGCAAGCCCTAGGCGCTGAGGCTTTTACCCACAGCGCCACCCGCGTCCCTATAATAATAATAATAATAATTTATTATTTATACCCCCCGCCCATCTGGCTGGGCTTCCCCCAGCCTCTCCACAGCCTTTGGAATGCAGCACAGAGATGTTGTTGGGCTGTCAGCTCCCACCATGGGAGTTGGGGGTCCAGAAAAACACAGAGGGCATGATTTTGGCCACCCCTGGTCCATGCGGACTGCCGCCAGGTCTTTAACGGAAGAAGCCGGGCATTGAACATGGGACCTTAGCATGCAGAAAAACGGTGCTCTGCCCACTGAGCTATGGCTCCTGGGAGCCCCCATGGAGTTGTCAACAAAGGCAAGCATGCACAGGTAAGGTTTGAGGTCGACAATGCCAACCGCAGCATTGGAAAGGGGGCGCCTTTCTTTACACAACAATGGAGGGATATCCTTTGGGAAGGAGAGAAGGGTCGGGAGCGCCAGGGCATGTGTTGGAAGGGGAGAAAAAGGAGGATATTCAGACGCGGGGAGACAGGCTGATGTTCCTCATTGGACAAGGGTTCTGTACGTCTTCTGTTAAAGCGACGGCGCCGTATGAAAAATACAAGACAACCGATCCCGAAGTCTCTTGTAAGCTCACTGTTTCGGCAAGCCTGGCACCTTGGAGGGGCGTTCTCCAGAATCTCTGTTCCCCCGCCCCCAGGCTGTCCGTTAGGTGTGGTCAACGTTGTGTGGGATGTAATCCACCGGGAGCAGTCAAGTACAACATTCCTTGTTTTCCTAGAGTGGACATGCAAGGGGATGTTTGGTCCAGCCGGTCGAAAACGTCCGCTTTCCTCCTGGCTGGAGCATCCTTCCTTTTGCATGTGACAGAAGGTGGGCGTGACCTCACCTGTCCAGGTAACAAAAGGACGAGTCACGCAGCACACCTCTCTCTTTTTGACTTCCTTCTTCGTTTGACCAGCTTTCAGCTAGGACTGCTTTGCTAGCAGAAGCACTGGGATTATTCCCCCATATGGGGTAATCCACATGTACATCTTTGTAACTAAGTCTGCCTTCAGGAATCCAACTGTGAACTGATGTGATTAAACTTCTTTTATTGACTTATGAATAATATTGTGGCGTCTTTATTCTTTTAAGAGGCATTCAAGGGAACTTACCAGGAATGTACAATTCAACCCGAGACAGACTGAACTATATAATAGTGAGAGGCTTACACGAGCCTGCAGCCAGCTGTCTGCTGTGCTTGTAAAAGGGGGAATGTAAACTCTGCTAAGTGAAGGAACTTCCTAGCGCAGGTTAGGAAGGATATTAATAAACAATATATCCTCTCCTGCCACCCCGAACATTCCCACAAATGGTGTTAAGGTTTAGACATTACAAGTTATTTTAAGTTAAAGTCTGCTGCAACTGGATTTCTTATGGACAGCGCCAACCCTGAATGTATTGGATTTGTGAACATTATGCTCATTTGCTTTCAGTAGCAGTAAAGCGCTGCTGGATGAAATACAATTGCATCTGGTCTACTCTGGAAGAAATCCTGCAATGTGTTCAAGTTTTTACTCTGCTTAACGATACAGTGGAACCTTGATTCTCGAACAGCTCAGTTGTCGAACAAACCGGCTCCCGAACGCTGCAAACCCGGAAGTAAGTGTTCCGGTTTGTGAACGTTTTTTTGGAAGCCAAACGTCCGGCTTCCGATTGAGTGCAGGAAGCTCCCGCAGCCAATTGGAAGCCGCGCTTGGTTTTCGAACGGTTTCGGGAGTCGAATGGACTTCTGGAACGGATTAGGTTCGAGAACCAAGGCACATTACTCTGGATCAATACTGAGTAGGATTCCATGACCAAATTTACCACTCTACAGTAGTACCTCGGGTTACATACGCTTCAGGTTACAGACCAGAATGTTATTGGGCTCCAACTACCAACCCTGGATGAGATCTTCACGTCTCGCACTTTGAAGAAGTCACACAATATCCTGAGAGATCCCACCCATCCTGCTCACAACTTCTTTGAACTGTTGCCTTCGGGCAGAAGATATAGGACAATGAAAACACGAACCACACGCCTTCTGAATAGTTTCTATCCAAGAGCTCTGATTGCACTAAATAATGATCTCAGGGCCAGTTGCAAGAAATAGCAAGCAGGGAGCAGGAAGGAATGAGATAGGTTTTAGGTTATGTTATGCCTTTAATAGGTTATGTTATATTCTGGATTATGTTATGTTTTTATAGATTATGTCTGAATAGGATGAGAGTGTTGGAGATACGTGCAAATGTGTATGTGAACCCGGTCTTTGGGTGGGTGTTTGATTTCCGTTGTTGTGTATACTGTGTATATACGGACAATGACAATAAATTTTATCTAGACTCCGCTAACCCAGAAATAGTGCTTCAGGTTAAGAACTTTGCTTCAGGGTGAGAACAGAAATTGGGCTCCGGCGGTGTGGCAGCAGCAGGAGGCCCCATTAGCTAAAGTGGTGCTTTAGATTAAGAACAGTTTCAGGTTAAGTACAGACCTCCAGAACGAATTAAGTACTTAACCTGAGGTACGACTGTATAGGCATTCTGCAAGCAATCTCCCCTATTAATACTTCTCTTTTTGCTTCTCTCTGTGTGCACATGTGTGTACACACATGCACAATCACGCAAGTGCACGTGTGTGTCCCAGCCAACACGGGAACCCCAAATCTCCCCAGACCAGGCTTGCGCCAAATCGGTGGAGCTTCCAAGAGAGCTTGCCGGATGCGGGTGACAGGGGAACTCATACGATGCTCTCGCTTTAACCACCTCGTTCCTCACCAGGTCACTGATGACTAACGGGAGAGATTTGCATCCAGGCCTAATGTCAGGCATGCTGTCTATGCAGCGCAGAAACTTGACCGCCGCTCCCCTGGGGGACGGAAGCAGCCCAAAAAACGTCCCAGAGAAGAAAGGGGGAAGAGAGGGGGTGGAAACAGAAAGAAGAATGAGCTGTATTAGCGAAGCGAAGGCGAACTCAGCGAGGTGTGTGCCGCCGAAGAGCCGAGATAATGGAGGGCAAGGCCTTCAACCCTGTGGGACAGTTCCGATTTTTTCTTCTTGTTTTTTTTTATTATAGATTTTGTTGATTTACAAAAGTGTGCACTGTCTCTCTCTCGTGTGTGTGTCCCCCCCCCATGTAACCTTTTTACAAATCATTTTCATTTGTTGAGGCATTAGGAAGAAAAGGGGGAAAGAGGCGGAGGGGGGGGAGAGATGGGGGAGAAGAAGAGGAGGAGTTTGGATTTGATATCCCGCCTTTCACTCCCTTTAAGGAGTCTCAAAGCGGCTAACATTCTCCTTTCCCTTCCTCCCCCACAAGAAACCCTCTGTGACATGAGTGGGGCTGAGAGACTTCAGAGAAGTGTGACTGGCCCAAGGTCACCCAGCAGCTGCATGTGGAGGAGCGGAGACGCAAACCCGGTTCCCCAGATTACGAGACTACCGCTCTTAACCACTACACCACGCTGGCTCAGTAGAAGACAGGAGTGCCTGGCGTGCTCTGATCCATGGGGTCACGAAGAGTCGGACACTGGCAGTGGGGTTGGGTGGCGATGTTTCTATTTCACTTACTATATGTAGGGTTTGGTGTCAGTGTTGCTTATGCAGGTTCTTTGCTGTTCGCTTGTGTTCCCTTTGGTGATGAGAGAGGTTGGGGTTGGCCTAGGGTGTGGTTGTTCATTTGTGGTTGGCTGTGGTGGTCTTTGTTTTCATGTGTGAGTGGCGTAGGTGGGTGTTTCGGATCAGGTTAGCCATATTGATTCGTATGCTGTTGTTGGATTTTTGTCGTTGTCTTGCTGGGTTTTGTATGTGATAAAGGGGAGCCATACCGGGGTGAAGGCGTCTCCTTCTATTTGTCCCCGTGTCAGTTTCAGTTTATTGGTTAATTTTTCTAGTAGGGCTGTTTCCCATACTATTTGGTACCATGCTTACTCCTGACAGGTCTCTCCAGTGTCTGGTTACGGTGTTTCTGGCTGCTGAAAGTAAGTGGGTTATGAGTTCTTTGTGGTGTAAGTGGGCATGATTGTCTTGGAAGATGTTTAGTAAAGCCAATTCTGGGGTGATTTCTAATACTTGCTTGGTTATTTTACTTATTTCTCGTACGGTTGTTGTCTAGAATGGTTGGATTTTGGGGCACTCCCACCACATGTGGAGGTATGTGCCTTCTTTTTGTTGTGGTAAGGGGGTGGTTTAGCAGCGGCAGAGGGGCAAGGAAACCCTGCAAATTGTTTGCCTGCATAAGTTACTGTATTTGCAATTTGCTGTAGACCTTGCATTACATAACAGCTATTATTGGGGGAATAATAATAATAATGATTTTTCAGCATCAACTTCGTTGAACTGGTCATGTTGTGCGAATGCCTGATTCTCGTCTTCCACAGCAACTCCTCTATTCCGAACGTAAAAATGGAAAGCGTAATGCTGGTGGTCAACAAAAGAGGTTCAAAGACTCTCTCAAGGCAAATCTAAAAAAATGTAGTATAAACACTGACAACTGGGGAACACTGGCCTGCAAGCGCTCCAGTTGGAGAAAGCCTTAACCAAAGGTGTTGTGGGCTTTGAAGACACCCAAACTCAGGACGAAATGGAGAAACGTGCTAAGAGGAAGGCATGCTTGGCAAACCCTCACCGGGATCAACTCCCACCTGGAAACCTATGTCCCCACTGTGGAAGGACGTGTGGATCCAGAATTGGCCTCCACAGTTACTTACAGAGTCACTGCTAAAACCCTGTTTTGGAAGACAATCTTACACGGCTACGAGGGATCACAGAAGAAGAAGAAGAAGAAGAAGAAGAAGAAGAAGAAGGAGGAGGAGGAGGAGGAGGAGGAAGAAGAAGATGAGGAGGAGGAGGAGGAGGAAGAAGAGGAGGAAGAGGAAGAAGAGGAAGAAGAGGAGGAGGAGGAAGAAGAAGAAGAAGAGGAGGCAGAGGAGGAAGAAGAGGAAGAGGAAGAAGAAGAAGAAGAGGAGGAGGAAGAAGAGGAGGAAGAAGAAGAGGAGGAGGAAGAGGAGGAGGAAGAGGGAAATGAATAAAAACTTATCTGTGAGGGGATCTATTTTGGATTTAATCAGAAAATTAGCGACTTACTGCTGGGACTTTCTTAGTATGCTGCTAGACACAACTGAAGGGCAGATCAATTCCTAATCTGTTAACTTGATGTTAATATAATGGTGGAGATGGCTTTTGTTTTGAGGGGGGGACGGGACGACACAATTGTTTCTGGACTTCCCCAAACCTCCTGAGTTGGCGCCTCTTGGTCAACTGTTTGCCAAGTCTGTGGTTGAGAGAAGATTTGAACCCAGGCGTTTCCTGGCCACTAGGTTAGCCCAGGTTTCGGGCTACAGAAAGGTCAGCACACCCCAAGTGTTAACCCTGGTTGAGAAGAGAGTTTTGATTCTGGCCTGGAGCTCAGTTAAAAGAGGGGGGAACTGTCTGCAAGGTATAACTTTGCCACTCCTTTATCCCGGCTCCAGAGGGGGACACAGCAGACTTCCAGCGGTGTTTCCAGAGAAGGTGAAGCTAGCAGCTGCCAGAGAGAGAGAGAAGGAGAAAGAGAAAGAGAGAGAAATGGAAATGGGAGGAAAAAACGTTAAGAGAAACCTCACCAAATCGCTAACTAGGGGGATGGGTTTCCGTTTGCGAATATCAGGCATGCTATCAATTATGATGAGCCCGCCGCCGGGTCTGGAAAAAAGACAGAAACAGTCAGCACAGGACGAGAGGAGAAAGGGAATATTGGGTTGGGGGAGAGAGAGAGAGAGAGAGAGAGAGGATAATGAGGAAAGGAGAGAGAAGGGAGGGGAGGAAGGGGAGAGGAGTGGAGGAAGGGGGAGGAGAAGAGGGAAGAGAGAAGGGAAGGGGAAGGGAGGGTAGAGGAGAGGGGACGGGAGGGGAGAGAAGGGGAGGAGAAAGGGGGAGGGGAGTGAGGAGGGGAGGGGAGGAAAGGGGAGGGGGAGGGAGAGGAGGAGGAGAAGAGAGGGGAGGGAAGAGAGAAGGAAAGGGGGAGGGGAAGGGGAGAGGGGGGGAGAGGAGAGGGGAGAGCGGAGGGGAGGGGAGGAAAGGGGGAGGGAGGGGAGGAGAAGAGAAGAGAGGGGAGGGGAGAGGGGAGGGGAAGGGGAGGGGGAGAGGAGAATTGCTGCGTGCTTAACAGACTGAAAACACCAATTCGCATCAAATGCCCATCTAACTTTGCTCATTAACAAATATCAAGAGTTATCAGTATTGATCATGATTAAGCATCTTAATTATATATCAAACCATTAACAGTTATTACCTTCATTTGTTATAACTATCCATTGCAACCATCATTCATTGTTTTTCTCTTACCTGCCCTTTTCCGGGAAGGGCGGATTCCAAAAGCATTAAAATGCAATATTAAAATCAGATTTTTAAACAACAACAACAACAAACAGATTTGCAAATCTGTCCATGCATTTGGAGGTGGCTATGGGAAATTAAGGTAGCGGGCACCAGCCACCCAATTAAGAAGGTGAGCCAATTTAAGGGTTAAGAAAGGAAGGGAATCTGGGGTCAGAGATGGAGATAAGAGAATTCGGGATCAATCAATCAATCAATCAATCACAGCCACCTGAGACCCATCGAATGGCATTTTGAATTTGAGACGGCATTCAGAGACGGCAACTCACCCGCCTTTAAACCACAGGGATTTCGATTCTCCGGATCCTTCGCCCCGAGCCTGTGAAATAGAAAGGAACAGTTATTCTCTCTGGTAGGGTCTTGATCCTAGGAGACATTTCTCTGCGCACACTCCCCCCACCAGAGTTCATGCCTAAACAGGGCTGCCTTCAGATGTCTTCTAAAAGTTAGATAGTTGTTTATTTCCTTGACATCTGACGGGAGGGTGTTCCACAGGGCGGGTGCCACCACCAAGAAGACCCTCTGCCTGGTTCCTTGTAACCTCGCTTCTCGCAGGGAGGGAACCGCCAGAAGACTCTCGGAGCTGGACCCCGGTGTCCGGGCTGGACGATGGCGATGGAGATGCTCCTTCAGGTCTACTGGGCCATTTAGGGCTTTCAAGGTCAGCAGCAACACACTGAATTGTGTTCGGAAACGTCCTGGGAGCCAAAGTAGGTCTTTCAGGAATATATGGTCTCGGCGGCTGCTCCCAGTCCCCAGTCTGGCTGCCACATTCTGGATTAGTTGTAGTTTCTGGGTCCCCTTCAAAGGGAGCCCCACATAGAGCGCATGGCAGTAGTCCAAGCGGGAGATAACCAGAGCATGCACCACTCTGGCCAATAAGTTTGGGAACCTCTGATCTAGAGGGTCGCTGATTCTCCGCCCCGGCCTACAACATTGGCTCCATTCATGAAGAACATCTAGCTTGGTTTTGTCCACACAGATGGGCAGAAGTTCTCAAGGGCTTCATTCTGGAGCATTTTCAGGCGTGCCAGGGGCCGAACGTGGGACTTGGCACACTGGGAAAAGATGCTCTAACAAGGAGTGATGGCCTCTACCCTACACACTGTGGTGGCAATTTTGAGGTCTTAGATATACGGTAATGTTCATAACCGCACGTACATAGATCAGCACAGGAAGACCGACCAGAAGCCATTTTGATTCCTAAACTGAGCAAATGTTTTCTCTGCAAGGTCAAAGTGGAAAAGCCTCCCCGTTGTCCTTTCCTTCACAAATCCTGTCTTAAGGGTATGTCTGTGTTTGAACAGGGTGTGAGCCTGTGACCTGGCCCAGGAACTAAGTATTTATCACTACAAAAGACTGACCAGGCTCCCCAGGAAATCCAGTCAAGTAACCTGCCAGACAGGAGATAAACAAGGACAGGAGACAAACAACATTCAAATTTATGTTGTAGACCGCCTTTTCTGTGATGTAGGTGTGATGTATCTGGGGTGGTGGTCTTAGCTTACACCCCTTCTGTGATGTATGTATGATGTTTCTGGGGGTGGTCTGGATCTACAGGGTGGCAATTTCAAAAGTCTTTATAAGGCCTTGCACGCCATTTTTCTGGGTCCCTCCTCTCTCCTGCAGGTGAGGGGAGCACCCTGTTGCAACAGATCAATAAAGATCAAGCTTACTAGCCGCTTTGCTTCTCAATATTCACTGGTTGGCCTCTGTTATCTTCTCCTACGAAGAGGGAACCTATGTAAGGACTTTATATGGGCTCTTGGATACCCCATAAGGGAAAAGGGCAATTTTTTTATTTACAACAACGCAACCTAGGTTTCTAGTCCTCATGGTGCTGGATGCATGTAGGAAACTGTTTTGGGGAGATATTCAGAGGGCCTCTGGCGGCGCTTGAGGAAACTCTTACCTGCAATCCCAGAGGGAGACAGAGAGCGACGGAGACACAAGGATGGTGGTTGCTCTGAGCAAACTGAAAAGTGAGGGTGCCCCCAAGTGGGGGCAGCTTTGGGGCCAAAAGAAAATGAAGAAGAAAAAGATGGCGGGTGGAGTCTACAAGCAAAACAAAACAAAACAAAAATTATAGGTACGGTCAGAACTCAACAAACGGGTGAAGAGGACCAAAGAGGGATGGGAGGAAGGTACAAACTTAAATATAGACGCTCTGGGTGAGACATGGAATGGAGATGTGAGTGCAGCGCAGGGTGGTCCATTAGGATAAATTGGGGGCACGCTCCCCCCAACCTAGCCAGGGACACGGGTGACACTGTGGTCTAAACCGCAGAGCCTAGGGCTTGCTGATTGGAAGGTCAGCGGTTCGAATCCCCGCCACGGGGTGAGCTCCCGCTGCTCGGTCCCTGCTCCTGCCAACCTAGCAGTTCGAAAGCACGTCAAAGTGCAAGTAGATAAATAGGTACCGCATTCGCTCCATAAGATGCACACACGTTTCCCCTTGCTTTTTAGGAGGGGAAAAGTGAGTCTTATAGAGGAAAAAATATATGGTATTTAATTCGGAAAATTAAGCAGGTGGGCGCAAATTTGCAGAATATCACAAAATCAAATTCCCAGTGCACTGCCTCCCATTTCTGTAAGCGAAAACAGCTCAAGTAGGAACTCTCAAATCTGAAGGTGTAAAAGATTTGGATCGTCAGGGGGAAATGGTTAATAATAGGACCCACAAAGGGGAGGAGTCAAGGAGATTCCTTGAAGTCGCGTTTTTATGTCCCGCGTTCGATATACGGCTGTAAAATTGCAATCCGAAAAAAGCAAACGAATAAATCTTTTTTTTTTTAAAAAAAAGAACTCTCGAATCTGCAGAGAATTTTGGAAGCGCCTATGACGGGAAGGGAGTTCGGTGCAGTTGGGAAAGGAGGCGGGGCTTCACGGCCAGGGGGAGGAGCCTAAATCGACTGCATTTGAATACGGGCGACGAGGGAGAGTGACCGGACACGCTTACCTCCTGAAGTTGCATGCATACTTTGTTGAAAGCCCGCAGCCAATTCGCCTTCGCTCGGGCTTTCGGGTCCACCGGTTCTGCCTCTACCTTCTCCCTGCAGCCGAAACAAACAGAGGCAACTCGCTGAATGATAAATAACCATGTCAAAACCAAGCCCCGCCCACTTTTGCTTCTGGCCCCGCCCACCACTCGCATGTGGGGACCCCCCCTGAAAATTCCCCGGAAATTAACGTGGCTCCTGATCTCCTTTCCCCTGATGTGCAGTTTATGAGTTCCACGCATTTGATTTATTATTTGCAGACGTGGGATAAGGTTGCCGTATTTCACCAATTTTTATACTAATAACAAAAACAGAATTAAAAAAAACCAGAATATAATTGTTCACCCTACAATTGGGGAATTCGTGGAAGGGAATTTGGGTCGACTTTAGAAAAGGGTTTTAAGAATGAGCACTGACGTATAAATATTGATGTTTATAAGTTAAAATTGGTTAACTAAAATGAATTAAATAAAATAAGGTTAAAAAATTGGGGACAAGAACTTGTTGAACTAACAATTTGAACTGGAATACAAGAAGGGGAGGTGTGGGGAAGTCAGGGAAATATGTTATTGAAAATAAGGATTGCAAACTCTATGTGTTTTTAACTTTTTTGTTTTTCTTCTTTTTTTGATCTTTTTAATGTATTGTGGAAAATTTCAATAAATATCTTTTTTTAGAAAAAAAAGTTGCCGTATTTCAAAAAGTAAAAATCAGGGCACCCCGAAACTTGTCGGGCTTTCTTACGGCAAACCCCAAAGTCATTGCTCAGCAAAAAACCCCAAGATTTTTCCACTGGCTTGTCTAAGATCCAGGACAAAGTGGAAATTCCCTGCCAGACATCAATTCCAGCTATTAAATCCCAGTAATGTCCGTGTTATAAGAATTCTAAGGTCTCAAATATAAATTCTGATGTTCCTAAATGTACGAGGCAAACACATACGTAGCTATATAAACCACGTGTCTGAAATAGTACAGGGGAGCAATCCGGAAGCCATTTGGACTCTCCCAGGTAAAGGTAAAGGGACCCCTGACCATTAGGTCCAGTCGTGGCCGACTCTGGGGTTGCAGCGCTCATCTCGCTTTACTGGCCGAGGGAGCCGGCATACAGCTTCCGGGTCATGTGGCCAGCAGGACTAAGCCGCTTCTGGCGAACCAGAGCAGCGCACGGAAATGCCATTTACCTTCCCGCCAGAGTGGTACCTATTAATCTACTTGCACTTTGACGTGCTTTCAAACTGCTAGGTTGGCAGGAGCAGGGACCGAGCAATGGGAGCTCACCCCTTGGCAGGGAATTCGAACCGCCAACCTTCTGATCTGGCCCCCGGATTGGGCCAAATCCGGCCCCCAGGCCTCAGTTTGCCCACCCATGCTCCGGTGAGTCGTTTCCAGCCACCACAAACCTCCCTGCCCGTTTCCACCCGTGTCTTTTACCTCTCCTCTTCCTTGGGGGGTTCTTCCTCCTGGGGGGCTTCCTCCGGGGCGGGGGCCTCTTCCGCCGGCGCCTCCTTCTGCTGGCCTGCCAGAAGCTCTTCTGCCGTCTCTTCTGGTGCCTTCCGCTGCTGTTGCGGCGGCTGCGGCGGCTGCAATGATTGTGCCGGCGGCTGCTGCTCTGCTTTTTGCTGCTGCTGTGCTTGTTGTGGCTTCTGCTGTTGCTGCTGCTGAGCCTGTAGTGGCTTCTGCTGTTGCTGCTGCTGCGCCTGTAGTGGCTTCTGCTGTTGCTGCTGCTGCGCCTGTAGAGGCTTCTGCTGTTGCTGCTGCTGCGCCTGTAGTGGCTTTTGCTGTTGCTGCTGCTGTGCCTGTAGTGGCTTCTGCTGTTGCTGCTGCTGCGCCTGTAGTGGCTTCTGCTGTTGCTGCTGCTGTGCCTGTAGTGGCTTCTGCTGTTGCTGCTGCTGCGCCTGTAGTGGCTTCTGTTGTTGTTGCTGCTGCTGTGCTTGTAGTGGCTGTTGCTGAGGTGCCTGTAGTGGCTTCTGCTGGGATGGCGCGCCTTGCGGCGGCTGCGGCAGCGGCAGCTGGCCCTTCTGCTGCTGCTCTTGCTGCGGGTAGGCATCCCCGGGGTAGGTCTCAGGTTCGGGTTCCCCCACCTTGTCCTCGGGGTAGTACTCCTCGTTATCGCTGTACTCCTCGTTAAACTCGTCCTCGTCCAAGTAGAGGTCGTCTTCGTCCTCGTCCCAGCGCGGCGAGTCCTTGTGGTAGCTGACCGAGCTGTGGCAGGAGTGGTACGAGTCCCCGTCCCGCTCGTCCAGGCTGATGTCGTCGGGGTCGAAGTCGTCGCTCAGCTGAGAGCTGCCCTGGCTCAGCTCCCCCGACGAGGCGTAGCGGCTGCTCCCCGTGGGGCTGCAATGGTGCGTCGGGGTTAGAGAAACCAAGTGGGGAGAGACAGACAGAGAGGCTTAGCAAGTGAACGGCCTCGCAAGCAGAAAACCCCACATTCAAACCCCTTCCCTCCCCGGATAGCATTGGGAGAGAGATGCTGCCAGTCAGTGCAGGCTACATTAGCTAGACAGACCCAGCTGTCTGATTTGCTCTAGGGCAGCCTCCTACGTTCCGGAGGGGCATATGGACATTAGGGTTATTCTTTTATTTTCAAACTTACCGTATTTTTTGCTCTATAAGACTCACTTTTTCCCTCCTAAAAAGTAAGGGGAAATGTGTGTGCGCCTTATGGAGCGAATGCAGGCTGCGCAGCTATCCCAGAAGCCAGAACAGCAAGAGGGATTGCTGCTTTCGCTGCGCAGCGATCCCTCTTGCTGTTCTGGCTTCTGAGATTCAGAATATTCTTTTTCTTGTTTTCCTCCTCCAAAAACTAGGTGCGTCTTGTGGTCTGGTGCGTCTTATAGAGCGAAAAATACGGTAAATGGTAAAAACGAAATTCGAAGGAATCTCCTGGACTTGTGTCCTCCCCAATGTGGGTCCTATTATTAATCCTTTCCTCCCACATCTTTTACGATAATCCAAACCTATTACTTCTTCCATTATGTCCAGAATCAGCCTTAAACTACAAGTGCTATTCCAATCCCACTAACAATTTTAACCATTTACAGAGGTCTTTAAGTTATCATTTCCCCCCATTCCTTGTTAAAATTTTGGTCTTCCTGATTTCTGACTTCTGATTTCATTTTAGCCATCGATCCATAAAATGAAAGCAATAAACAATGTACTGCAGTCACACAATCCACCAATCCATCAGTAGCTGAACTGGTTTCCACACAGTCACAAAAAAAAGCCACAAAAACGCGAAATAGAAAGCAAAAACAGACAGACCTCAGCGCCACACTCAAATCGGAAGCGTAACACTCAAAACAGAACATGTTCGGCTTCCGAAAAGAGTTCACAAACTGGAACACTTAACTTCCGCGTTTTCAGTGTTTGGGTTCCAAGTTGTTTGAGTACCAAAGGCATTTGAGAACCAAGGCACCGCTGTGCTTTAAAACACACGGAAGTTAAAATACTAACGCAGATTAAAACTGCCTCAGCTTTCTAAGCCTCTTGTCTAAACGACCAGGCACTTCAAACGACCAGGGTTATAAAAACCAACACATGCTCCCAGAACAAATTTGGGTGTCTGTGCAGATTTCAGAGGTCCAGTTAACGCACTTAGGAAACAGGGAGCGTCTGTGAGGAATGGGTCTGCTATTATAAGAGGGGAGCACCCCATCTTAAGGTCGGGATGTGGGGATGGAGCTGCCTGCTTCCCATCATCTGAGGTCCATCTCCGAGGGCCTTCTGGCGGTTCCCTCCCTGCGAGAAGTGAGGTTACAGGGAAGCAGGCAGAGGGCCTTCTTGGTGGTGGCTCCCGCCCTGTGGAACGCCCTCCATGGGCTGTTTTGCTGCCGTTGGATGTCTTGAATGGCAAGACCTGCTCCCCGCCTCTCCCCATTGCCCCCCAAGCCCCATTCCCTGTAGCCGCCTCCTCCAACTCCTTCTGGCCCCACAGATTTTCCCCCCACCCAAGCCGTTACCAGCGATGAATCACACAAAACACACACACACACACACACACACACACATTAAGAGACAGCAGCCAGGGAACACAGAGCATCGGGACCACAAACATCGCCCTGTCCTTTCATTATTATTATTATTATTATTATTATTATTATTATTATTATTATTATATCATCACAGCTGTCAACTTTCCCCTTTTCTTGCGAGGGATCCTATTCGGAATAAGGGAATTTCCCTTAAAAAAGGGAAAACGTTGACAGCTACGATTATATATAAAAGGACAACTCCCTGCACATGGAAAGCTAGCCTGTCAAGGAAAAAAGGGGCTCGCTCCATTTTTAACATGCACCCTCGTTCTCAGGGGGGCCAACTTGAATAAAAATATTGGGGGAAGTCCTGCTCCGTGATCGATCATATGACACCATTCGAATGGCAATGTCCATCAACTTTAGGAGGGGCCAGCCCCCTCAAATATTTAATTTTTTGGGGGGTGAAGACCCCTCAGGCATTAGGAGTTGGCTCCTATGTCTGTTCTGAAGTGGCGTAATCCATCCGACTGCCTCAGGACATAGCGGGAGGGACTGAGCCGAACTACCGTGTTTTTTGCTCTATAAGACTCACTTTTCCCCTCCTAAAAAGTAAGGGGAAATGTGTGTGCGTCTTATGGAGCGAATGCAGGCTGCGCAGCTATCCCAGAAGCCAGAACAGCAAGAGGGATCGCTGCTTTCGCTGCGCAGCGATCCCTCTTGCTGTTCTGCCTTCTGGGATTCAGAATATATTTTTTCTTGTTTTCCTCCTTCAAAAACTAGGTGCGTCTTGTGGTCTGGTGCGTCTTATAGAGCGAAAAATACGGTATTTCATTTCTGATACACAAATCCCGCTTTGACATCGCTTCCGGACACATCTTATTGCGGAAGAAACATAGAGACCAGGGCTGGGAAGCACACAGAAGGCAGGGGGAAGAAGAGGCCACAACGATTCACGGTGGGTGGAAGACGAAAGTCCTTCGGCAACCCCCACGACAGCTACCAGTCACCACCAGAACACCTCTGAGCAAGCGCAGAGTTCTACGGGAAAGCACATGCAGACAGGATACGGTGGGGGACACTCCTGGGATTAGACTGAAACCACGCCTCCAGCTCTGGCGTAGGTGGGGGCTTAGGGTGCCCACCCCACAGATACCTCCAGGGACTTTTTGGAACAAGGCAATTTCCCTTTTAAAAAGGGGAAAGGAACAGCCTGGGTTCCGTTTCCAAAGCGGAAACCTACAAATCCCTAGGTTTCGTAGCACAGGAAAAAATCATTCCTCCAACCCCCTCAAAATGCAGAAATTTCAGCTAAAGCATCCCTGACCGTCCACCCTCTGTTTAAAAAATCTCCAAGGAAGGATATTCCCCTTCCATCTCACTGCCGAACATCTCTTGTTGTCGTAAAGTTCCTCCTGACGTTTTCGTCTGGATCTCCTCCCTCGTCGCTCGAAGCCACGGGTTCGAGTCCTACCCTCCCGGAGCGGGAGGAAAGAAGCTCGCTCCATCTTCCATTGGGCAGAGATATGTGAAGATGGCTCTCCTATGTCCTCTTTCCCAAGCTAAACATCCCCAGCTCCTTCAACCGTTCCTCATCAGGCGCCTTTGGCCATCTCCACCCAACCACCCAACTCCCTTCCCCAGAGGTGGGTCGAGTCGGCCACAGCTGGAAGGATGCTACCAGCCTAACCCAGGGTGCAGAACGCCAAAGAACCACGTTACTCTGCGAAATAATAATAAGAAAGGCACACTTCGAGAGACACAGAGATAGAGAGAGACAGAGAGAGAGAGACCCACCTATCCGATAGGTCTAGGGTGCGCCTGCTCTCCAGGGAGGGCTGGCGACTCGTGTGTCTGCTCGAGCCGGAAGCAGACTCAGCGTCGCTGTGTCCGTTTGCGGCAGAGTCTACGCTACCGTAGCGTCTGCCGGAGGATCGGGGAAGGGGGAGAGGAAGAGGGTCAGCATTTGGCAAGTCAGAGAGAGAGAGACAAGACCACCTTCCCCTGTCACGTTCAAAGACCATTTCTGCTTCCAGAGGGTGGGAGGAGAGGGAAGAGGCATAGGGAAGGGCACACACATTCATCGACTTGGAGAGGGACCCTGGGGTCATCTAGTCCAACCCGCCGCAAGGCAGGAATCTCAGGCGACCAATCGAATCGCAGAATGGTAGAGTTGGCAGTAGCGCGCTTGCGAGGTCGGTTCGGTGACGTTTTGAGGGATGGAGGGTGCTGAGCTTACACCTGAACCACAGTCTCCTCCCCAAAAAAACCCCACACCCCCCCAATAGTCTTAGCGTCGTAGAAAACGACCCAAAGGGTCTTCCGATCTAACCCCCCCTACAATCATGACGAAATCTGCCTGGACATAAGGCTGTTGGAAGAGACCCTGCTGTGATTGGACCAAAGATTTATCCAGCCCAGGGTTCTGGTGGCCAATGGGATTTTGAACCTGTACGATCTGATCCAAACTTTTCCGCTGGTGGTTCCCAGAAACTCGTATACGTGGATCAACTACTGGGAACCCTGCGCAGCCATCAGAACTAGTAGCCTTATAAGAACCTCAGAAAAGAACCTGCAAAGGCCCATGTAGTCTTGCGGTGGCCAACCGGGTGCCCACCGTGCAGGAACTGAAAGCGACAGCCCACCGTCCCCAGTTGCAATTCCCAGTAGCTGATATTCGGGGGGCATTTACTCCCTTCCAACAGCGGAGGGATCAGCACCGTGGCAAAAAGCCAACGATGGCCTCTTCCCGTGGCAGTGAGTTCCGCAGGTGAACTCTGTTCCGCGTAGAGAAGGGTTTCCTTTTGTCCCTCCTGAATCTCTCCTAACGGTCTGGGGCACCTTTACCTTTTTATTACGGGCTTAAGGTGTCATGGGCTTTGAAGTTACAGGTAGGTCTGCCATAGTTGAAACAATATTTTTTTTAAAAGCCCTTCCAGTAGGCTTTGAAGACACTCGAACTCAGGACGCAAGGGAGAAACGTGCTAAGAGGAAGGCACGCTTGGCAAACCCTCACCGGGATCAACTCCTGCCCGGAAACAAATGTCCCCACTGTGGAAGGACGTGGGGATCCAGAATTGACCTCCACAATCGCTTACGGACTCACTGTGAAAACCGTGTTTATGGAAGACAATCTGACTCGGCTACGAGGGATCGCCAAAGAAGAAGAGGAAGAGGAAAAAGAAGAAGAGGAGGAGGAGGAGGAAGAGGAAGAAGAAGAGGAGGAGGAGGAGGAAGAAGAAGAGGAGGAGGAGGAAGAGGAGGAGGAGGAAGAGGAGGAAGAAGAAGAAGAGGAGGAGGAGGAAGAGGAGGAAGAAGAAGAAGAGGAGGAGGAAGAGGAAGAAGAAGAGGAGGAGGAGGAAGAGGAGAAGGAGGAAGAGGAGGAGGAAGAAGAAGAGGAGGAGGAGGAAGAGGAGGAGGAGGAAGAGGAGGAAGAAGAAGAAGAGGAGGAGGAAGAGGAAGAAGAAGAGGAGGAGGAGGAAGAAGAAGAGGAAGAGGAGGAGGAGGAAGAGGAGGAGGAGGAAGAGGAAGAAGAGGAGGAGGAGGAGGAAGAAGAAGAGGAGGAGGAGGAAGAAGAAGAGGAGGAGGAGGAGGAGGAAGAAGAGGAGGAGGAGGAAGAGGAGGAGGAGGAAGAGGAGGAAGAAGAAGAAGAGGAGGAGGAAGAGGAAGAAGAAGAGGAGGAGGAGGAAGAGGAGAAGGAGGAAGAGGAGGAAGAAGAAGAAGAGGAGGAGGAGGAAGAAGAGGAAGAAGAAGAGGAAGAGAAAGAGGAAGAGGAAGAAGAGGAAAAAGAGGAGGAAGAGGAAGAGGAAGAAGGATTACCATAGAAGAAGAAGAAATAGCAGCATTCTTCATAGGCTTGGTTCTGTTCTGGTGGCGGGGCCCATCTGCCTGCATCCTAAAACAGAGCGCTGGGCTCCATCAACCTTTGGTCCGATCTAGTCCAACCTTTCCCTTCCAACAACCTGGTGCCCACTTCTGGCCAAAGCTCCCCAGCTGCGATCAGGACCACCCTACCCCACCTCTGCCCCATGGAGGCTTCTCACGCCTTTCCCCAGCAAGGTCCCCGGCTTGCGTTCGGTCTACCTCATGGGCCGATGGTCAGAGTAGTCCATATCGTAGCTCTGCATGGAATCAGCGTAAGAGTCCCTGGTCGCTCTCTGCTGGTGCCTTATGGGGTATTGGTGGACCGAAGCGTTGGGCTGGGAGGTGGTGTAAAAAGGAGGCGGGATGCTGTTGCTGGTCTCGCTGCGGTAGTCGCTGTCCCGGTCATCCATGGTGCTGTCTGGGTCATCATCTGGAGAAGAAGGTAAAGGTAAAGGGACCCCTGACCATTAGGTCCAGTCGTGGCCGACTCTGGGGTTGCGGCGCTCATCTCGCTTTACTGGCCGAGGGAGCCGGCGTACAGCTTCCGGGTCATGTGGCCAGCATGACTGAGCCGCTTCTGGCGAACCAGAGCAGCGCACGGAAACGCCGTTCACCTTCCCGCCGGAGCGGTACCTATTTATCTACTTGCACTTTGACGTGCTTTCAAACTGCTAGGTTGGCAGGAGCAGGGACCGAGCAACGGGAGCTCACCCCGTGGCGGGGATTCGAACCGCCGACCTTCTGATGTGCAAGTCCTAGGCTCTGTGGTTTAACCCACAGCGCCACCCGCGTCCCTCTGGGGAGGAGGAGGACCGCCCAATTTCGCAAGTTAGGAAAAGGCCCGTTCTCATAACAAGGGGTGGCCATCTTTGTGTTCAGGCCTGGAGCTCTAGGGTGCGTGCAAACGCACACCTTTGCATATTTGTGCTTCCTTGTTTGTTTGTTTTCCCGGGGACATTAGAGAGGGGAGGTCGGGATTCAGGAAGGGGGGAAATGTCTCGACTGGGGGGCGGGATGGGATTCGGGGAGAACAACGGTACTGGTCGATGGCAGAAGAGAACGAGGGAGGACACTGAGAGAGGTGGACGGAGCGATGCGGAAACCCAGAGAATCGGAGGCCTTTTCTCCAAAAGCAAAAGTTGGAAGGGACGCCAAGGGCATCTATTCCAAACCCCCTGCAATGCCGGTCCACAAATTTGTTTGCGCCACCCATGGCAGGGGCGAGCGCCCTGTGTTTTAGCTACCAGGAGGATGGAGAAGTGAAAGGAAGACGGGTCACAGGGAGATAAGACATGAGAAGGAACTGGAGTTTCCGGATTATGGGGGGAAGGCGAACCCACACTGTTCTGGGGAGGTAAAAAACGATCTGCAATCTGCTTAATAATAATAATAATATAATAATATTTATACCCTGCCCATCTGGCCGGGTTTCCCCAGCCACTCTGGGTGGCTCCCAACAGAAGATTAAAAACATTGAATACTAAAAACTTCCCTAAACAGGGCTGCTTTGAGACGTCTTCTAAAAGTCAGGTAGTTGTTTATTTCCCTGACATCTGACAGGAGGGCGTTCCACGGGGCGGGTGCCACCACCGAGAAGGCCCTCTGCCTGGTTCTCTGCAACCTCACTTCTCACAGGAAGGGAACCGCCAGAAGGCCCTCGGGAGATGGACCCAGGTGTCCTGGGTGGAGACGCTCCTTCAGGTCTACTGGGCCGTTTAGGGCTTTCAAGGTCAGCACCAACCCTTTGAATTGTGCCTGGAAACGTCCTGGGAGCCAATGAAGGAAATAAACAACTATCTGTATTAAGTTGTGGGCGAACATATCAGACGACACAGCGATTCTTCAAACAGCTCTTCTTTATTCAGAGGCCAGAACAGAACTGAACTGAGGAGCTCAGTCAGCCTGCTTATATAGAGCTCCAGTACTTTGTTACTGTAACAACTTTCTAAAACTATCCAATCACTGAACGTCACTTTCGATCCTTCATTTGCATACAGACTATCCAATCACTGAACGTCACTTTTGATCCTTCATTTGCATAGCTATCTACAGTATCCCCCTGCTGGCCCAGGGTGAGAACTTCCGTACATAACAATCTGACTTTTAGAAGACGTCTGAAGGCAGCCCTGTTTAGGGAAGTTTTTTAATGTGTGATGTTTTGAATATTCTGTTCGGAGCCGCCCAGAGCAGCTGTGTTTGAAGAGGCCTGCATAGCGAAATGGGTAGAAATTGGGGGTACAGAGGTCTAGAAGTGGGGGGCAGGTCATATACTTACTTTGTTGATCTCCCCAGCCAAAATAATTCCAGTTGCCTATGAAAAAAAAAAAAGAAGACCAAGAAGACGTGTCCCTTTAAGAGACAGGCCAAGTCTAAATAAAGCCAGTAACTTTTTTCGCCCCTAAGGGAAGAGGTAACTGGACCATTCCAGAAGAATTTAAATCCTTCCTTGAGGACATTACACAAGCAACATATCTAGGAAACAGAAAGGCGGTCTACAACAGAAATCTGAGTGCGTTGTTTATCTCCTGTCTGGCAGGTTATCTGATAATGCCTTAATCTGATTGCCTTTCCTGGTAGACTGGCCATTCCTTTGAGATGGTGATTACCCGAATTCTTGAGACAATGGGTTAGGTTCCCTCACCTCCCTCCCTCCTCGCAGAGAAAACATTTGGTCAGTTTGGGAGTCAAAACGGTTTCAGGTCGGTCTTCCTGTGCTGATCTACATACGTGCTTGGTTGGTACGTTTATGAACATTTATTATATAGCTAAGTACCTTAAAATTCTTACAGGTATCTCTGTAAAACTGATAAAAAATGGGAGCAATATTTTGTTCTGGGCTGCTTCCTGCTTCTTCCATGTGGTGTGTGGTGTGGGATGTGAAACACAAGAGCAGTCAAGTACAACATACCTAGAGTGAACATGTTTTGACATGGGGAGGGATGTTTGTCCAGCCAGCAGGTAAACTTCCTGTTTCCTTCTGGGCTGGGACAGACTTCCTCCACATGTGACTAATGGTGGGTGTGGCCTCACCTGTGCAGGTAAGGACAAAAGCACAGGGCAGGGCAGCCATCTCTCTCTCTTTCACCACATGCATTGAAGAAGCAACATCTACTGAGCGAAAGATGCCCTCTTGGCTCCCAGCCCAGAGAGGACAAAGGGACTATCTTCCTATAAGATAGACTCCAAATGTATGTTACTTCATTAAGCTTAAGTCTGCCTTCTGGGATCTGATTGTGAACAGAATGTGAGTAAACTCTTTTTATACTTTTGTAAAAGACTGTCTCTTCTGTTTTATGAGGGAATAAGGGGAAATTACCAGAATAGTTATTATAGAGGCTTTAGCGAGCCTGAGCAAACGCTGCCGTTGCAAACTTAAAATAAAGGGGAATGTTTTACTCTGCTGAAATTGGGGGACTTGTGTTAACAAGTTGGATAAGGATATAATCAGACAATATATCCTCTCCTGCATCCCTGAACATTCCCACAGGTGGAAGTCCTGCTGCAACAGTCCTTAAAAATAAAGACCAGGCCTCCTGGCTGCTGTTTTGCTCCTCTATTCCGGCTGGTGTCTTTGTTTGGTAATCCAAGTGTTACAGAAATTACAAATATTATACCTGAATCTATCCTTTCAACTTCACAGCTCAGGGAAGTTAAAGGTAAAGGTAAAGGTACCCCTGCCTGTACGGGCCAGTCTTGACAGACTCTAGGGTTGTGCGCTCATCTCACTCTATAGGCCGGGGGCCAGCGCTGTCCGCAGACACTTCTGGGTCATGTGGCCAGCGTGACAAAGCTGCATCTGGCGAGCCAGCACAGCACACGGAAACGCCGTTTACCTTCCCGCTAGTAAGCGGTCCCTATTTATCTACTTGCACCCGGGGATGCTTTCGAACTGCTAGGTTGGCAGGCGCTGGGACCAAACGACGGGAGCTCACCCCGCCGCGGGGATTCAAACCGCCGACCATACGATCGGCAAGTCCTAGGCACTGAGGTTTTACCCACAGCACCACCCGTGTCCCTGGCAAGTTACCTAGCTTTAAAAATAATACAAAATCAACTCCTTTGCCAGTTTCCTCCATTCCAAAGCTATTTCCCCCTTGAAAAAGGACTCCAGGAAGTTGCCAGAGGTGACAGTTGCTGAGCTGATTGTTGGCCAAGGAAAGCCTAATCCCATCACCGGACTTGCCAAGGGGCCAGACATGCAAAGGAAGTTCTATTGTACTTTGGGTGTTGGGACTTCAGAGGTATTTGCCTATGCTCATCATATACCTGGGTCTTGCCCTGCCATGTCTGCTTATGCTAATCTTGGACCAAGGACTTGTCTGGACACATTTGACAAGGTTAAACTAGTATAACCCCTGTCTAAAGGTAAAGGTAAAGGGACCCCTGACCATTAGGTCCAGTCGTGGCCGACTCTGGGATTGCGGCGCTCATCTCGCTTTACTGGCCGAGGGAGCTGGCGTACAGCTTCCGGGTCATGTGGCCAGCAGGACTAAGCCGCTTCTGGCGAACCAGAGCAGCGCACAGAAACGCCATTTACCTTCCCGCCGGAGCGGTACCTATTTATCTACTTGCGCTTTGACATGCTTTCGAACTGCTAGGTTGGCAGGAGCAGGGACCGAGCAACGGGAGCTCACCCTGTCATTGCGGGGATTTGAACCGCCGACCTTCTGATCGCCAAGTCCTAGGCTCTGTGGTTTAACCCACAGTGCCACCCGCATCCCATGTCTCCCCCTCCCCTTTGTGACATGTCAGTGATGTAGCAGTGATGCTGTACGAACTGTATTCTGGGATATGGCGGGAAAGTTTTAAAAGTCCTCGTCACCCCATCCTCGGGATTCAAAATTCCTCTTTGAACCTGTTGTGCAATAAACTTTGGTCTACGGCTATTTGCTCCGGTTGGTGGCTGAACTCCTTCCTTTATTCCGCAGGGCTCTGCCCGACGAGCTGGGTGACTGAGAAGCCTCGCACCTAGATTTTTCCGTAACACAAGCGAGCCCAAGGATTTTCCTATAACAGATCTCCAAACAGCAGTTCCTAGCCCAGGCACCGTATTTTTCGCTCTATAGGATGCAGCAGACCATAGGACGCACAGGACCATAGAATTCTCCCCCTCTTCTCAGCGCCCCTTCAGCGAAGTGGCAGAGAAACGGACCCCCTTCCATTTCTCCTCCCGCTTCGCTGAAGGGGCGCTGCGCAGAGAGAGAAAACTGTGCAGCGCCTCTCCAGTGAACTGAAGCCTAGAGAGCAAGAGGGATTGGTGTGCACCGACTCCTCTCACTCTCCAGGCTTCAGGCGGCTATCTGCAAGCTCTTGCTGCACTCCGAAGGCTTGCGGATAGCTGCCTGAAGCCCCCGGAGTGCAGGCAGGAGTTCCCTGAGCTCCAGGCGGGTTCAGCGAAAGCAACGCGAAGCCTCCGGAGCGCGGGGGGAGCTCTCCCTCTGCGCTTTGGGGGCTTCGTGTTGCTATCGCTGAAGCCAAGGAGCCTGCATTCGCTCCTTAGGAAGCACACACATTTCCCCTTCATTTTTGGAGGGGGGAAAGTGCATCCTATAGAGCGAAAAATACGGTACTTTGCTCCCAAACTCGAGACTTTCCTGAGACTTAAAAGTGGGGTGGGAGAGAGACAAAGCAGGGAGGGGGGACAAATGGGGATAAGGGAGACACAGAGGGGAGGGTCGAGAAGCAAGGGGGGGACCTCTGCCAGCCAGGTGACCCCCTTTTCGGTGGCCAAGCCCTCCAAGCAGGTACCTTCCAAACCAGAGATGGAGGGTCATGGAAAGACCTTCACAGATACTGTATACCCTGAGTCAGGGGTGCAGAACGTATCTTGTTGGACTCCATCTCCCAGAATCCATTGCAGCCACCAGCGAGGATGCTGGGACCTGGAGTCCAGCCAGTCACAGAGGGATAGGACTGGGTTGGGGCATGGGGGAAGCGAGACCGAATTCCCTAAAATTCACAAGCGAGTCAAACACTTACAGCACTGAGATCCGGGTACGGGCAGCGGCTTCTCCTGTGTCCAACGAGAACGGGAACCCCAAGATTTAGAGAGGGGGGAGCAGGCGGAGAGAAGAGGGAAGGGGAAGAGTCGGTGTCTATCTGAGAACAACTTAAAATACCTTTTGAAAAATACTTTACAGTTACAGTGGTCCCTTGGTTCTCAAACGCCTTGGGACAACTTGGAACCCAAACACTGCAAACCCGGAAGGAAGTGTTCCGGTTTGCAAACTTTTTTCAGAAGCCGAACGTGCTCCATTTTGAGTGTTACGCTTCCGTTCTGACTGTCATACGTCCATTTTGAGCATTACGCTGAGGTCTTTTTTTGCTATTTATTTTGCATTTTCGTTTTTGCGGCTTTTGGGCTTTTGTTTTTGTGACGGTGCGGAACCCCAGTCCAGCTACTGATGGATCGATTGCGTGACTGCAGTACATTGTCTATTGCTTTCATTTTATGGATCAACGGCCCTCGTTAGATAGTAAAATTCATGTAAAATTGCTGTTTTAGGGGTTGTTTTTGAAAGTCTGGAACGGATTAATCTATTTTGCATTGCTTTCTATGGGAAAGCGTGCCTTGGTTTTGGAACGCTTTGGTTTTGGAACGGACATCCAGAACGGATTAACTTTGAGAACCAAGGTACCACTGTATTAAAGAAAACACGATCACCGATCACAAAACATCTAAAAAAAATAACAACAATATGTCATTAAAATGCAACAAAAGTTCATGCAATTGCTCATATTTAGATTTCCAATCAGCCTGCATTAGAAATCGTCCAGGTTTTTGTGTCTCTTCATTTTAACTGGGGACTAAACTACATTAGGGACGCGGGTGGCGCTGTGGTCTAAACCACAGAGCCTAGGACTTGCCGATCAGAAGGTCGGCGGTTCGAATCCCCGCAATGACAGGGTGAGCTCCCGTTGCTCGGTCCCTGCTCCTGCCAACCTAGCAGTTCGAAAGCACGTCAAAGTGCAAGTAGATCAATAGGTACCGCTCTGGCGGGAAGGTAAATGGCGTTTCCGTGCGGTGCTCTGGTTCGCCAGAAGCGGCTTAGTCCTGCTGGCCACATGACCCGGAAACTGTACGCCGCCTCCCTCGGCCAATAAAGCGAGATGAGCGCCGCAACCCCAGAGTCGGCCACGACTGGACCTAATGGTCAGGGGTCCCGTTACCTTTACTAGATCTAGCCTGGGTCTAGTCTGAGCAGGAAATAGTTGGAGACTAACCCTCTGAATCTATTGGTTGGCTCCAACATTACTCCTATTCAGACAAACAAGGCATGCCCATTGAAATCAATGGGCATGGCTAACTTAAAGGTAAAGGGACCCCTGACCGTTAGGTCCAGTCGTGGCCGACTCTGGGGGTTGCTGGCTGAGGGAGCCGGCGTCCAGCTTCCGGGTCATGTGGCCAGCAGGACTAAGCCGCTTCTGGCGAACCAGAGCAGCACACGGAAACGCCGTTTACCTTTCGGCCGGAGCGGTACCTATTGATCTACTTGCACGTTGACATGCTTTTGAACTGCTAGGTTGGCAGGAGCAGGGACCGAGCAACGGGAGCTCACCTTGCCGTTGCGGGGATTCGAACCGCCGACCTTCTGATCGGCAAGTCCTAGGCTCTGTGGTTTAACCCACAGCGCCACCCGCGTCCCATATGGCTAACTTAGATCTCTTCATTTCAATGGGTCTAGTCTGAGTAGGGAAACACACACACACACACACACACACACACACACACACACAACCATGCTGGTAAGAAGACCATGAATGCTAAAAGCCAGGAAGGAATCTGGATGAGTAAGTCCCTGCCTGGAAGCTTCCATGTTTCAGATAAGGCCAATGCAATTCTGGGCTGCATCAATAGGAGTATTGCATCTAGATCAAGGGAAGTAATAGTGCCACTGTATTCTGCTCATGTCAGACCTCACATGGAGTACTGTGTCCAGTTCTGGGCACCACAGTTCAAGAAGGACACTGACAAACTGGAACGTGTCCAGAGGAGGGCAACCAAAATGGTCAAAGGCCTGGAAACGATGCCTTATGAGGAATGGCTAAGGGAGCTGGGCATGTTTAGCCTGGAGAAGAGGAGGTTAAGGGGTGATATGATAGCCATGTTCAAATATATAAAAGGATGTCACATAGAGGAGGGAGAAAGGTTGTTTTCTGCTGCTCCAGAGAAGCGGACACAGAGCAATGGATCCAAACTACAAGAAAGAAGATTCCACCTCAACATTAGGAAGAACTTCCTGACAGTAAGAGCTGTTGGACAGTGGAATTTGCTGCCAAGGAGTGTGGTGGAGTCTCCTCCTTTGGAGGTCTTTAAGCAGAGGCTTGACAACCATATGTCAGGAGTGCTCTGGTGGCGTTTCCTGCTTGGCAGGGGGTTGGACTCGATGGCCCTTGTGGTCTATTCCAACTCTATGATTCTATGATTCTATATTACACACACACACACACACACACACACACCCTCTTAGAAACTTACATCATCCTGATCTCGCATCGCATTGAGCCTCTCAAGCTCTTTGACCCAGTAGCGCGCTTCCTCCTCAGGTATATCTGCACAGGAAAGAGGGGAAGAATCGGAGGTGGTTCAATTGATGGAATTAAAAAAGAAAAAACATAATTGGTACAAGCCTTTCCTGGACTGGACCGTATATAGAACATAAGATGAGGGGTGCTGCATCAGGCAAACAGGCCCACCAATCCCAATATCCTCTTAGAATCAGAGTTGAATGGGACCATTAGGTTCATCCAGCCCAACCCACTGCTTTTGCAGGAAAGTTTTGCCCAAGGCAGGACTTGAACTCGCGACTGTGAGGTTTAGATCCGCATGTTCAACCGACTGAGCTATCCCACAGTGGCCAACCCAAACTTTGCATGACCTCTAGGCCGTGCAGACCCCTAATACAGTGGTCCCTTGGTTCTCAAATGCCTTGGGACTCAAATAACTTGGAACCCAAACACTGCAAACCCGGAAGTAAGTGTTCCGGTTTGCGAACTTTTTTCAGAAGCCAAACATGCTCCGTTTTGAGTGTTACGCTTCCGTTTTGAGTATTACACCGAAGTCTGTCTGTTTTTGCTATTTATTTTGCATTTTTGCTTTCGTGGCTCTTTTTGTTTTGTTTTGGTGACTGTGTGGAACCCAGTTCAGCTACTGATTGATTGTGTGACTGCAGTACACTGTTTATTGCTTTCGTTTTATGGATCAGTGGTCTCGTTAGATAGTAAAATCCATGTTAAATTTGCTGTTTAAGGGGTTGTTTTTAAAAGTCTGGAACGGATTAATCCGTTTTGCATGACTTTCTATGGGAAAGCGTGCCTCGGTTTTGGAACATTTTGGTTTTGGAACGGACTAAGTTTGAGAACCAAGGTACCACTGTAATTGGGATACACACACACACACACACACCACTTTACAACCCAATCCATCCCTCCTTGCCTACCAAGCGGGAGTTCAAAGCGAGTGTCCAAAAGGATGCGGTGGAAAGTTGGGTCCTTGGTCCCAGAGATCTCATTGTCCGTCATGATGACATGGGAGTCGAGGGTCAGCCATTCCCCGGGCCCCTCCTGGGATGGAAGAAAGAGGTTTGGATTTAGCCCAGCCATTGCAAAATGCGGGATGTGATACATAAGTAGCAGTCAAGTACAACATTCCTTGTTTTCCTAGAGTGGCCATGCTGGGGAATGTTTGGTCCAGCCAGTCGAAAACTTCCTGTTTCCTCCTGGCTCGGACATCCTTCCTTTGCATGTGACTAGAGGTGGGCGTGGCCTTACCTGTCCAGGTAACAAAAGGACAAGACACACAGCCATCTCTCTCTCTCTCCTTGACTTCCTCTGTCGTTGGAGCAGCTTTTAGCTAGAAATGTTCTTTCAGCCAACAGAGGACACTGGGATTCTCCCAAGTAGATCCACATGTATATACTTTGTAACCAATTCTGCCTTCAGGGATCCAACTGTGAACTGATGATGTGAGTAAACTTCTTTTATAGTACCTTACACAAGATTGTGGCGTGTTTATTCTTTTAAGAGGGATATAAGGGAACTTAAAGGTAAAGGGTAAAGGGACCCCTGACCATTAGGTCCAGTCGTGGCTGACTCTGGGGTTGTGGCGCTCATCTCGCTTTACTGGCCAAGGGAGCCGGCGTACAGCTTCTGGGTCATGTGGCCAGCAGGACTAAGCCGCTTCTGGCGAACCAGAGCAGCGCATGGAAACGCCATTTACCTTCCCGCCAGAGCGGTACCTATTTATCTACTTGCACTTTGAGGTGCTTTCGAACTGCTAGGTGGGCAGGAGCAGGGACCGAGCAACGGGAGCTCACCCCGTCGCAGGGATTTGAACCGCCAACCTTCTGATCAGCAAGTCCTAGGCTCTGTGGTTTAACCCACAGCGCCACCCACGTCCCATAAGGGAACTTACCAGGAACCTAATAGCGAGAGGCTCACACGAGCCTGCAACCAGTTATCCGCTGTGTGTTTAAAAGGGGAATGTAAACTTTGCTAAGTAAAGGAACTTGCTAGCGCTAGCTAGGAAAGATATTAATAAACAGTATATCCTCTCCTGATTCCCTGGACATTCCCACACTTTCCACACACCTCGTTGGATTGTCGGATCGTGCTTAGCGGAATCCACACGGTCCCCACCATCGTGTCCCAGATTAGACCCTTGTTCCACACTTCCACCGTCAGCCCGAGGTCAAGGCGGTTGATTTCGCTGCAAGAGAAACGTAGTTTTAATCGCACGGCGCCCGTTCTCAGGAACGGCCAGTGCCTTAAGAATATATGGACAAGCCCCTGGTTTCTCGACCTCCTCTCCAGGGTTTGGTTTGACGAGGCCCTAAGCTCCTGAAGGTAATGGGGCCCTTTCTATGTCCAGCTGTCCTTTGTCAACAACAAATTGCCGCTGGTTTTTTGTGTTGAATGCTATATGGTAATTGATGGACCTAATAGGTATCTCAAGCCATTTGCACATGTTGCCCTGCAACCAGTCCATGCAGAATGTAGGCACCCTATATATAGAAAGGAGCAAACCAGGGATATTTTAGGGGAGGCATGACTTACATCCTAGGAGCCTACACAACACGAAACACAGTTGCTGGATGTAGGTATTATTTATTTTTATCTTATATTTTGGAAATGTACATCCAGGGTTTTTTTCCCCCTTTAAATTTTTTTGGGGGGCCCAGGAGAGTGGGGCCCTAAACTATAGCTTGTTTAGCTAATACGTAAATCCATCACTGCTGTTCTCCAAGCGCTTTGAAATGAACTGGTTCGGTTTTAGCAAAGTTCACCAAATTGGTTGAAAAACCTCCTAAGGGCTCCCAACAGAACATTAAAATCACAATAAAACATCAAACGTTAAAAACTTCCCTAAACAGACCTGCCTTCAGATGTCTTCTAAAAGCCATATTTTATGGGAAAGTTTTCAATTATAAAGAAATGAAGTGATATAAATAAAAATAAAAAGGCACCAAAAATGTGTAGAGAAAGAAATGAAAACACACACGCACACATGAAAAATACCTTAACCCATACATTGATATTATTAGCCTAATACATATGTAAATATGAATAGCCTACGGGATTTTGTATAAACTCATTCCGAATATTGTATTTATCCAAGCAAAATCAACAGGCAGACTGAGGGCTCCTTGTCCACGCTTTCCCTTCTCCTTTGTCAAGGAGACCCACTATTGAGCTCCAAACCAGAATCAACAGCAAGATTGCTGTTTGTTCCGAATGAGCACTAGAGAGCAGCTCCACTTACAACATGAAGTCTTGCTCCCAGCATGGAAGGTTTCCTCGCACCGCTATTGTCGTGCTCTTCACATTCTGGACTTTGAGGGTGACGTACGTGTTGAATTTTTCTGTACGGGGAGGAGAGGAGGGAAGGGACACAGAATAAGATAGGTGGATAGGGAGAACAGAACCAGTGTCTGTCAGAGAAAGCCCTTTGTCTGAATGAAAAACAGCCCCAACATTGGGAAAGTGGGGAGGGCCTGAGGGATCTTTGCACCACAGCGCCGGATATGCTTAAGATGGCCCTGATCTGGGTAGGTTGTTCTGACAAGGCATAGCTTATTGCTCAAAGAAAGCACATGGGCAGACAGGAATACCCTCTGATATTGCGTCCTGGCTTGGACGAGCCAACGGTTGGTTGCTGCTAAGCCGCAGCAACAAGGCTCTCAAAGTGGGGGCAATGGTTAAAGGTAAAGGGACCCCTGACCACTAGGTCCAGTCGTGGCCGACTCTGGGGTTGTGGCGCTCATCTCGCTTTACTGGCCGAGGGAGCTGGCGTACAGCTTCCGGGTCATGTGGCCAGCAGGACTAAGCCGCTTCTGGCGAACCAGAGCAGCGCACAGAAACGCCGTTTACCTTCCCACCAGAGTGGTACCTATTGATCTACTTGCACTTTGAGGTGCTGTCGAACTGCTAGGTGGGCAGGAGCAGGGACCGAGCGACGGGAGCTCACCCTGTCGCAGGGATTCGAACTGCCGACCTTCTGATCAGCAAGCCCTAGGCTCTGTGGTTTAACTCACAGCGCCACCCGCGTCCCTGGGGGCAATGGTTAGTCATTCTCAACAGTCACATGACTCCCCGGGTACAGCAAGGAGAAGAGGAAAGACTCACCTTGGGGGCCGTCAAATTTGGCTTTCTTGACTGGAAGGGAAAAGGAGAAAGCAGAAGGGTTAGTTGTACTATCCAATATGTGCTCTCTTTTTCTTTCACTTGATTTTAAAATTGATTTATGTACAAACTAGCGCATGACCATGTAAATAGAACCATACATAAAGCATATGCTTGCGGGGTCCTCGCTGCGGGATCACATTCACCCGGTGCTATACCAGCTGCACTGGCTCCCGGTGGAGTACAGGATCAGGTTTAAGGTGCTGGTTTTAACCTTTAAAGCCCTATGTGGCCTAGGACCCTCGTACCTACGGGACCGCCTCTCCTGGTATGTCCCACAGAGAAACTTACGGTCTTCAAACAAAAACATCCTGAAGGTCCCAGGCCTCAGAGAGGTTAGGCTGGCCTCAACCAGAGCCAGGGCTTTTTCGGCTGTGGCTCCGATCTGGTGGAACGCTCTGTCACAAGAGACTAGGGCCCTGCGGGACTTGACATCTTTCCACAGGGCCTGCAAGACAGAGCTGTTCCACCAGGCCTTTGGCCAGGGCACAGTCTGACTCCCTCCTTTGGTGATCCTCACAGAACTCTAGCCCAATGGTTGCCATTAATCTGTTTTGAATTGATTTAATAATGAAATGATTTTAGAAAGTTTTATCATTTTACTGTTGTTAGCCGCTCTGAGCCCAGCTTCGGCAGGGGAGGGCGGGATATAAATAAAATTTTATTATTATTATTACAGTGGTACCTTGGTTCTCAAACGCCTTGGTTCCCAAACTCCGAAAACCCGGAAGTGAGTGTTCCGGTTTTCGAACGATTTTTGGAAGCCGAACGTCGGGCTCTTCTGATTGGCTGAAGGAGCTTTGGTCTAAGGTAGCACATTCTAAGGTAGAATCTTTTTTTTGATAGGGAGAAGTGTCTCACTCAGAGCTCTCCATGGTGCTGAAACGCTCCCCCTGCCTTGCTACCTTGGGTGCTGTCCATTGTGCTACCTTAGACCAAGCGCTTTGGTTTCCAAACGTTTGGGAAGTGGAACGGACTTCTGGAATGGATTCCGTTCGACTTCTGAGGTGCGGCTGTATAAGCAAGGGCACTCGCAGCACCCAGCACAAGCTGAAGCCTCTCGGCATCCCATCTGTGGGAATTTCACCAACATTTTCTCTGATGTGTTTTGAAGGCGACGCCTTCTCCCATTCATAGAAGATTAAAAGAAGAAAGTGGAACAATTGATTGGCCCATCGCTCTCAAAGGAACCCGGCAGATCTTCCTTCCTCTGTTTATTTGCCCTAATTCTCGGCTGGCTAAGGGACTGGGTTAAATCCATTTCCCTCGCTCCCAGAAATCTGGTGACCTACTTCTGAGCCGTCAGAGTGACATTGCATTTTGCATTGCCGCGGAGCCTCTGGGCAATGAGGGGAACATGTGGGAAGATGGATTCTCTCTCGCACTTGAACTCCTCCGCTCCTGAATGGCTCAGAACTGGTTTGAACCAGCTTTTTCTTTCCTCTCGCATCTTCTGGAACGCTGTCAACTCCGCCTCACTTTTGAATGAATTAACCACTACAGTCTCGGACCAATGAAATAAAACGCACAATATAATGCAACTAGTTGGTGTTTTTTTTGGACACATATATAAAAAGACTCCCTTTTTTTAAAAAAAGAAGCAGCTGGTGGTGATCTTTACACTGAAGTAAGAATTATTAATTTTTTTGCAACCCAGCTAAGGTAAATGAGGCAGTTGTAGCGTGGAAGACCAGGTGTGATGGCCTGGGAATCCGATTCAGAGGGTGAACCGGAGGAATCCCAGCCTGCACAGGAGTCCCCGCCTCCAGGGCCGGCTGAACTGGGGCAGGGCCTTGATTCTGAGGCGCCTGCACCTGTGCCGGATCCTCAGGAGCATGCACCAGGTGAATCCACTCTGGCTCCAGAGGTGGTTGAGGACTCAGTGCCTACAGGTGAGTCTCCCCCTGGGCCCAGTAACCCTTCAGCCTCTCCTGATCTGCAGAGGCTCAGGGCAGAGAGGCGAAGGGAACTGGTTTCTCCCAGGAGGAGTGCTCGCCTTAAGGCCAGGAGAGGCGGGTCTCCTGGGGGCCGGGACCGCCCCTGGCCTCAGAGAAGATAAAGGCCAGTCAGCCCGGTCCCAGGTTGCGGGAGGAACGTCGTTGTGGAGTACCTGTTCCTGCCCGGACCTGACCCTCCAGTGTTCCTGTCCCCGCCCGGCTTCCTGCTTTGGACCTCGCCCCACTCCTTGTGAACTGTTTCCAGGCTAGTGACCCAGGACCAGACTTTGACTACGCCAACGGTAACCTTCCCCCCGGGACCAGCACACCAGGGTTCAAATTCCAGCTGGGTGGTGGTGTTTTTTTGAGAGAGAAGTGTCTCACTCAGAGCTCTCCATAGTGCTGAAATGCTGTCCATTGTACTACCTTAGACTAAGTGTCTCACTCGGAAGCCAGAGATTTTAATTTATTATTTTTTTTACTAGCCAGGCATTTGTATAAAGGGGGGGAGGAGAGAACTATTTTTAGCTGTGGTTTTCCTGACATTATTCGCTGCCGAATTGTTGCTGTTAGGAGCTTGTGGTTTCAACGATGTGCTGTTGCGTATGATTGTTGAACCTGTCAGCCGTTAGCCACTCTGAGCTCCGGATGGGAGGAAGGATGAGATATTGGAATCATGAATGAATGAATAAACTAGAGCTCACAGTACCAAGGTCCATGGAACCACGGCCAGCAGCCTCATAGATGCCTTTCACTGGTGCCTACGCAATTTATCCAGAATGCGGAAGCTAGACTGGTGACTGGGAGTGGCCACAAAGACCATATAACACCTGTCCTGAAAGACCTACATTGGCTCCCAGTATGTTTCCAAGCACAATTCAAAGGGTTGGTGCTGACATTTAAAGCTCTAAACGGCCTCGGCCCAGTATCCCTGAAGGAGCATCTCCACCCTCTTCGTTCAGCCTGAGGTCCAGCTCCAAGGGCCTTCTGGCAGTTCCTTCCCTGCAAGAGCGACTGTGATGGCCTGGGATTCAGACTCGGAGGCTGAACCTGAGGAATCCCAGCCTGCACAGGAGTCCCCGCCTCCAGAACCAGCTGAGCCGGGGCTGGGGCTTGAGCCTGAAGGGTCCTCACCTGTGCTGGGTCCTCAGGTGAGTCTGCTCTGGCCCCTGAGGTGATGGAGGACCCATTGCCTGCAGGTGCTCCACTCTCAGCCCCGTCAGAGGAAGTGGACGTCGCCTCTGGGTCCGGGAACCCTCCAGCCTCTCCTGAGCTGCAGAGGCACAGGGCAGAGAGGCAGAGGGAACTAAGTTCCCGCAGGAGGAGGGCTTGCCTCCAGGCCAGGAGAGGTGAGTCACCTGTGGACCGGGGCCACCCTATGCTTCGGGGCAGATAAAAGCCGGCCAGCCCCAGTCCCAGGTTGCGGGAGCAACATGGTTGGTAGCCAGTTCCTGCTTGCACCCTGTCCTGCCGGATCTCCTGACCTCGCCTGACTCCCTGCCTTGGACCCAGCTTCAAGCTTTGACAGACTGCCTCCATACTCCTGTCCCTGAGCTCTGCGCTTGTGGCTCAGCAATGAGACTGCGGGGAGCTGGCTGAGGGCAGACTGAGATTGGTGGGGCAGCTCCTTAGCCACCCGAATAGACCAGCTTGCAAAGCTTCCCAGCCTTAAGACTCCATCGCCCTTGAGCTGACACAACTGTGATGATGGGCAGGTGTAGGACAGGACCCCCGAGATAGAAATAAGAGGCCCTCAAGAGGTCTTGGGGGTGTTACACCACTGCCACAATGCAACCAATATGATAGCAGGGACCACTAAAATGGCCACTGCCTTTGTGCAAGTGGCTCAGCTGGAGCTCTCCGTGGTGCTGATTCGCCTCAACCTGCCTTCCTCCACGAGGCTCCAGATTCGACTAGGACGCTGGTACGTACAGAATGGTTTCAATTCCAGAAGGCCAGAAAACATTCTTGTTGTTTTTCCAGGCTCGTCTCCTTCCAGAGAAGAGAAAAGAGGCTGGAGCAAAAAAACACAACAACACTGGGTGCTGAGCGAAATATGGAGCCACCCACGGAACAGGTGTCCTGTCTCTGCTGCCGTCTCTGTTTACTCGACGAGATATCATTCTACCCGCATCAAGAAATATCACCAACTCCTGGCACAGCTCCCAACCACTGCGATTTAAGGGAGGTGCCAATGTTTGCCCCATGGGGTGCCACGAGGACCTTTCTCATGTCTGAACTTAATGGTCTTACAGCACGCACACTCCCTTTTAGATGTTGTTGTTGTTTAGTCATTTAGTCGTGTCCGCCTCTTCGTGACCCCCTGGACCAGAGCACGCCAGGCACTCCTGTCTTCCACTGCCTCCCGCAGTTTGGTCAAACTCATGCTGGTAGCTTCGAGAACACTGTCCAACCACCTCGTCCTCTGTCGCCCCCTTCTCCTTGTGCCCTCCATCTTTCCCAACATCGGGGTCTTTTCCAGGGAGTCTTCTCTTCTCCTGAGGTGGCCAAAGTATTGGAGTCTCAGCTTCAGGATCTGTCCTTCCAGTGAGCACTTAGGGCTGATTTCCTTAAGAATGGAGAGGTTGGATCTTCTTGCAGTCCATGGGACTCTCAAGAGTCTCCTCCAGCACCAGAATTCAAAAGCATCCATTCTTCAGCGACCAGCCTTCTTTATGGTCCAGCTCTCACTTCCATACATCACTACTGGGATGATAATGATATATATTAAATTTAGAGAATGATATATATTAAATTAAATAATTCAAATGGGTTTATTTGGAGCCGGGTGGGGGTTAAAGAGAATTGCTTTGGGAATTCTCTGAGCTCACCAGAATTTGGGAGGAACAGAACCTGGCATAGAGTCCAACTCTGGAATGGTAAAGAGATGGAATGGGCGGAACTGGTCCTTCCTACAGGTTGTGTAATGTGGGTTGTGTGAAGGGGAGAGTCAAACAATTGCGGGAGGAGAGTGGGTGTGATATAGGTGTGTTGTTTTTCTTGGAGACAGGAGAGGGAGAGGGATTTGCAAAAAAA